ATTCTCTCCCTACTCAAAGGCTGGCTTCTTGGAAGAGTGATGATCCTGCAGAAGCTGCTCACTGCTTCAGTTTTTCTGAAATTGAAAATGCTACAAATAAATTTGAGAAAAAAATTGGTTCTGGTGGTTTTGGAGTTGTATACTATGGAAAGCTGAAAGATGGAAAAGAAATAGCAGTTAAAATACTAACTAGTAATTCCTATCAAGGCAAGCGAGAGTTCTCCAATGAGGTAATTTGCATTTAATAATAAGCCTAAGTGTTCCAGCACTGCACTATCCCTTATTATTTTGCTTCTGTGGCATTTTCATTTTATGATAATTGGGTTTTTGCTTTGTTTCACAAATTTAAAACAGATTTATCAATAATTTTAAGAATGCATGGACCTACAAAAAGAAGTTGTAGCAGTGTTCACTTGACAAATTAAAGTTGTTTGTGGTCTAATAGCGGCAAAGTTTTTTTTTTTTTTTATCTAATTTAAAAGAAACAAATGAATGACTATGTGGTTGCCACTCATATTGATAGTCTTAAAACAACTTGTTTAAAAATTAATTAATTAATAAAAAATGTTATCTAAAACCCTGTTTGTTAATAGGAAAGAAATTTTCCCTTGCAAAACTTATGGCATCTTTTTTTGCTAGTTATTATCTGAGGCCAACTGTTGTCCCAAAGTGGCAGCATGATTTTACAACATTGCATGAGTTAATTTATATTGATTGCAATTGTATAGAGAACTTTAAAACACTGCATTTGTCTTCCAGAAACTTGCCCCTATGTTACGGGTCAATTGTTGACACAAGCTGGCGAATAGACATTGGTTATCAAACATTTCTAGTGTGGCATTCTAAACAAGATCTGCATTACAAAGCTTTAGCTTGCAGACTAGAACAAAGATGTACCATGAAGTTATTTGGTATCCATAATCTATTCTGCAGCTAAACATATATATTTTTCATCCTAAATCCATCAAAGAATTTGCTTTGGATGGTGGGAAGAATGGCATTAACAAAGGAAGAATAAAATTAAGGTTGAAAGTTTAATTACATTGTTTGTGAAGCTCAGAAAATGAGATGAAACGAAATGGGGAGAGCATTGTACACGGATTCCATAAAATCCTACCTCTCCAAAAAGGAGGAAGAGTTGAGAGAATATAAAAAACAAGCTTCTGATATTTTTAAATAATTATTTAACAGGTGAATATGTAGCCTTGCAGTTCTCATCATTTTCTTTCATGCCTTATTTTGTTTCTAAATAAAGCATAAATTATACAAAATATTTGCTCTGTTCTTACTAAATTCAGCGTCATATTGAATTGGTAATTTTCTTTGATTGATCCAGGTGACTCTTCTTTCTAGAATACATCACAGAAATTTGGTACAGCTGCTTGGGTATTGCCGAGATGAAGAGAATAGTATGCTTGTTTATGAGTTCATGCATAATGGCACTCTCAAGGAACATCTTTATGGTAAGCCTGCATGATTTAAATCAAGCAGCAGAAATCCATATGTTCAATTATGTTTGACTTCTTGTAGGTCCATTAGTGCATGGACGGAGTATCAATTGGATTAAGCGCCTGGAGATTGCAGAAGATGCTGCCAAAGGTATAAGCTTTATGAATTATTAAGCTAATGTGTCATTTAAGAATATTATATGAAAATATAAAAGGTTTCAACAAGTTTTACGTTGACAATCGAAGGCCTAACATAACCCTCTTCCTTTACTCGGGCTTTTGGGCCATAGGCGGAGTTTCATTTAAGAATATATAATTATTTATATTTTTTTCCTCTAATTTTCTCATTAAATGGCCCTTCCCTTTTGATCAATCACTAACGGTATTATTCTCATACTTGTTCAGGGATTGAATATCTTCATACAGGTTGTGTTCCTGTTGTTATCCATAGAGACTTAAAAAGCAGCAATATTCTTCTTGACAAGCACATGAGAGCCAAGGTTTCAGATTTTGGTCTTTCAAAACTTGCTGTAGATGGAGTATCCCATGTTTCAAGCACAGTTCGGGGGACAGTAGGATATCTAGATCCTGAGTAAGGCCTTTACCTATTTTCAGTGAATTTGTGTGTTTCAAGTAAACAAAGTTTATCGTCTCTTTATCTTGGTTGGATGCTAAACGCAAATTGCCTTCGGTCCCGACAACCTCAAACTTGTCCTTAAAACCTTCTCTTCACAGGTACTATATTTCCCAGCAGCTGACTGACAAGAGCGATGTTTATAGTTTTGGTGTAATTCTTCTTGAACTCATATCCGGTCAAGAAGCAATATCGAATGAAAGCTTTGGTGTTAATTGCCGAAACATAGTCCAATGGGTGAGTTTTAACTTCTCTGCCAACATAGAATTTTGGAGTATGAAGAAAGTGTCATCCTTTGTAGTTTATTTTTTCCTCAAATGATTTTTGCAGTATTTGATTTGCGACACTGGAAAAAGTAAATCATATTAACATGCACAAGATATGTGATTCATTTGGATCTCTCTATTCTATTTCATGTATGCTTGTCATCAAAACAAAATTAAATGCTCTCCTAAAACTAACCTAGCAATATTTTTAACCTATAAGAACAACAGGAACCATGAATGAACTATATAGACATGAAGGCCTGCCATATAAATTACATTTACATCAACTTTGTTTTGGTTGCCTGTTTCAATTTTTCACAGGCAAAATTACACATTGAGAGTGGAGATATACAAGGTATTATTGATCCCTTACTGCAGAACGACTATGACCTACAATCCATGTGGAAAATAGCAGAGAAAGCATTGATGTGTGTTCAGCCCCATGGACATATGCGGCCATCAATATCAGAAGTTCTAAAGGAGATCCAAGATGCAATATCTATTGAGAGACAGGCTGAAGCATTAAGAGAAGGCAATTCAGATGAGATGTCTAGAAATTCTTTTCATTCTTCCATGAACCTGGGTTCAATGGATCTGGGTGTAGCTGAGAGTTACCTGTCAATTGATGAATCCATTGTACAGCCTACGGCAAGGTAGAACTCTCATGTAAGCAAACACAATATTTTCCTTTATTTTTTCTTCCTCTAATTTATTTTTTATCTTTAATTTTGTGTGTGAATGCCTTGTTCATATGTGGTCTAATGATTGGTTCGCTCCCTACCAAATGAACAAACAATATGCATGTATAATGGTGTTAATTTGTTCTGCTTTTGCAAGCACCAATGACGTTGCCATTCGCGATTTGTTGTTTGCAAAGCACCAGGGGTAAAAATGTGGATTCCGCTTGCATAAGGATACAGTATCTGAATTTTTCCTTTTTGTCACGAATAATTATATAGCATAGAACAAATACCACAAAATTAAAGACGATATTTAATCTAAATTAAGTGAACGCATGTCAAAGCATGTGTAACAGTAAATTTTTTTAAAATGTCAATTAGAAAATATATCATTATTGTAGGTATATACATTTTTAATTTTGTATTTACTTGCACATTGTTAGTTTATATATTATGTCAACAAATTGAGTTGGTCTATTTATATATCATATAGTATCAAAATTTCACGGTTCAATCCGACTACAAGCAAATGATCGACCAAAATTTTGAATAGAGCAAGGACAAAAATAAATCTCTGTCAACCTATCCCATTAATACTTTTTTCGTCAAATAGTAGGAAGTACATCTGCGTCAACCTATCCCGTTAATTCTTGTAAGCAGAAGTACCTCAGTGGACCAGTGATCCGGGACATGTTGGGAGCAGTAGCAGGCTGATTTTAACATCGGGCCGGGCCCTCATTTGTCGGCCCAAACCATGTAAATAGCTTTTCCAAATGTCCGGTATTAACATAACACGTCCTGTATTGACCCCCCCCAAAAAAAAACATAACATGTAGTTGCGCTGTTAGCTTTTATTTATTTATTTTTAATTTTTGAAAATGTTGTATATAATATAAAAAATCAATAAATAATAATATTTTAAAAACTATCATATTTAATAATATCAATACAATAAATTGCATTAAATTTTAATAAAAGATTATTATAATATTGGACATGTTAAGAAAACATATATAATAAGAGACGTGAGAGCTCTCAATGATTTTATATCTCACTTTATTCCTCTAAATAAAAAACCTATAAAATAAAAAGTAAAAATGTATAGACTGTTAATTTTAATTACAGCATTTTATAAGTATAATTAATTTTAAATTAATGATGAATTAATATCAATTTTTTTAATTAAAACTCTTTTTATCTTAAAAAAACAGTAATATAACTCAATTAAGTGTTTACTGAATGAATTTTTATATAAAAACTTATATATTAAATTTAATCTTTAAATATTAAAATGAATTAAAAAAAAATAGAGTCGTAAGCTCTGTTTGTATAGCCTTTAAAAATTTTGTTCAATAAAAAGTGAAATTTTCACTCTCACAAAACATATCTTATAATATGTGTGAACTCCATTTTTTATGCTATAATTGAGTTCTCGAAACAATCTAAGCAGCGGGTAAATTATTCCAACTTTAATATATTTTTAAATAATTATTTTATAAAGTAAAAAAGTTTAAAATTAGTCCATGTATATATATAAATAAAAAATATAAATATTACGTAAAACTTATCATTAATAATATGAAAATTAACATAAATTTATAATTTAAATGTAAATCTGAACATACTTTGAAAATATTTTGAAACTCTGGTGAAAAGGGGGTGATGAGGTGAGGCAACGAACCATTGAAGTGTGAACCGAACAAGCAGCGAAAAGGCAAAGGAGCAGGAAGTGCAAGTACAATACAGAGTCAAAACACGTGGTCGAATCACGCACCTTGTCAGAATCATAAATGTCATTCACCAGAAACTCTTTTTTCTCATTTTTTAATTAAATTCATTCATTTACTTTTTACGCTAAAAAAATCTTACAGTAATTTTTAATATACCTCAAGCTTTATTTAGGCAAGGGGAGCAGAATCCAGAAAGAAATAAAAAAGAATTAAAAAGAAAAAAAGAGGAGAGAAATAAAAAGCGTTTGGGGAGAAGAGAGGGAGAGAGTGTGGTTGTAATAAAAGAAAAGGAACGAACGGTGGTGATAGGACTGAGTCTACATCTCAATCGTCTCCTTCTTCCTTTCTTCTCCAGCGTCCGATTCCTCTCCATTCTCACCGATCTCGCGCCAAATACAAATTCCTCACTCACACAGGTATCATTAACATTTCCTTATACCCCTAACCCTAACCCTAACCCTAGTCATTCTACGCTTCTTTCAATTTCACCATGCTTTGCTTTTCCTTTCTCAGATTAGGGTTCCGGCGACCATGGCCGACGGTCCGGCGAGCCCAGGCGGCGGAAGCCACGAGAGCGGCGACCACAGTCCTCGCTCCAACGTGCGAGAGCAGGACAGGTATCTTCCCATCGCTAACATAAGCCGCATCATGAAGAAGGCGCTTCCTGCCAACGGGAAAATTGCGAAGGACGCCAAAGAGACTGTTCAGGAATGCGTCTCTGAGTTCATCAGCTTCATCACCAGCGAGTGAGTGTGTTTGTCTTTTTCTTTATTCTCCTTTTCTACTTTTCAACTTGTTCGTGCTTTTAATTGCGTCGTGTAGGGCCTCTGATAAGTGTCAGAGAGAAAAGAGGAAGACCATTAACGGTGATGATTTGCTCTGGGCTATGGCCACTCTCGGCTTCGAGGATTATATTGATCCCCTTAAGATTTACCTCACGAGATACAGAGAGGTACTTTAAATTTACATTTCCTTATTTTATTTTATTTATTTATTGATTTTACTTCAGGAGCTTTTCTGGTCCCCAACAATTAGCTTGCTCGAGAATATTGAGTCTTAAGTGTTGTTTTGGTTTTCCTACTTTAGATTTTGGTTTTCACTGATTGGTAATTTTTCTTTTTTTGGTTGTGGCTTTGTCCTGGGCTGATTGGGAATGTTGCAGATGGAGGTAATTACACTGCTCTGTAATTATTGTGTTTTAGGTGAGTTTCTCTTTGTGCACACCTTTCTAGGTTAACGGTTTTTCAATTTGTGGTATTCCAGGGCGACACCAAGGGCTCAGCCAAGGGTGGAGATGCATCTACTAAGAAAGATGTTCAACCAAGCCCTAATGCTCAGGTGGAAGTGGAACACACACGCACACTCACATGTGTATTATGCTTGATTGCATTGCTGGAAATACGTATATATGTAGTAGAATCAATAGCATCTGATGTGGGCTTATATTTTGTTGTGAAATCCACAGCTTGCTCATCAAGGTTCTTTCTCACAAAGTGTCAGTTACACGAATTCTCAGGTAAATCCACTCTCTTTCTGTAATGCAATGTCTCCTTTCTTTGTGTACTATCCTGGGCTGTTGCATTGAATGTTAATAAATGAAGATGCCTTAGGCAGTGTTTAAACTCTGGATTGTAACTGATGTGTATAGAATTTCTGTTTGCTACTTTGCAACCATATCAAACATTATTCTTGAAGCATAAACAAAATTCATTACGATTCTATTATAGAAATAGGATGTGACTTGTGATACCTCCATTTGCAGGACATCACAAGTTTAAACTCCTTTTCCGCAGAAAATTTTTTAAGCTTGTTTTTAGTCAAGATGCTCCATACATTGTTGGCCCCGATGCCATTTTGATTGGTATTAGAAAACATACTGGTACTGCATATTTCATGGGTCCATCTTAGAATTAATGCCTGATCATTCTTGTCTCTGAGTCAGCTAGTTTTGGTTGGTAGCGCACATCAATGCACCCATTAAAGTCAATAAAAAGAAGTGTGAATTATGGCTTGTTATTTAGGTTCAATGAATTTCTCTCTTTCTTCCGCTTTCCTAAGCACTGTTGTGGTTGATTTAGGGTTATTTAATACGTGGTCCATCTTTGAAGGGCAATTTTTCTCAATCTGGTTGGGCAATGAGAGTTGTTGGTGATTCTTCCTCCTTAATGGATTGTACAAAGTACAAACAATAAAAAAATGTTAATTTGCTGTGGTCCCTGGTGGCACGAGGTTTTGTGGATTCTGTTGTGGGGGGTTAGCAGGAGGTTTTTGGTGTTTCAGACCTCATTGTGAAGTTTTTTGGGCTAATCAGCCTTGGTATGGATTCACTAATGACATAAGTACATCACTTATGGATTTGGTCTATCCTATTGAATATTAATAAGTTTTATTATGTCTTCAATCTTGATTGCTGAAACTTCTTGCTTGGATAGCTAAAGCTTTGCTCCATACCTCTGTTTTTACTGAAGCTTTAATCTTTGTGATTGTGTTAAAATGATTGTACAATTTACCTTACTTTTTTTTATATAATAGCTATTTTACTTCTTGCCTATGCATAGCAAATAATCTAGTGATCATGATTTTAAATTTCCGGGTAAGTGAAACAAATTCAATGAAGTATGTTAAGCTATTAGGGTTTATTTTTTGACAGGAGGTTCTAAGGTTTACTTGATCATTGAATTGTTAAAGATCTATTGTGAAAAGTGGATTTCCTGAACTACTCTCTAGGACCTTTTGTCTTAGCTTGTAACATGTTTAAAAATTGTTAAATATTAAAGCTAAAAAATTTTGTGCTTGAAATTAAAAAGGTTTGAAAGCGACTTAGTTCTTACTCAACTATTAAAAGGTGAAAATGGTGATGCTATTTCATGTTAAGATTAACAGGAAGTTATTATGTAAATGTGACTGATTAACCTGGTTATTATCTTGATTCTTGAATGTTAATGGTTCAAGCTCTTGGCTAGAGTCCATCCCAAAAATCTTATTGGGTGGGAGAGTCTCATGATTTGAGTACACCACTCATCTCTACTCAATGTGGGACTTAATGTTGCATATGCCTTTTGAAAGTCTGTATCAATGATGACCCACATTGGCTGCCCACTTAGGATGGATTTAACTTTCACCTTTTTAAGGCAAGTGACACTTTACCCTTGTTGTTCCTGTCTTGGTTTTCCCTTCCTTGTTGGCCACTTTTGGATGGAAGTAGAAATTGTTGCACTCAACCCTCCTGGCTGGATAAATATTTATTGAGCCTCGGATGTTTACTTAATGCAGAACGTAACATTGATCATGCATTTTTATCTATGACATGGATGTTTTTCCTCTCTGGTTTATATGTTTTTTTAATCGTAGTTCAAGGAATTTATGTGACCACAAGCATTAGAACTTTCTTTATAAATAATGAATTTGTGATATTAATTTTTTTAATTATTGTTCTGAATCTTCTATCTCAGGGTCAACATATGATGGTTCCAATGCAAGGCCCAGAGTAGGTATCTAAGTCTATTGACCCGGCTGTTGTTGTAACGGATGGTTTCAAAGCCGATGGAGCTTTAGCAGGTGCTCACGGCATACTGAATGTATCTCATATTATGTGAATACTGACATAGGAGGTGGTTCTTGTGTCCAGATATTTTTTTTTAAATTGAGATTTGTATATTATCTTTGGAGTAGAATTATTATTTAAAAGTTATATTGTAAATCGCGGAGCCCTGTTGTTTGATTTCATCAGGCCGCTGGCAAAGACTGAAGATTTAGGACTGATTGTAAGCATAATCCTGAATGGTATATTCTTTTCCTTGTTTCTTTTGACAATAATGCATGAAGAAGCCTTTTTTACCTGTTCCACTGTTCGTTAGACATTTAGATGTGATATTAATAATAGCCTCCCCCCCTCCAGTGTGATGAAGCTTGTTAAAATTTACTTAAACTAATCGAATATTGTAATATATTTATATTCGTTTTTTATTTTATTTTATTTTATCATAATATTATATTAATAAATCGTACATCACTTTTATTTACTTTAAACTTTTAATGGAGTATTTTCTTTTTATAAAAATTATTGTCTTTTCACAATTTTATCCTTCTAATCAATGTTTCTTTTCTAAATTTAAAATAAAATTAAAAGTTATATGATACATTATTTTTAAAAAATAACATGATTTATATTAAATTGTAAAATATCAATTTGGTTTGATTTAATTTTTATATTTAAAATTGGTCAAATTGAATTACGTGTTATTTTATATTTGGTTCAGCTCATCTTTCAAGTAAATTGAATCAAACTGAACTACAAACGCACCAGCGTATGCCAGTGTGGTCCTTTTACTTCCCTAATGCAATGTTGATGTATGATTAGGTAACTGGTCATTTGCTTTCTTGTACAAGCGGAATTATTAGGAATGTACATTACTAGTCTAAGAAGATAAATGTTCGATGCGCTATAAAAAGGTTCGGTATATAAAAAGGTTCGGTAAAAAAAGTATTAGATAGATGTAAAAGAAATGTGAGGGAAAGAAGTTATGATCTTAAATTTTATTAATTAGATTCTTCTATTAAACAGAAGCTAAGGACTTAACTGAAAATGATTTATAAATTCCATTCCTAATTATAATTTTTTTTAAAGTAAAGAGAATCATTTTGAATTTTTTAACTAGCTTAGAGACAATTTAACCCTTTTTTTTTATTTTAGGATCTTCACTTTAATTTTTTTTATAAATTAAGTCATCATATATTTACTACATAAGTTGAATAAATAACATTTTTCAATGACAATTTTAACTATATTGCAATAATGTACGAGAAAGAAAAGATTCTACTAAATTTTGATGGATTGTTCTAAAATATGTCAATGGACACGAATAAGTAATACAAAGAAAGAAAAGCAACTATAAGAAAGACGTCACGATATTTGCATGATATTTGAGCTCAAGATGAATGAAAATTCAAGTTGGAGTACTTATAGCAATTGTCGAACTTTTAAGCTCTTAAAAAAAAAATTAAAGGTGTACTTCTAGGACATGCATGAAATCCTCTAATCCAGACACAATCAAGTTGTGAATCTGACCTAGCGAGACATACTTTGGTTCACCGAATAACAAAACAAAGGCAAAAGCAAAAACAGATAAAACATCTGACAATGTTGAATTTAGTATATTGAAAGAAGCAATCAGCAGAAAAATGAATAACAAAATTTACCCGTGTTAAGGAAGAAGAAAATAAGTTAAAAGGAAAAAAAGATTGAAGTTCGATGCGATACAACTTCTATTCAAGGCTACAAGTGAAATGTTAAATATGGAATGGAACAAGTTATCTTTTTAGAACATGATTAAAGAAAAATATGGCATAGAATAAGTTATTGTTATTTATTTTGAGTGTCACTGATAGAAAGGAGTCACAATCGAAAAGAAAACTATCTAACGAAAAAAAAGGTATAAACTAATCTTCTATGGAAGCAATAGTAATCAGCTAAGGTAAAGAAGGAAAACATGAATTGATAATGAAAGTATGTCTGATTTCAACCAAAAATATTTTAGTATATTAAAATTAAAAGATAAAATTAGTTCAACTAATTACACTATTAGATATAAAAATTGTATAAAATATAAAAAAAATTCATGACGAGATCCAACAAAATTATGATATGAAATATTTAGAGCATGCTTATTTCTAATTTTTAAAAGAGTTTTCACTTTTTAAAAACTAAAATATAAATTGGACCAACAAATTGCTTTTTGTGTAGGTTACAAATTAGCTAGTCCAGGATACAAATTAGACCATAACTAGTAATTTAGTCCAAGTATTCGAGCAGTGAGTCCTCAGTAAAAGGAGAAAATGTACATCAATCAAATTCAATTTAGCCCCTTGTCCTAAACGATTGGCTTCGTGAATATGAAGAGGATAAAACCTGCATAAGTCAAAAGGATGTTTTTGTCATGAAAAAAAAAATTGGACTTCACTTTTTTCAAAAGGAGATAAGTAAACTTAAAATCCTTATATTTAAAATTATTATTAAGATTTTGATAAAATAAATGTATATAATATAATAAATTATAGTCATTAAAACTTTTTCTACTATTTTTCTTAATAATTATAACTCTACCCTCTACCTTCTGAAATGTTTTTTTTTTTCCTTAAAAAAAAGCCAAATCTTAAAGTCTTTCCCACAGAGGTGCTTGGAATGTGAAGGCGTTTAGGACTGAAATTTTCTTGTCATACAAGATTCATTAAATAATAAAATGGCAGATATACTTGGGGCTTATTTCTTTAGAACTCAGAAAATTAATTCTTAAGTTTTTAATGAATAACACACAATTTAATAAAAAAACATGTGGTTTAGATTAAATTATATACATAACTCAATCACATTAAATAGCTTAAAATTAATTTTACTCAATTTTAAATAAACAAATACTTAGTAATCGTAATAAGACATCACCTTGGTGACACCATGAAAATCAAATGTAGACAAGAAAATTAAAAAAAAAAATACCTTGGTGACACCATGAAGTCTTGGAAACTAAACGAATTATATAACTTAGAAGATTTATAATGCAAGAAACACAAGACATTCATATAATGGAAAGAACATTCATGATAGAAGAGATGGGACACTTTTAAACCAATGTTACTTTAAAGATTAGTTCACTCTTAACTAGTTCTCCTATAGATAATTTTTTAAATGAATAGTTTTGATTTTTTTACTTTTTATGCGTATAAATTTTCTAATTACTAAATGAGAGAGAGAAGGAGCAATGATACTTTGGAATACGAGGGCAAAAGCATCCAGTCGGTCCTCCAAACAATTTTTCATGAATGTTTTATGAACTCTCAAGTTACAAAATTTGCAATTCCTTCTTTATCTCTCCAAAATGCTCCACCTAACTAAGTTCTCAAATTCAAGAATCTCATTTATTGTAAATATTGTTCCAACTATTTTCGTTGAATCTGATCCTGAAAACAGAAGGCATTTTGGCAAAGATTCTTGGGGTGAAATCATAGACTTACGGTACAATGAACAGACCAGAGAGGTGAAAGAAAGAAAGACGTATTCCAATTAGACGGAAATCATCACAAAATTATGAATGAAATATCTAGCTCCTTGACAGTGGAAGTGGAAGATATCGAGATTGTAGCCAAACAAACCACAATAGACAGGAGAATAAAAATGACATCATACCTGGTATGTCTTTGGTCCTTTTTTGAGTAGATAACCAATGCTGTTTAAATTATCGATGAAAGAGTCAATATCAGGAACTTTCAAAGAAATCCTATCTGCCAGACTGTATATTTCCTGAAAAATAACACATGCGTCTTTTAACAAGCACGGAAACTACCGACAGCGAATGCAGGAAGAAAATTAAGAGCACATACAGATACTGAAAAGCAATCTTTTTGTTCCAGTTCTGATTGCTTGTTGAGGGCATTTAGAAAGCGTTTTGCCTCTTTCTGTTGACTCATCCCCCCACTTCGACCAAAATCCACGATACCATGCTCATCAACATACTTATCATAGAGGGATTCCTTCATGATTTCAACCACATCCTGCACCCCAATCGTCGTTACAAGAAATAAAGTCAGGATAGATTCACGATAAGAAAAATCATGTCTTAAAATTTATGGCCAGGAAACGTTTTGTTGACATACTCCTCACTTGGTATCCGAAATTCTATAAAATTATTTTTGCATGACATAAAAGTAGAGGCAGGAGATATTATTGATCGACTAAAATTGTTTCCCTTAAATCCCTTCGAAAGATTGTTAGTGCTCAGGCAGACGAGCTTTTTATCTATATTTGAATGGCGGCATTTTGGTTGCTGCAAGAATTACATATTAACCTTGATGTGAACTAATTGTCACAACACTCCAAGTACGAACAACCACCAAGAAGGGTCGACGACACATATCAAACAATACCATAATGTTCTATGGTAAACAAACCTTCGACTACTAAATTCTTCTTTAATAGTTTTGCCAATAGTTTTTCTTAGTTTCCCTCTACATGTAGCAACAAGGTTATCCTCTATCTTACTAACTATAGGGCTTCTAGAGAGTCCTTCACATATTCCAAACCACGAAATTCTACCATTTTTTCAAATCTAGATACTTCTCTAATTTTCTCTCTCATACATGCATTTCTAATCCTATCTTGTCTAATGCGTTCACTCATCTAAAGCAAGTAAGCAACATTCTCATCTGCTGGAACTCTCTGAACCCAAGCTGTGTAAATTAAATAATAGTGTTCCTACTTGCATTTTAATTGATTACACTAAAGGGACCGGAAGAGGACTGGTGCTATAAACATTATTTGGGTCATACTTGTAAATACCAACCATTGCATCCTGGGCCGTTATTTCTACTCTCAAGTCCAACCGAGCCCGAGCTTCAGCTAGCCTTACTAGACTTTCCAGCTGCCTAGCTGTAATAGGAGTACCATCAGCTGAAGTATTATGATCTCTTAGTTTTAGGTAAAATTTTTGCAAGATTTCTGCTGCTGGCGTGGTCATCCTAATAAGAGAATAAAAAAGGGAAGCAGAAAATAAATTCTTAGAAGCTTCCAACGGGAATACTTTTAGTCCAGAAACATTAAGTACATATGACATCAAATCACCTAGGAAAGACAAAACTCCTTGCATAAGCGATGTATTTGCGAAGAAGTTGACCGGGTAATGGAACAAAATCGTTGTCTCTTTGTGGGTCAAGTCTCAACCTTGAACTTAAAGACCCCGATCTAACCCCCAGGTCTACACCTTCAGCATTCTGTGATACAGCAGCTCTTGAATCAGAAGGTGGATCTGAATAAGAATATTTTCCATCAGTAAATCTAGATTTACCGGAAGGTAGAATGCTCTAGCATATTTAAAAATTAATGCAAGACGAAGTGGTATGAAGATAACCTCCGCGACGCTTTTTCAATGCCAGTGAATGTTGTCCATTCCCAGCATGAAGCTGCAAGATACATTTGAAACATTAAATTTTAGTGCCACAAGAACTATACAGAAGCATAGGATCAAATGAAAAGTACTAAGAAAAATAACATTGATTTGAGAATATTCGGTAGAAATGTAAAAACATGTCTACCGTGAGAAGAGATATAGTCCTACAGCGAGGACCCTCAAATCTAACAAGCTGAAAACCCGATAAGATTCCATCTAAGACGCGAGGCAATGAAGTTTCCCTTTCAAAATTCTCACCACTCTTCCCGCGTTTTTCTGTCGGTTCTTGTGTAAGTCAAGTCATGTCTTTAATACATTGGGAGTTCAAACCTATTTACCAATTTAATTTCTTTATTTGAGAAGAAGAGTAGTTTCTAGATCAAGAATCCAAGAAAGGGTAGTTAAACCTAGGATAATTATGAAGAACTGAAAATTAGCGTCACAGTAATAGATGAATAGTTAAAACAGTTCCTATAAAATTATAGTCATATACTGTCATCACAGTAATAGCTGCTACTTCTATCAAAATGCCTCAAGATGAGAAACAAAGATGCCATTCCCATTAATAATAACAGAGATATGAACGGCATGTAATGAATATACAAACAAAAGCTGACACAAGGTAAGAAGACAGTATTCACTTACTGACATAATGTGCTCTGAGACTCGCTTGTCCAGTTGTTCATCAGGTTTGTCCAACAGTATGAAAATTAAATCAAAACGGGACAGGAGAGCAGCACTCATTTTCAGATTTTCATTTACAGTTTTTGCCCGGCTGCAATTTGGGTTATAGCTTTCAGTATAATGGTAGTTTGTAAAATAAATTGCAGAGTCCGTCAGAAGAAACACTTTGCTAGGCTACATGACTGGCATTATCTTGAGTAAAGATATTGGGTTACAAATTTATACAAATAGAGAACCCCAAAGACATCTGCCACATCGAATGATAGAATGGAAATGTAAAAAATATTAGTGAACTTTATTTGATTTATAATTTATTACTGTTTATATATTATTTTATCACGATAAATCAGAGACGGAATGTCTAAATAAGAACAGCCCGCTAAAAGAAAATTGTGGGAATAAGATGAAAATAGAAATGTTACTTATAATGACCACCAACGGGGTTTGCAGCTGCTAAGACAGAAGTTCGGGATGATAAGCTTGCTACTAAGCCCGCCTTTGCAATAGAGACACACTGTTGCTCCATTGCCTCCAGTAAAGCCTGTATTATATCACAACTTCACAATAAGGTTTGAGTTAAAAAATTTAAATATATTACAGTAAGAAGAAATCAATCACCAGTGACCGGAGGACAAACCTGATGCTCTGAAGACATTTTATCAAACTCATCAATGCAGCACAATCCACTGTCAGCCAGCACCATAGCACCTGTCAGGAATTCCAACAATCATTCACAGTAAATACAAACCAATTTCTTGCGAAGGATCATAGTAAGATCTGTTAGAGCCAATTATTTCTTTTTCCAGATAGCATAATAGAAATAATTTTTCCTCCTTTGCCCATCTTATTGTAAAATGCTTAAGTCATAGACGCTAGTTAAAATAAACTAACCAAATCCTAAGGAAATAGAACAAGCACCCAAAACTAGAAAAACAATGTTATCATTACAAAAACAACCATAAAGGAGCAAACCATACCGCTTTGCTCGTCAATGACTCGACAATTAGGCTCCTGACTTATTGAACATACACATTAAATTCCATATTCTCATATGGAAGCAAATATTTCAAAATATGGGGCAGGAAACATTTTGAAGAATCCAACAATAAAAAGTAACTTAGAAAAAGACAATTTAAAGTAAAAAAGCGTCCTACCAGTCAAGACCACTCACAAGTAACTCCCTAATTTTGGAAATAGCTGAGACAGAAGATCAAAATTTGATTTAGTACAACCATAAAAAGAAATTAGGAACATATACCAGCCTCAAAAGCATAGTCACTTGTCATAGGATCCTTCACTACAGCTACTGTGAGGCCAGCTTTGGTTGTGGCATTACCACAGACATAGATACCGCGTGGAGAAACAGCTGCTGCTGCTTGTAGCAATTGGCTCTTACCGAGACCAGGATCACCTAGAAAATCGAAATTGCAATACTACCAGTTTATCATCTCATCTCCATAAGTCTTCATCGTGTCTCCATTATGCCAACGTCAAATTGAAGAAAGCATTTTTACATAAATAAATCCAGTCCACTTATATGTAAGACAAAAAAAATCTGCAGGTTTGACTCCATTTAGAAGGTAGGCAAAAGACATTAAGCATACCAACAATTACGACATGAATATCTCCCCTCACAGGAACCTTATTCTGATCCGTAGAATGCTTTCGTACACCACCAAATAATGCCAGGGTTATCCCAGCTGTCCAAATAATAGCAAACTAACGTCAGATTCGCCCTTCAATAGCCAATTTCGAGACATTTTCCCCAAATAATGCCATTGGAGCATCAGAAATAATAGCCCGAGTCACATTCTTCCTAAACAGTTACTAACAATGCACATGCCAACCCATAGATTAATAAGATCAAAAAGAACATAAACATATGGGGCTGGCAATATTATGTCCTTTTAAATGGGAAACATTAACAAGGTTATACTAACAATTACAAAAAGCCTAAGAAAGGGTCATTAAACAAGCAACTAGAAGTCTAGAAGAGTGCCCGGTGCATGAGACTTCTATCATGGCGGGGTCTGGAGAAAGTCAAATATACTAATGTACGCAATCTTATCCTGAATGAAGAGGCTATTTCCGAGATTAGAACCGATAAAAACCAGCACCAAGTTACAAGGCAGCAACTTTATCATTGCGCAAGGATCACCCTCTCACCAAACAAACAACTGAGCAAGGAGGCACTTTCATTATACAATACACATTTACCTTTAACAAGCTCATGCCCGTAGATGGACGGGCATATAGATTGAAGGATTTGCCGAAACAAATCTGAACCGTGCTCCTGCGCAAACTTGACGACAAATTCTAAATCTTTTGAAGAAAATGAAAACAAGTCAAACAGCTCAGTCGGTCTAGCTTTGGGGTTAGAGTCTTGCAATTCGTCGGGTATGGACTGTGACTTCGAATTTTTTATGGATACAGTTTCAATATACAAATAGTAAAATCCTTGGTTTCTGTTTTTGGACTTCCCTGCATAAATACCCACAAGCTACATCAGACGAGAGAAATGGCTCAAAAGAGAATAAACTTGCATTTTATGTAAAGTAATTAAGATATTTAAAACATAGATAACTGTTAGCCAAACAAAATAGCTACAAATGAAGATTGTCTGCGGTGTCCCATCAACCGTACCAAAATATTTGTATAAACTAAAACCAGCGAACAACAAACGCATTATGACTTTACATTTGACAGTTTTTCTTATGTATGCAACATTACATGTAACTACAATCTATATGTAATAAGTTTTTTATTAAAAATTATAAAATATAATATAATTCAATACAATTATATGTTACAATTTTAAATTAAAAAATATATATTATTTATTAATTTATTGCGTATAATTTTGCAAAAATTAAAAAAATCATTATACTAAATAATTACATAAATCACTTACCTTTACATGAAATTTGCTAATGGCTTTAATTTTCTCTGGAATATAAATTTTGTAACCTTTGAAGCTATATCAGTTTAGAATACTTATCGTGCATCAGGATTTGGCAACAGGAAAGAGGTATGTGTCCTTTAAAACTCAAGCAGAAACCAGTGCAATCCAACATCAGAAGAAAAGAGGAAACTCATGTTCTACGGAAGAATATACAAACATGATGCTAACTAGCTAAGACAGTATGACTACTTGTGTTTCATGACTTCATTTTTGTCAAAAGCATTCTATTATTTTTATCACACGAGTTCCAGTTCATTTATTGGCCAAACAATACAGTTGAATTAATTATTTTGCTTGGAGTCAAATCCAAATGCCAGTGAACTCAATGAAATAAAGAAAGGTGATTAAAACAGCCTTAGATGGATATTCAAGTGAATTTTCACAGCGTTTGGTTAACTTTGCTAACAAACATCAATTTGCTTTCCTTTCAATATTAACCAAGTGTTCAACCAGGGTACCAAAAATGGCGGATACCAAAAACATGAAGCTTCAGTCATACCTCCTCCAATATCCATGTAAGTGTTAATTCCTCTGATAATTCCTGTAACTGTCACCACATCTCCAGGTATGCATGCATCAACAAGATCTTGCGTAAGCTCACATTCTACTGTTCGGGGAACTCGACCTTCTTCATGGTCTTCAGGTTTTAATAATTCTTGAACTCTAATGCAGCACATGCATTCAAAATGGATTTTAAAGGACTGAAGATCCAACAAATGAGTAGGGAGCAAGGGAACGTATGTGAAAGAATAGAATAGTAAGTTAAGCACTAGGATCACCTTATTTTTTGAAAATCAATAGTTTGAGCAGTAGATCGCAACGGGTTGAAGATTTTGCTCTTGCAGCCATTCAAATTGCAAGTTGATGGCGGAGAATATTTTCCATCAGGAAAGATACGCATAATTGTTTGTTTACACTTGCTGCAATCAAAACTCATTTCCACTACAAGGGGCCTGACAGTGCTGACTTTCACAGCAGTACCACGCACTGAGACAAGCTTGTCTGTCAAATCGTCAAAAGATGATAAAACATTAAAATGGACTCCTTTTTTCTATCCAACGGAAAAGTATCAACATTGGCAAGCAAGCATGCATGAAATTGGAAAAATAAAATACTAAAATGAATTTATGATATACCAATATATGCTGCTTTTAAGTTCTTCAGCGCAATCATAGTTTCGGGACAGTTATAAAGTCGAATATCTACTTTTGCACCGAGCTCGGAGCTGTCACTCCCCCATTTGGAGAGCAAAACCTGTTTCCAAATTATTATTTAAGTAATATAGAACCTTGGCCAACACAAGATAAGCACTTGTCTGTGCAACAACAGAGGTATTTGAAGCATACCTTATGAACCGCAGCACTCATGCATGAGAGAGCAATTTTAGGTTTCTCCATTAACATTTCATAAAATTCCTCGACATGACATATTTGCTTGAACTGCTGGAGGTCAAGCGACAAGACATGGTTTCCATGATCATTTTTCACCTATCAGCAAACATAATTTAAAAATCACCCCCAAGACAACACACTGAAATATTCAACACATCACTGTATCCAACACAAGGTTGCTTCCAAAGCTTCAAAATCCAAATGAATAACCAATATAGTCCTCGCAAACCAGAATTACCAAACACTATAAAAAAATGCACTACTTAATTAATGCTTATGCCAGTTTTCTAACTGTATTCAGTATTTTAGTTTCCATATACTGAGAAACAAATTCAATACACAGACTCGCCGTGCTTATTTAAGTACGTAAGGAATGAATTTGTACGTAAACATCGATAGCTTGTGACTGACAAGAAATAACGAAGTTAACGAAAGCAATGCCCCGAAGACAAATCAGAAACCTAATCCAAATCTGTTACTTAAATTTTAAAATTCCTAACTGCTTCGGAAAATGGATTCAACATATCTCTGTAATAATGTGGCGAAGAAGAGTGAGAGGTTTGAAGAGGAAATAAAAATTGCGATACCTGAGAAGCGAGGTTTTGGCCCGGCGAAGAAGAAAGGAAGGAAAGAAGAGCGGAAGTGAGATTAAGCCAGGTTTCTTCGACGGTGAAGAGTTGCTGAGGAAAGTAAATGCCGAGTATATCCAGTAACCCGAGTAGGTCCATGGATATGGATCCGAATCCGGGTCCGATCCTCTGCTCCGTCACTTCCGGTGTTCCGTGCATCCCGTTTCCGATCGATCGACGTCCTTCGCGTTCGCGGTGCTTCCTTCCGTTGATGTTTGGAGAGCAAACTTTTTTTCTTATGGCGGGAAAACTGAGAAGATACTTTTTGGGCCATGAAAAAGATTAATGAAATAGAGTGATGATAGCCTAGACCTGTTTTGGGCTTTAATAACTGGGCCATGCATTGGTATGTCAAAACTTCCATTTCCAGCGTGTATATATATTCAAAAAAATAAATGTGTCATGTGTTTATATATATAAAATAGAATATAAGATTAATATATGTAACTGTTTAATCATTTTATTATTATCTGTATTAAATTTTACATAATTTAGAGATGTAAAGATATATTATTTAAAAATTTATATTTATTTATATTTTAAAAATATATTACACATTAAAATAAAATAATATAACGAAGGAAATATTTAATAAATTATTAAAAAGTATAACATATAATATTAATGGATATTTTTATATATAAAATCTTGTATTAAAATATTAAATTAAGAGTCTAATAGTATAAAAAATATTTATTTATAATAAAAAGTTATTAGTTTTTTTTTACTTAAGATGCTTATTCAAATGACTTTTTTTTATGAAATAATATTTCATTTCAAACTAGTTTTGCCTGACTTTCTTGTCATAAAGATTCATATCTTCCACAAATTCTTGGTAAACTGCTCCAAAAACAGAACAAGTGTTGGATAATTGGTGAAATTGATCTAACTTTTTTCAAAATAATGAAAACTTAAAAATGAAAAAAATATGAAGTGACGGAGTAGAGCCCGGCCCTAAATGCTATTGTATTGTGATATTTATTACCGTATACTTAAAAAATTTAGCGATTTTAAAACAAAAATAAGTTCGTTGACGATAATAGGATTAAATTAAGTGTTAACGTCTAAATTTCTTTTCATTTCAAGCAATTCTATGTCTTTCTTATAATTAAGTTCATCGTGCTTATTTTTCGTATGCATTTATAGTTATGTTTGTATTGATGGAATTGGGAAAAATCATACCGTTTTTTTTATTATTTGGATTACTTTAAGATATGATGAAATAGAACGGATATAATTAAGCATTATGCTCATCCTGTTTGTTTTTCCTTTATAATTTCGAGGGAATGAAGGGAAGAGTCATTTTACATGTTCCATAGCGAAAATATCAAAACAACAAAATAGTAAGCTTATAAAATGAAATAAAATAAGAAGTTAATTTTTAAGATTGTAAGAGGTCTACTGCTTTCATTATTAATATTAATCAACATTAATTTTGAGAAAAAAATTATTGATTAGCATATTTAGTTTCTTGAAATATATATTAATTAACGTTTATTTTAATGTTGTTAATTGTAACTTTTGTGCTAAATTTGTATTTACTGAGATTCTAACGCGTGAGAATGTCTTGGTATAACGTGAAATTTTATTTGTTCTTCTCTTTTTTCTCATATCTCTAAAACCCATATATAATATTTGTCTCTATTTTTCTCCAGCTCCACCTTAGTCACCAAAATGTAGCCATGAATATCCTTTCCAACCCCTCACATTCACTGCGGTAGGCTACACAAACAGCCACAAAGGTGTCAATTGTAGCCAAAGTATGGCAAAACCCATTCTCCATGTTATTGCCTAGATTGATCACTATTTGAGCATATTCTACAACTATATGCCCATCAAATACTATCGAAGATTGTCGAGCGTATTGGGCGTGTGCAAAATGAGGATTCTCCATGATTTATACATATTTTTGTTTCAAAAACATGATCCATTGTAAATTGAAAACCCATTATGATACATACATGTCTAAAAAATATATACACAAAACGATGTTGGATATTAGATTCGTAATTGTATATTTACATAATGCGCATTTTGAAAAACAATGCTTTAGTTACCGTAACATTCTGTTTGGTGTGCAGTTGTTTGTTAACGCATATCCCTGGTGACAAAAAACCTTTAATTAATGGAGTAATTTTATGGTTTGTGGAATTGTTATTTAGGATTATTTTCCTTTAAGTTGTAGATCTTTTCACAGCAAATAAAAATTTTATTGTATTATTTTGTTTATATGCATTTTTTACGATGCATCAACTTGATGGATGGAGGTTAATTTAGGAAGGAAGGAAAATGGAGCTACTTCATATCATTGGTCATCCATGACAACGAATATGATGAATGACTATCATTTGAGAAGGAAGGAAAAAAACAAGTTTTTTTTTAAAGAATTTTAATTTTTATTTAAAATCTGTTCAGCATCTGATTGACAAGGGAGACTGATACTATTTCAGTGCTAATAATGTCTTCAAAATGGTGGTAAGATGATTTTGGGAAAATATAATGTTATTGCAAGAAAACACCTAACCCTCGGCAAGAAAGGGTATAAGGCCAACAAATGTAAATAAAGTAAAGAAATGTAACGTACTTAAGGCTCTAAGTTCTCTTCCTTTACGTAAATGCTGATTTTACTCCAGTTTGAGTTTTTATCATTACGGTGGCACGAGCTGTTAGGTTGAAACTATTGAGTAACAAATTTGTTAGATATTGTTTGATGTTTATAATAGATTTTGAACACTCTGACCTTTCGACATTGCTGTTACACGTATTACTTGCTTGGAGTTTTGATGCATAAGTTGTCCTTTAATGGGACAAACAATTTAAATGTGTAGCCTTAAACTGATTTGACTGTGATAAATAATAAAAGCGTCAATTTAGTAAAGATTTGGTGTTATTTTCATTTACTCTATATTAAAATCTGAACTTAAAAGAAAAAAGATGTTAAAGGTTCTCATAGAAGTTGAAAATGATGGAAAGAAACTACCAAATCAAGATGTTGCTGTTCTACAATCGTTGTATCGTTTAAGGTGTCATTTAACATGCACGTTAGTAAACTTGATTTTAATTTTTACTAACATCGTAAAAGTGATTAATCTCGTACAATCTTGAAAACTAACATCTTATTCTGTAAAATTTGAAGAAAACCAAAGTGAATGACTTCTGCCACTCTAAACAAAAGTAGATTTTTTCAGTATAAAACAATTTCACTAATGATGTTTAATCTGTTGTTTCATAAGAATCGCTACATATTTACTCATACTTTAAAAAAATAATTATATGTATAAAAAATGTAGCTTTTCTCTTGACTAATGTAATACAAACAGAAAAAGACTTTTCTTGATCCAAAAGTTGCACTTTCTAACACTGCCATCTCCATACAACTAGCATAATGGTTATTTTAAAGTAATTTTAGTTAAGCATCACATAATGGTTAGTTTAAACTAATTATAGTTTATATGCACATTTAAAAAGGTTGAACCAAACATGTGTTAATAAGTTTCTGTTTATATAAATCAAAAAGATTTTAAAACTAAACATTTCCTTGAAATAATTTTTCTTTAAAATCTAAATAAAACCCAATGATAATAGTTGGAAGGGGTTTTCGAAAGAGAAAGATGGTTAGACGCGTGTAGTCATCATGTTAAACGACACGCTCCCGTTTTATCTCTGTCCGTAGCACATATTTTACAATACACCCAGGAAATCGCCACGTCACCTTAAATATATATATTTTATTTATTTATATTTGAAACTGAAAAATTGTATTTTATTTTGTTGCGTTGAAGTGGAATCTCCTGCACTAGCCGCTTCTGCAAAGTTCAAAATTTGCGAAACCAAAAACCTTTTCCCTCCCTTCTTCAGAACCCTCAAATCCGTTTCGCCGCCGATTGCGATCCATGATTTCCGAACCGGCCGGTTCTCTCAGAAACCGGGACGTCCAAAACCGACGCCTCAGCATCATCGATGTTTCTTCCGCCGATGATTCGCTTCTCGATCCTCTCCCTGGAAACCCTCTCAACCATAAACTCTCAGGTTGTCTTTCATTTCTCATTTAACTGCAATTTTCTCATTCGATACTTATTTTTCTCAATTATTTACCGTTTTATGAATTGAGATCAAATGAAACTCGTTCACATCATCCATTTAGAAAACCAAGAGCATGCAAACTTGTTATACACTCCGAACTCGAAGAAGTTCGAAGACGCTGCCACCAAACTGGAACAGTGGGAGCACGAGACTCGTTCGAACGAGACATCTGAAATTGGAAAACCTAAGAAGAACAGCAAGTGCAATTTGCGCAAGAGTTTAGCCTGGGACAGTGCTTTTTTCACTAGCGCTGGTACGTTTCCTTCTGCGATTGCGTTTTTTTTAATTGGATGTTGAAGGGATTTGTCTTTGATTGGTTTAATTGTTCAGGGGTTTTGGATCCTGAGGAGTTGACTAGTATAATTGAAGGTGTTGAGAAGGATGAAATGCATGCATTACCGGATATTGAAGAGGATGTGTACAAGTCGTGTGAATCTATGTCTACGTTAGCGAGTGATAGCTTGACATTGGAAAGTGTAGAGATTGAGGGTGATTTATTTGAGGATGTAAGAGCCTCAATTCAGAAATCTAGCAACAAGTCCAAGACCAACCCCGCAAGTGCAAACACAAAAGTGCCCTCTTCGTCTGGTGTCCCGCGATTCCAAGCTCATGGCTGTAAGTATTATTTTGTACTCAGTCCATTCGGCATAGATCCTTGAGATATATTTGTGAAATGTGAAGAGCTCCCATAAAGCATGGGTTGACGGCCAGATTATGGATTAGTTATCACGATTACGATTTTTTTTTTTTCATGAACATCAATTGAAAGTAAATTTAGTTGTAGGTATAATTAGGTTTTGGTTCTGGATGCATAGAATGAGTGGACGACCATTTCAAATGTTTTTATCTTGCCTTTGTGCATCTTGACAACTTTGAGTGACAATGGTCGATTTTTTTTTTTATTCTACTCTGCTTATCTATCCATCTATTTATATATTCCGCCATACTGATTTATTATCCTCAATCAAATGATTGATTTCTGGCTTTTGTTTTCAGCTTCAAAAAAGGTTGGCATGGTTTCTCACAACAAGGTAAATTATTGGATTTGTGATAGAGACTAGAAAATTTGTGTCATGCATATGTTTGAATGATTCCTTCTCATTTCAAGAATACTTGAAGAGAAATGTCTGTAATGCTGCCCAAAGGGGGTTGGCTCAGTCAGCTGTAGATAGGTTGTTTACTTCTCCAAAATCTTTAGGTGTTATATCCCTGTCCTTAAAGTAACCCCATCACCGAGGCACCTAAAATCTATTCTGGACAACAAGCACCACTGAGAAATGTGCATGCATGGTGATGAATTGGTGGCAATGTTTACAGTATAGAATAGTGCAATCTGATTGCCTCCCATTTGTAACCCTTCCCTGCTCCCCCCCCCCCCCCACCCTCCCCTCTAACCTAAAATAAGGTCTGGAATAACTTTCTATTGATATTTAGATGAAGGCCCCACTTGCTTCTAAGAATCCAAGTTCTGGCATACATGGATTTGGGAAGACAACAAAAAAGAATAATCCTGTTTTTCCACAACTTCCACAGGTATGCAACTAAACTGAATCATTGAAGAGGACTGATGGCTTTTTTAGTTTTGCTAACTAATGATTGTCAAAGGACAGAAGCAGTCACAATCATGAGATGAGATTTTGAGTGACTGTATAACTGACTGATTTTTCTTATTTTGAAGAAGCCTGTTGCCACAAGGAGAGAGTCATCTATTTTAAAGCCAACAAAGGTACCAGGAAAGCCTAGTCCAAGTTCCACAATTTCATCTAAAAGAGTATCGCTTGGTGACCTACATGTCAAAAATGAAAAGGAGAAGGCAAAACGAATAATTGGTGGTTTGAACTTCCTTAGCTTTCATTTTATTTTTGGCTTTCAATATTAACGGTTGCCTTTGACCGAGTTCGCAGTTAAATTTTTATTTTCGTTTGATCTCTTCAGATAGAGCCAGTTCAGTGTCAAAACCATCTGTTGTTGGAGGTTCACGAGCTACTGTGCCTAAGCCCACACTATCATCCAAATCCCCTTGTCCATCAGTATCAACCAAAACAAAATCAGTAACTTCTGTTTCTTCTGGTAACAATTTATCTGATAACTTTGGTAAATCTCCTTTTAATTACTTAAAAAGAAAAGTTAATGCTAGAACTGTAAAGTCACCCTCCTCTTGCCCAGCTGTCAGAACACCATCAAGAATTGCTTCAAGAAATAAAGCTGAACCTGGGAATTCTAGTCTCTCAAGCTTGATGTCTGCCACAAAGCTCTCCTCTAGTATTTCACCTGCTAGCTCTATCAGTGACTGGTCTTCAGAGTCATCCTCATCAACTTCCATGGCTAAACGTATGTGTAATAGTTCAAGGTCCAGCCTTGATAGTGGCTCAAGCAGAAAGGTTGTATCAGACACTGATGCAGATCAAGGTACGAATTCTCAGATTCCTCAGAGTGATTCAAGCTTGGATAGGCAGGAGGTTCAACAGGCTGGGTTTATTAGTCAAAATGCAGGGAATGCTCCTGGAGTGACAGTTCTTCCTCCAGCTCCCAAGAAACCTTCAGGCCTTCGACTGCCTTCACCAAAGATTGGTTTCTTTGATGGGGTGAGTTTTGCCTTGTTTATATTTGATGTAGTCACAAACTGAGATGGTTATTATTTAGTACCTTTTTCTTGAAGAGTTCACAAATTTCATGCTGATGTGAGTTTGGTCACACACTGTTGTGTTTTTTCCAGGTGCAATATCTGCTTCTGGAAATTATGATTTTTACTTTTCCCATTGCCTTCATCTCTCTAATATACTGCATCGGTTGAATTGATGTCATAATGTTGTGCAGGTGAAGCCCTTAGTGCGCACTCCTCGTGGGGGACTGCAAACACACTCTGTTATACCTGGTGGCTTGCCAAAACATGGTGCAGAAAGTCCAAGTGAGGGCCAAAACAAAGCAAAAAAGCTGCAACCATCTAGATCTATAGCATCAATTGAAAATACAAAACCCAATAACCAGAATCCAAATCCTTTTCATAAAGCATTAGATGTTACAGTTAAGACATCTAGTGCTGTTCAGAATATCAAAAGCTCTCCTGACATACTCATGGGCGCTGTTGAAAATACTTCACCCTTCTACGTAGTGGAGAAAGCTCATCATGATTTGTTACCACTTAAGGGTGTCAATAACCAGGAAATTTCTCACCATGATAATCAAATTGATTATTTGAGCGAACAAGTTGGACGTGTAGACATAAATTTCGAGACACAAGAAAAGTTTAATGGTGATTCCCTTTCTTTCTTGCACATTGATGTCAGTTCCCAAGATAAATCCATTGGTCCGGAGTTATCCAGTCACAAAGACCTTATTGATTGTCCTAAGAAAGAGGAATTATTGAAGGGTTCTTCTGCATGTCTATCCGTCTCCCCAACCAGCTTTGATATAGCAGCTTCAACAAGGAGACCCTTTGCAGTCAAAGATTCCTTTTGCAACATGGATGGGATTGTTTTCACAGAATCAACGGTCTCAGAGGTAAAACCGACCAACTTTCCTGTGCCTGATAGCATTATTATGAAAGAAAACGAGTGAGATGATTTAAATAAGTTGAACTACATATTCCTTGAGTTTGCTGCTTTGTGCTAAAAGTGCAATTGTAGAAGTCTTTATCTTGATGTACTCTGTCCAAGTCATGAATAGAAAGTCTTAAATCATTTTTGAAGTACTACTACTATTTACTAGAATTTGATGGGTCTTATAGATTTCTTTCTTCATTGATTCGATGCCGAGTATCCGGTATCCGTCTTCGATGTGTTGAACGAATAGAATCACGTGGTGCCACGTATCCTTTCAGATTTCATTTGCTGCTTCGTAACACTGGAGAATTTAAGGGTCGGTTTTGTGGAAACGTTTTCTATTTTTGTTTGTTTTTATTATATTTATAAAATTATTATTTTATTTCTATTTTGTCTTTTAATATATACACACCGAAATATATATATATATATATATATATATATATATATATATATATATATTTTCAGTATTTTTTTTTGTACAAATCATTAAAAGCATGAAAAAAATGAAAAAAAAAAATTTATTGAAAGTTAACAGTCCTAAAGGCATGTGATGATATATTCGTCTACATCTTTAAGCAATGCTATATGGCTTTTGTAGAAGCCAGCATTATATTAGAAAATGCCTTCAAAATAAAAGAATAAAATAAAACCTTTTTATCTTTTATATAAGTATTATCTATAATAAAATAAGTATTTAATAAATAAAATATGAATTATAAAATTATAATTTAAATAATAAAATAACAAATACTAGTTTTTGTAAAATACTGTGAACCCATTGCATAATGGAGTCCAATTTTATAACTCATTTTAAGGGTCATACTTATCCCACCGTAGACATTGTATTTTAATTTTAAAATTATAGAGCATAAATTTTCAAGAAACAAACTTTCACTAATTTTTATAAATACTCATTTTATTTTTCTTTTAAGAAAATACACCTTTCATCTATAAATATACTTGTTTGAGTAATGTTTTTTGGAATTGAAAATTTGTTGTCCATGCTATAATTATTAGAATAAATTGCATTTAAGAGATGTTTAGATTATATTTTTTTCTTCCTCTTTTAAAATACACTCCTTCAAAAAAAGTGTCTTGAGGCATTTCTTATTTCTATTACTTTAATTATTATCAACAACTATATATTTAAAGTTCTCTTAGCATACTAGGAAATTATATAAATGAAATGAGAATTCTGAATAAATTCTAGAACCAGTATTAAAATATTATCTTATCGTCTAAAGAATTGATAATATAATATTCAAAGTTAATTGCTAACAGTATTAGAAGTCGAAGGAAAAACAAAATACTCGCAGGTTTGCCTATTCCGTTATTTTTATAACCACTCACCGCCACGCTCTCAAGAGGAAAGGATATAATTTAAACATCCGTATATTATTTACTCTAGTTATTCAAGATGTTTGCAAAACATGTTAACTAAAACATGTTCGATGATCCATTATATAAAAATTTACATTAAATTTAATTGTTGAACTTACTGAAATAAACTAAAAATTTATTTTAATACATTATAACAAAAATTAATTAAAATAAACTAAAAAAGATAAGCGTCAGTAAACTAATTTAAACTTGCCAGAGACCTTGAGAGTCGTATTGGCTAAGGCATTTCCAGACACATTTACGGCACAAGCAATGAGAAAAAGGAATTATAGAATCATATCCAACGGAATTCTATATTCTGGCAATCGTATATTCTGTTGAAGTAACTACAAATTTATACACGATTGCGTTAAAAATCCAAACAAAACACTATGAGAATTTTGATTCCGTGCCAAAAAACAGGTCAGTATCGAAACCCGCAGTAATAAATCGTATCCTACATTTGAATCTGCCAATCAACTGTTCCTAGTAGTTCAGCTCAAAAACAAAAACGACAGTGTCAAGATCAGAGGATTCATGCAATGTCTAAAGAAGGGGGAGAGGAAGTCTGTAATATGAATCAAATTAAGTTCAGAAGAATTACTATCAGAGATACAAAATTGCTCATAAATCTCATTCAGTCTCATGCAGCAAAATTCATAATTTTTTGGATAACTAGAGAGAGAGAGAGAGAGAGAGAGAGAAAAAGAGGATCCGTCCCACAAATTTAAGACCTAGGCTTCTCCTTCTTCTCCTTAAAAAGAGCCAGGAGAGAGACACCAGAAACCTTCACAACCTTGAATCTGACACCAGGAATATCACCCACGGCATGACCTTTTCGTCCAAATCCAGCTATCAAGACTTCATCCTACAACCACCAGCCACAGCCCATATTACATAATGAATTTACAGCACAATGAGAATAAGGAAATTAGGACACCACCAAAACAGCAAAACAATGTGAAGTTTAAGCAATATGATAAATCACTCACATTCTCTTCAATGTAGTTTAGGCAACCATCATTTGGCACAAACGCAGCAATCTTCTTCCCATTTTTTATGAGTTGCACCCTGGCACATTTTCGAATGGCAGAGTTGGGCTGCTTGGCCTCAATACCTCTGCACAAAGAATGCATTGGTAATTTCTTATATGATGATCTAATTAAGTATTCAAGTAAAAGATAAACAAATCAAATTAATCTTACATCTTTTCAAGAACAATACCCTTTGCATGGGATGAACCAGCAAAAGGCTTCTTCCATTCATTGCCAAGATGAGATTTTTTGTATGCCTTGTCGGCCCATCTTTGCCTCCTACGATGGGACTTCAGCTTGCGGGCAGCTCCCATTCCTCGTGTCTTCCTGTAATAGTAGTAATGAACAACAGATTTAACTCCTAACTACGATTTTCTTAGGTAGAGATTGTTACAGAAAATAATGAAACCGCATTATTAATATTGAAACTATAAACAAGTAAAGTACAATCACAATATTCTGGTAAATGCAATACCAAGGCTTTGGAATGTTGATAATTTGAAACTAAAACATCATTTCAGAATCGTAGTGCCAAGGTAAGAACCAAAACACACATCACAATCCCTAAACGTGTCCCATAACAGATAAATACATAGTTTTTATACGGGAAAAAAGCATGAGAAGATTTGACTGAACATGGTTCCACCCGAAACAACGACAAATTCAAATCAACACACAGAACCACCAACAGATTACCTGATTCACCAACTTCATCTGTACTCAGTTTTCTCAGGAAGAAACAACAGACGTAAAAATGCAAATTGTCCAATAATAGCCAAAATAGAACGACAAAAGGATCACTACGAAAAGAAACCATAATTTGGAATCACACATAGGAATTCCAATAATAATTAGATCGTAGAAAGTAGGAGAATAGCATTTGCAGACAATGTAATGTTGAATTACCCCATGGCGATAGATGCTTAGTTCTGCGCAGATAGAGTCTAAGGAAATCGAAGCAGTAGCCGCAGTATTTAACCCTAACCCTAAAAACGGAGTGTCGTGTTTATATATATAGAGAGATTGAAGTCTACTAGTAAACACCTCTATTTTTTTATTCCTTTTTGTTTACAGTGCCTTTGGGTTTTTTTTGTCAACGTGCCTTTGGACTATTTTATTTTTGGACTGAACATGCCTTTCAGTTTCGTATCAATATTATTGAAGCTCGTTGGGCCTTGTATCAACATGGTGACCCATTGATATTATACTTGGTCTGCCCAAAAAAATATCACTGGGTAACTTAATTAACGAGTATCATATTTATTGTACGTTAATTCATAAATACAATTAAAACCTTTCAAAAATGGATTAGATGAGAACAAATGATTTTTGATGATAAAAATAAGCAATTAAACTTTACAGATTAATTGTAGGTTATTTTGATAGTGATTTGCAAATGCTTTTTTAATGATAACGTTGGTTGAAAATTTTGAGTATCGATTAAAAATAAAAATCCCATTTAAAAAAAAATAAATCATCTTGATATTATTATGGAGAGGCATATATAAAAAATTAAGCAAGATACACGATCATCTGAGAAGAAAAGTACAACAGATATTTATTTTAAATTTACATGATAATAAAAAATTTATTTTGAAAAACTCGAATAAAGAATAACATTTCCTCAAAATGAAAAATTCAACCCTCTCATTTGGCTCCAAAAAAAGAACGCTATCAACATTAAATTCATCATGGCAAGTAGCCCCACCAAGGGAAAGTATTTTCATCCATAATAATCTCTCTAGTTGCTAAGAGTGTGATGAAAATAAAATAGTCTTGATTCATAGAAACAAATGCAGTTGTGAACATTCTCTGCAACATTAATAAGCTGCTCCATTTCAGCAGGTTCAATTTATCTACAATACTACGCAATATCTGTCACGAGTCTATCGCATATTTCCTTAGGAACTGCTTAAATGGTCATGACTAAAGAAAGTTGATAAAACACCGACATAGCCTAAAAAAAGGTACAACGAAACAACATATTAAGAAAATCATTTAACCAACACAGTAACGAGAATGCAATGATACCAATAACTGTGACACATCTACTTAATGGTGGTTCTTCCTCCATAACACTCCAATCTTCTTCAACATGTTTGTATTTTTCTTCTTTGGTGACTCATCATCTGTCTCTCCTAAATAAGGCGAATTCATCTTGCCACTAATAGAATTGAAGCTATTGTCAAGTGAGCCACTTCTCTCTACAAATTTTCCATTGTTTCCTGTGGAAAGTATAGAGGCAGCTGCTTCAGCTGCTTTTCTCCACTGATCTGACTGAACTTTCAATCTCCTTAATTCAGCCTCCAACTCAGAATTTGCAGCCTGAGCAGCATCTAATTGCTCCGTCACCCGGGCCACTCTTTTGTTACTTTTGTCGGCTTCTTCTGTGGCGTAGCCCAGTTTAGTCAAAGCCTCTTGCTCTGCGGCCCTTGCTGCTTCGGCTGAAGCAGCAGCCTCCTTGGTGATTTTATTCTTCTCCAACTCTTCCTTTATTTCCATCTTGAGCATACTGTTTTCTGCTGTTATATTTTGCATCTCTACCTCTCTATCGGATAACTTTGCCTTCAAGTCTGCAATGTCAGCATCCAATTTTTTGAGCTCTATCGTGAGTTCAGATTCCCTATTAGTAGATTGGTTTTCCTTAATCCCGGAATTGAGTTCCTTGTTCTCTTCTGACATGCTCACCAACTGTGCTTCCTTGTTCGTAAGGCTTGCTCTTAGCTCTTCAGTCTCGGCTTTAGCTTTCCTTAATTCCTCACATAATTCAACCTCTCTCTGGCCAGATTCGGATTTTGTATGTTCCAGTTGTTCAAAAGCGCTTCTAATTTGCAACGTGCTCTGGATATACTCTTCTTGGTATCTTACCTCAGCCATATCCAATGCAGACTTCAACTGTCCCACTTCAGTTTTTGCAGAGATAAGCTCAGCTTTGAGCTGGTTTACTTCCTCATTCTCTCCATTTTCCTGAGAAAATCCATTTTCATTGGTTGGATCTGATGTGCTTTTGTTTGTGCTGCTAAGCAAATCAGCCTGAAGTTGACTCACGAGTCCCTCCAATGATTTTGCTTTAGTTCTTGATTGCTCCAACTCTAAAGCTAAAGATTTGTAGGCTTCTGTGGCTTTTATGCTATCTGACCGAAGAGTTTCCACAGTTTGATTGGCTGCTTCCAATTGCATTTGCATTTTACCAACTACTTCCAAGGCCCTGGATTCAGATTCTTTGCAATCACTTACATCATTTTTTAGCTTTTCTACCATAGAGAGAGTTTTATCGAGCTCCATCTTCAATTCCTGAACCTCAGCATGAGCTGATACTGCATTGTTAGTCTGAGAAGCTCCAGACTCGCATAATCTTTCAAGTTGAATTTTCAATTTCTGTATTTCATTCATAGCAGATATCAAAGCAGCTGAATCCATTGTGTGCTGCTTCTGGACAGCCTCTAGTTCAGATTGCCACGCGCGATCTCGGTCTTGAGAAATTTTGCGGAGCTCTTGAAGCCGTGCTTCTTCAGAAGCAGAAAGGTCCAAAAGCTGTTGATGGGATTCCTCCAGCTCTTTTGACATGGTTAAAAGCTCCTTCTTTGCCTCTTCAGCCTCCTGCTGAGCTTTTCTCTTCCATGACTCAGATGAGTTAAGTTGATCCTTAGCATGCTTCAGATCTTCTTGAAGACGACTAATCTGAGATTCCAATTCCTGGACCTTACTGGGTCGCTTCTTCTAGAGCCAGATGATAAAGAGAGAAATTATAGTTTGAATAATAAAATATTAAAATTAAAAACTATCAACAATATAATACTTCAGATTTCATATATACAAACATTGAATAATGAAGAACTTAAATAACAAGAACCATAAGACAATTAGTATCTAACATCTAAGAGATTGCCACTAGCCATGGTAGCTCCCTCAGAAAATTCTAATCAAGGTAGGGTAAATCAGATCTAGACATGAGCTAACTTCAAATACCTCAGGTATTGGACTTTGTGGTGACCTGCGTTCAATGACCTTTGGGCTCCTATCTTTTGGAGCCTTTTTCGCAGGGTTTGGAGAAGAGGAGACCGAGTCAGAATCAGAGTTTGGAGTCTTCAACTGGCGAGCAGTTCGAGGAGTTGAAGGAGATTTCCTTTGTGGCACTTCCGAAGTACCAGTTCTGCATACAGTAAGCCATAAGTCAAATTAAGATGCACAAATCAATGTAAGCGGAGACTGTGGATCAAAAAGTATCATAAGATAGCACATTGCAGTGGTTGAGTGATGAGAAATAATCAATTGGATGAAGATATGCAACACTGTTCAAACACCTCCATTCAAACAGGTGTTGCCTTTTTGAGGATAACCAGCAACAAGTTCAGATTTAACTATTTTCTCCACATGAATACCATATGCTACAATAATAGCAAATATGTCATGAAGTTGGTTCTACCCAATCAAGATGAAAGAATAAAAGTCTTGAGGCCAAATGACTAAATGATTATGACCAAGTGAGAATTACTAAATGACAAGAATGATATATTTGCAGCACAAAAATAAAAACAGAGCTTTGTTAGATTTATTGTATACTGATACCTTAATGTAAAGGCATCCTGAAGCTATAAGTTCTTGATGTCATCCAAGCCAGACAATATTACATTTTGATTTAAATAAGTTACAGTGAAACTTAGGCATATTTAATCACGCAACGACGTAGAGTTATAGAAGATTGCCTCAAGCACAGTAAGATTTGGGAGAAGTTCATTTAAAGGAATTCTTTTTCCACCAAGCAACAGAGAACTATTGTTTTATTTTTTACAAACTACTCTTAACAAACATATGCAATTGATGGTTTCAGAGTTTACTAAACAACTACAATTAAATAAATGCATCCATAATTATATTTTCATGTTTCTTTTTGAAAACGAGTAATCCATAGTTTGTACATCCAAATCTAATTAAATAAAGAGGTCATTCATCCCTAGTTTAGACCCCAGAAATAATGATACAATGATAACACAACTCTGTCATAAGATGGCATAAAAAACGGAATGGAAAGCAGGAAATTTAGCAGATAATTACAATCTTACCTTGCTTTTGGTGTCTGCATATTTTAATCTCTCAAGTGATAGAAAGGAAAACAAAAAGACCTCGTCTTTAAAGTCCCTGACCCACTATTCCTGCAACAGGAAACTGAGTAAGAAATAAAGACGAAAAAGAATTTGATTTATAATATGACAAAATGAAATAGTTCCCAGGATATGACCACCACGGAACATCATTTAACAGAAAAAATCTAACAAACAAACAGCATATAATCCCTTCAAAGAAACTCCAAGTAAACTAACTCCACTACCACCTACCAAATCTAAAGTACAAATAATAAACAAATAGAACCTTGCACCAATATTCTTTAAAGAAAAACCATTAACAGAATAAACTACCTTTAGGCTTCAACTTTTCCAATTTCATTCCTCACTTCCACTAGAATTAAACTCCGTAATTAAAAATGATTAGGGCACAGACCACGCAGACAACCATAGTTTCAAAACTCTTTCACGTTTCACCAATTTCAGAAAGAAAATTTCTTTTCTTTTCTTTATTTTTGCTCCCCTTCTCCAACGTAACCTAGAAGCCTTGTTGCTGGTAGGGAATTTCCATATTCCTAGCAAAACTTTTCAAAAGCAGAAACAGAGTTTATGGGTCTTTTTTCTTTTGATTTGAGTGAAACTCCAGTTTGGAACATAGCAGAAAAGACACAAAGTTGACCGACAAAAACCCAGATCTACACAACATGCATTCTCAAACCAAACATCAAACAGCAACATAAACGCACAAATAGCATGAGCAGACCCAGCTCCTACCTACCTCAGTAAAAACAAACTACATGTTGTGTTTCACAGAAACAGAACCAATAATCTTTAAACATGAAACAACTAACAAAAACCAACAAAAACTAAGCCTTAGTAGATTGCCAATGCCCAAAGAATGGGGCCTTCAAATACCACGAGGTTGGCTTAAAAAAAACAGTTGTAAGTGACAGGTGTTGTTATTCAGAAAGTTAAATAAAGGATGATAAATAAAACAAACATAAACCAACCAGTAAAACAAAGTGTACTAAAAAGGGAGTGAAAAACTAAAATACCTAAGAAAAAAAAAAACAAATTTTGTTTACAAAAAACACTGCAAAGTGGAGAATGGGAAGAGAGAGAGAGAGAGAGGAAAAGAAGAAACAACGCGATTGTGAAGTAGCAACAGTTGATGAAACAGGGTATAGTACACTAAAGAGGGGATATGGGGAGTTCAGCTTACTCTCGCCGGAATGTTCAAAAGCCAATGTAAGAGTGTGAAGTTTGAAGAGAAGAAAACCCTAGCGTTGTTTTGGCTTTGGAAGGAGGTTGTTGGGTTGGGTTGAGTAGAGTTGAGTTGGGTTATGTGCTCATTTCCCGAGTTTGTGTGTTGTGTGTGTGTCATTGTATTTTCTGTGTCAGTGGTGATTGGCGAAAGCAGCAGCTAACACCAAAACTACGTTTCAAACCAAAACATCATTAATGACAACGCTCCTTCACCTCCACGCGCTTCTTTACGCTTCAGTTTTCATGGGACCTGTGCACCCCCATAGACACAAACAACGTTACTGCTACAAGAGTGACAACTTTGCATGTGTTTTAAAGCAATGTTTTCATTTACTATTTTTTTAACCTGTGTTTTAAAGCAACTTTGCAAGTGTTTTTATTATTTTTAATTTTTTAATCACATTTATTGAAATGTTGTGTGTCTTTAAGTGCATAATTAAAATAGTAAATTTTATTAATAAATAAAGGATATTAAAAATATAAAAAAATTAAGATAAGTATATTTAGTGTCCTAATTTTTAAAGAATTCCAACATATTTTTATTAAAATATAAAAATATTTGTTAATTATTTAATTAATATCTTTAAATTACTGTTTAATAAGATTTAATTTTAAATAAGTACAAAAAATTGCATCCTGTGTCTTACAAAATCAAAATAATAATATTTAATAACGTTGATTTATGTATATCTCGTATGAGTTTATTTAATTTAATAATAATAATAATAATAATATGATGTTAAAAAAAGTGTTCAATCCTCTCTCTTTTTTTCTGATTCTTATCTAATCTTTATCAATTTTGGTGAATATCCATAATAATAATAATATGTTAAACTAAATTTTTATGTAATAAATATAAATTTTTAATAAAAGTTTTTACTTTTAGTCACTTAACCTTAAACTTAAACCTTACTGGAATCTCTGTCTAAATTATTACGAATTTTTCCCTTTTCAAATAAAATTATCATATATTATTAAAGTTTATTTCACTTTTCTCTTTTTTATATTGCAAAACCAAGTTTTTTACAAGACTATAATCAAATTCTCATAAATTTATAAGATAATGGTGTATTTAAAGAATATATATATATATATATAATCTTAATTTTCAAGACTAACATTAAAAAATTACAAGTGAAAATATTAAGCAAAACAATTTTTATTACAATAAAAAAATATAAAAATGTTATTATTACTTTATTTTTAATAAAAATGCTATTATTAACAGTTGTTGGGAGTTACAAAAACATTTTTTTTAATATTTGATGAAGTGATTACGCAGTATATGTGTTATCACAGTCAACATAAACAAATTTAAAAATAATAATGGTTCATTAATTTAATGTCGGTTAAAAAAATATTATCTGAGGCCCAGTATATGGGGGATCATCAGGGAGGTCTAAAGCAAAGTGATAAACACAAGTTTAGAGACAAACTTAGAAACTTAGAAATGAAAAAATAAACCACAAAGATTTGACTGAAAGGCGATATTTATTTAAGAGTTGAAAAGAGAGAAAATGGATGAACAATAAAGAAACAACAATTATTGCAACATATAGCCAGAATAATATAAGAAGTAATAACATTACATTAATCAAAAAGAATTAATCTTAAAAGTGTAAGTTTAAAATTTTTTATATTATATCAAATTTATTTATATAATTTATATTTAATAATTAATAAAATAATAAATTATAATTCGTTAAATATAAATTAAATAAATAATTTAAATTAAGAGTAAATTTTTAAATTCGTTAAATATTTATTTTTTCTATTTAGAGTCTGAAAGTATTTATCTGCTTTAATTTGAAGAAGAATATATATAATAGATCCATACAAAAGGAATCAAAATTCCCTCGAAGATTTGCATTGACTGCATTCATAAGCGGGTCAATGCAAACAACTTTTGTTCATTGGATCATAAGATTAACAAATAGCATGGATCTTGCGATAAAGTCAAGTTTGAAGCACGTGCTGCATCCAGTATGGAAGGACGAGGAGGAACAACACACTCAAATTGTCACAAAATGTACTTTCTAAACCATGGCTTTGACTAATCAATCATGGCCTTCCAAAGGTTTGATCAATTCACAGGTCCTTACAAAACCTTCACATTGTCTATTATGTCCTTTACAAAAAAAATTCAATGAAATAAAAATGGTGATATTTATATAAGTATATACATAAATTAAAAATATTTCCTTAAAAATAAAATCATCTTTAATCTTTATATACTGATCTGATGGGTAGTCTGTTATGTGTCTTTCACAATAAAATGAAAGCGTAAAAAGGAAAGTTGATGCTTTCATTAGGTTAAATTCAAGCCTTTCGCCATTTGATTTGTTTACAACGGAATCAACATGGAAATTATTCATGTTGCTCATGATTTTGATGATTTTCACATTCAAGTGTCAGTTAGTGACTTAGATAGCCTATATATGTACATGCGATAGGGGTGTATCATCATTATCACAATCTTAATTTGTCTTCGGCAAATGTTCTCTAAAAGAGGCAATTTGGGTTGGAGTAATTCTTTATTGAGCACAAACCCAGAGAAGCTAATACTTAGACATAACTACTTCAAAAATTACAACTCAACATTTAAAAAAAAAGGCAAGATGAAAAATAAAGTGAACCCCTTGTTGATTCTATCTCCTCCTTAACCATTACATTAAAAAAAAAAACCTTCGTCCACCCTATATAGACTTGAAACAACTGGGGCTACTAAACCACTGGATTTAAACAAGTATATTTAAATTGCTTTTCTTCTATCTAGCTGACCTCATTGATTTTAATTCGATTTAATTTTCTATAACCATCATGCCAACTTAATTCGAATAAATTGGAATGGAATTATTCGGTAATCTTAAAAGATTTAGAAAACAACATTAAATTTATTTGAATTTTTTTTTAGAAAAAGGAAAGATCCGAAGGGCAGTCACATGCGATGCAGGCGGTCTCTGACACTGCGACCGACAACTCCACGTAAACAAACAATTCCTCACTCAACTCAGACACGCGCCGATCAAATCGTTCGCTGTCGTTTGTTTCATCACGGACTGTCCTTCCAACGTGGCCATATCTGGACCCTATGTTCTTCCCAAACCCCAATAAAACAAACCTTATCTGTCATATCGTATGTTACCGTATTCGTTCCAAAGACAACTCTATAAGCTAGTTACCGCTTTAGTCCATTCCCACTCCTTTTTTCCTTCCCCAAACAGGCTCCGGAAGAGGATTACTCGTTAGCTCCTAAAGGTCAAGCCCAAGTCTAAGTGCATGCTTGGATGATTGTCAGAAACTCTTAAACTAGGTTTATATATATATATATATATAACAATATAAATTTATTATTTTATTAATAGTTTAAGTTTATATATTAGGACATGATAATGGAGTTGCCAGGACAGTGCAACAAAGTAAAAAAACCAAAGAGTACGATTAAAATAAACACAGAGGCTCTCTGATTGGTACTAAGAAAACAAGTTCCAGAAACACCTTATGACAAAAAATGTGGCTAGGCAAACTTGTATACATAACACCAGAAAGGTACTTGCCTGACGACGATTTAAATAGCCCAACTTCGGAAGGTTCGTTATTTGATGAGCGCAATAAGCGATATATAGAATTATTATGTTTGCACTGTACTAATGTGAAAGGAAAACAAATTTTCTATCTCATGCTATTGGGAATACACTGGTTAAGACTTGACAAGTTAAAAAATTATTATGTTTCTAGATATAATAAATGATTTTTCGATCGTTGATATAATGAACGTTTTTTTTAAGTAAACATTCTTTTTTTTTTTACCATTTAGCTTATGTACCTGATATATAGAATAGAAAATTTGTAAATACAACATATGTAACTGTTTAAGCTGTTGCATTGTATGAATATGTATGCTGAATTTTGTACATGGCGATAGAGGGCGAAAAAAGGTTTGGTTGAGTAACATTTCACTTTAAGTTGGCATGTTTTCTTTCTTGAATTTATACCCAAGTTTGTTTAAAAATTTTGGTTAGGCTTGAATAAGTATATAAAAATTTACTTTATAACAAGGCTATTTAAATTGATTAAAGATTTTACTTTTAAATAGATTAACGAATCTAAATTTTTATATTTGATGATAATGATAATGACAATGATACTGTTGTATTAATCATATTTACTTCAATAAAGTAATTTAATAATTTTAAAAGGTTTATTTTCCAGTTATATAAAACCTGGCTTATCTTTTGGCTAAAAAAAACTTTTTTAAAAGCCTTAATATATTTGATAAATAAACTTAATATTAGTTAGGTCGAGAACATCTCCAATGACAACATTTTAAACTACTTTAATAAATAAGAAACGGCAAAACATTGAGTTGCGTGATTGAAGCAAGTTGAATTGACAATTGCATACAAGTAATGGTTATTAGCATTAGTTCCTTAACCAAAAGTGACAGTGGAGCCCGTTTGATCAAAACAGATAAAAAGTACGAGTTCATTTAACGGGTTGCATTGGAAAAAAAAAAAGGTATAAATTTTATAAAAAAATGATGTGTTATATTACAGATACCTAAGCCCTCGATAAACTAGTTGACATATTCATATCCTAATCGACAACTAGACAACGTATTTTTTATAAAACAATTTAAATTTATAATTTAGTTGCCAATAATAAGTTAACATGAAAATCGAGAGTATTAGAGAAATTCGGGTTAGTGCAAATACAAGTTGGGAGCTTCCATCATAGAGTCCTAATATGAGCTGAGGTCCCCACTTCAACCACCGACTGATAAGTATGTATCCCCAACCCGCACCCAAAAAGAAAGCCCCGTTAAGGTATCCCCACAAGGTTTACAAGGAACTATTGGTTTAAGGATCCTCTTTTATATGGGTTCAAAATATGAATATAGTTTATATATGACAATATATACTAATGCAAGTGTCTTTAATTTCAATTTTCAGAGCAAAACACAGTAGCATCAAAGAGCTGAGACAGTGAAATTAAATTTACATTTATATCACAATTGAGAATCAAGAATGAGGAACTTTGACCAGAATCATACTTGTCCTTGATTGAGGAAGCATAAAAAGGAATCGGACAGCTGGTTTATCTTTTTGTCAGTTGACCATCAAGAACCACATTTCTTCCCCTCAGAGCAAATGGTGAGAAAGTGAATAAAAATACAAATTGATAAATATAGTAAGTAAAACAATCTTCACCCAAAATCAGAAACCTCCAAGAAACGTTAGGATACACATAAAAATAGGATAAATAAATAAATGAAACACTCAACATAAAAATTTTGTTTTATTTCTTCAGTGATATTTTTCAATCCTACTTTAATCCTTTCCATCCTTTTACTCTGGTTATATGATCAACTGTCCACACCATTGTCCACAGTTTCTACCTTGGGCGGACCTGAATGACGCCTTGGTTTGACAGGTGAAGCCGGGAAAGAAAGACGCTTCTTTGCAGTTCCAAAGGATCCTTTCTCTGTTTTTCCATTTTCAGTGGCTAATGGACTTTGTGTCCTGGACTTAGCTTTTGCAGATTGAGTTGGCACCATATAACTTGGAACAGATGGAGAGCTAGCAAGGCTCTCGTCGTCTCTCACGGATGACCCGGCAATTGAGTGCCTCCGGAATCGGTCTGACTGTACACTCACCATGCTTTTGGAGTCATCATCCATAACCCAGCTGCCCCTTGGACTTGCCTTCTTCAGTTTCTTAGCAACTACTGCAGAAGCTGGTTTGGAAGGAGTGGACTGAAAACTTGGTGAGCCAGGATTTTGGCTGGCTGTTGGAGAATGCTTTTCAGAATTGAGCTGGAAACGAGCAAATGACTTGCTGATTTCTCCAACAGTAATGTTGCGGCTTGAACTTTTTACGGATGAATGATCATTTGGCTCTTTATCCATTAGGCCACGGCTCTCCCAAGGCCGAGCAGCCATCCATCGTTCTAACCAGCTCCAACCCCAGGTAGGATTGGTTGGATCCATGAACATTGGATTGATAGATCTTGATGAATTCTTCCAGTTTTGCTGCCACATAATGTTTCAAATATCAAAAACTGAAATTGTTCTGAAAATCTAGGGACTTACAATTGTGTATTTGTGAATGTAAACTATATCATAGTCAGACACGCTATTCATTCAAAATGTGTTAAGCACGTAATATACATTACTTAATTTCAGTAAATAAATACTGCCACCGACAAAATTGAGGAAGAGCTCATGTTACAACTTAACAAGGCATTAACATATCGTTGGATTATGCAAAAAGTCACAGTGGCAGTAAGAAAGGGGAGTGCCAAGGTTTAAGCAGAAGATATGGCTTTGAATATAGTGATAAGATAGAAAAGGATTCATGCATTTATGGGGACTAAGTTTCAGATGGAAAGAATAACAGCTTCCAGATATAAAGAACAAATAAAGTATGTAAAACAATATAGCATGAATTCTTGATTTCTCATTTTTTAGTGTTTATAATGTGATATTTTTCCAAAGATCTTCCAGTTCATATTAAATTTTTCATCCATTTCCTCACGTATGTAAATTCATGAGAAACTTAGAAAAACCTGATGAGTGAATGCATAAGCCAGTGCTCTTTCTCTTCTCATAGCAGCCTCATACTTGCTTAGTAACTTGGCTTCGATTTGTTCCTTTGATTGTAGGCTGTCATCCCATTCCTCTCCGATCTATTACGACAATGTGAAACAAGTTAAAACATTCCAAAAACATGTTAAAAGTCAAATAAACAAAGCTCAATGTCAAGAGAATTGCATTTCAAAATAAATTTAGGAAATGAGTTCCAGACCCGCATGCTCTCAAGCTCTTTTGCATGCTTCTGTAAGAGCTGTCTCTGCAGAGCCTGATTCTCCTCCAACATTCTGATCCTCCTGGAACGAATCTGAGATTGCAAGCGAGCTAATGTCTGCATAGAACGTAGGGTACTTGTGGCTTGGCGTTTTACAATGGGCCCTTCCATCAATAATTTCAACCTGACCAGCCCTCTTAAAGCCCGCAATGCTCTTCTTGCCTGAATGAATTCAAATGAAAGTTTGGTTTGGAAGGTAATTCAAATAACAAATTTTCTTTTCCAGCAATTATTATTTGATAATGACAGCTTCACAACTCTGCATATAAAGACTAAATTCAGTAAAGATATATAACTTTTGGCATGTACTCAAATTTAAACCGTTAAAATTTGATCTGCTGTTATAGTAAAACCTTTAATAAACAAAAAATTGCTACATTATTTTTATAACTAAAGTTTTTCGTTTATAGTAAAATATTAAAATTAAACTACTAACTCATTCCCTGTATTTGCATTTAACCCATTTATTATGAAAACAGACACAATCACCTTCGTATACAAAACGTCAAATTGGTGACTGAACTGTTGCTCATAAATATTTCCACGTCAAATGTCAACCCAACTTTTGATGAGCATTATAATGGTACTGAGAAAAGGTGAAGAATGCATTCATTTAGTATAGTTGATTTTAAAGGTTCCTAACCATGTGAATTAAAGGTGGAATTGCACTAAACGAAACAAATATGTTCTTTATAAGGCTCAATTAGAATATAATGGGATTTGATAACAAAACAACAAGTTAATGGCTCAGTTTTAACAAACCCTTTCTGCTTGATAACATTATAGAATTAGTTGTATCATCACTTTTGCAAAGGGAGTTTTTTGTAGGATTTTTTGAAAAAATAAAACAACTCTCACTCAATGCTGAGTTAAATGAAGTGTGAAATAGACTGAGAGTGGGAAAAAAAGGGTTAACAAAGTAATTTACATAGGTTTAAGTAAAAAATTGCGATACATACCAAGTATCCCCGAAAAGCTGTTTGAATCTTGATAGCTGCCACTTCATCCTTTGGTTTGCCGGTAAACCGAGCAATTGTGGAAGCTTGAACCCTAACAGGTGCTGTCTGAACAGAGGGGGCAGGAACAGGAGCAGGTTCCTCAACATCCATGGCAGCTGCAACTTCAACAACATGATCGTGATTGTGACCGTATTCATTTTCAATATCAGTTAATTTAATTTCTTCTGGTGGAGGAGGTGGAGGAAGAGGTGGTGCTCTATCAGTTTCTGAGTACGAGGGTGCAGTCTGCAACTTTTGCTTCCCAAACCATTTCTTCTTTGATTTACTTGATTTCTGCCAAAAGTAACCAGTTGATAAAACTATATCAAAAATCCCAGAAAATTGAGATAAGTTGAATATAAAATTTAGTCAAACCTGATCCTTCTTCTCCTTTGAATCAGGACTGAGAGCTTTCCTTACAGTAGAAAACCAATTTCCCTTCCTCCCCATTTTCTTGGCATTCCTTAATTTGATCCTTTACAGCAGGAAAAAAAAAGAAGGAAAATTTGAAGATCTGAAACCTCAATGACCAAAATAAAATTTTTAAACAGGAAATCCAATGGCATCTGATGGTATTATTAAATGTCATTATTGGGACTAGTAAATTTGACACTGAAAAGGAAAAAGGCTAAAAAATTGTGTTAGCCTCTTTGTACAATTATAATAATAATTATTACTTAAAGAAAGTGGAAAACAAGAAGAAGCTTCAGCAAAATAAATTCATCATGAACATAGCGGGAAAGAAATAGAAGTAAAACAGTTTATGGTAAAAAAGTCACTCAAATTCCTAATAATCCCTGGGTGTCTATTAATCCTGCATTAATTTTCTCCGGGTACCCCATAAATGAAAGTAAATCACATTCTCAGAAATCAAACAAGATGTTTCTTTCTAAAATCTAAACCTCGTTCTTCTTAAAAATATAGAATCAAACAATAAAACTAGTGATCTCCCCATCTACATTTACACAGCAAATTGAGACGCGAGAATGCAGATTCAAGTGGACCAGACATTTAGTCAAGTAGAAATTACATGGTTTTTTCACCATAGAAAGTAGAGAAGAGATTGGGAGAACATAACAGGGAAAAGAGAAAAGGGGAAGATGAAGTTAAAATTGATGGTGGAATAAAGATGTAGAATGAGAGTACCTGAACTGAAACGAAGTGACAGATCTAAAATATCTTGTTCTGACCCTTTATCTCTCTGAACAAAAAGATTGCAACTTGAATGTCACACTTGCACCAAACTGCACCTTTATTTGTATTTGTATTTCCCGTTTCCCTGTGAAGAGGGGAATCAGATCTTGCCAAATGCAAAGAGAAGAGAGTTTGAATTATAGGACCAGCTATGAGCAATCCTATCCTAGCTGGTTCTGCTAATATTATGCCCTTCCCACTTGGTTAGTCACTGTGGGCCCCACCTGTTTTATTTTACCTTGTTCTCTTCAAACATCAAAATCAAATTAACCATGTGCCTAATGGGTCATGTTAATGTGAGTTTTAAGGCTGATTTTAAGTATAATTAAGAAGGATAAGGTGTTTTTAGAAAGAAAATATTTTTAATAGTTTTCTATACTTGAAATTAAGTTTAAGAATTAATGTTAAAAAAAATGATTGGTTAATGTCTGAAACTTTTTTCTGAAGCTGGAAAGAAGCCTCTCCGGGCATATCTATCTTCATTTTCTGTCAAAACAAATCATAGTTGTACTGAATATTTAACCATCTACAGCGGTTACTTGGTTTCATCCGTGGTTAGTCAATTATTTTAATATTTAATTAATGTTAATAAAGACAGATCAACGTTTTTCATAATTGAAAGAGGGCATAGTATATATATATTTTTAGAGAATGGTCAGTTAAACAAATCGAATAACATTGTCCAAATTTTATGCTAATTTAATATTTTTTTAAAAACTTGAACTGATTTTATTAATATTTAATCATTTTTTTAAAGTTAATTATTGATAAATTTAAGTCCAATAAAAAATGTTGAGTTTAACACTTTTACATGACCATCAGAAATTCATCTTTTATTACTTTTTATTTAAAAAATTTAACCATTATACCTTTTTAATTATAAAAATATAAAATTATAATTTGTGAAAAATGTTTTTATATTTGACTCTCTTAAAAATTTTGAGTATCTCTATTAAAAAAATTACAAAATACTAAGAAAGGAGAAAGTCAATAAATAAATTATTCTCTTATATATGAAGAAAAATAGAGAGAAAGCATATTTATTTTAATTAAAAAATAAATATAATTATTTTAAATACTTATTATGTTCTATTAATATAATGATAAGTAAGCTGGTAAATGGATAAATTTGTTATTTTAACAAAATTTATTTCTTCCTGTGCTTCTTCTCTTTAACGACAGGGTTGAAAATATAATTTTGTGTTTCTTTCATCCACTTTTTTTTCATTTTATTTCAAATTAAATAAAAATTAATTTTTTATATAAAATATTTTATTTTATTAAATAAAAAATTCTAAACTTTATTTAAACTTAATAATATAAATAAATTCCAAATTTCTATAAACTTTATATTAAAAGTTTGTAAATAATTTACGAGCTTATGTATGTTGTATGATTTAGCTTAAAAAATTTAATACATTTTTATTTTATGTAAAAACTTATTATTACTTATTTTGATTTTAACAAGAACACTGTAAGCAGCAATTTATAAATTAAGTAATAAAAATTTAACAATAACATATATTTATTGAAACTTGAACTTAATATTACAAATTAAGATAGAATAATTTTTACCAGTAATTTGTATAAAATTATCTTTATTTAAGACTATAATAAAGAAAGAAAGAAAGAAAGAAATTTTGGGTACTTGCTTAAAAAAGCAGTCAAGTTATAACTAAAAAATAAAATAAAATCAAACTTCATTTTTTATTTTAATAAAAATGTAAAGTTTAAATGTTTATATTCCTTTTTGATAAACAAAATTTAAATTTCAGTGGTTAATTTAACCAATTTATACCTCTATAATTTCAAGTATACATTAAAAACGGTGCTCTTGCTTTTTCATGTTCCCACTCCCCAATTTCTTGCCCTTCCAATACAAAAAATATAGCTTTTTTACTAATTGTGATTAATTTTTTGTCGACATGATTAAACAAATTCATAAATTGTACACCAATAATGTATATATTTTTTGTCAACTTACACTAAAAATGTCTGTGCCCATTCTTTTCCTATTTCTTGAATAGGATAAAGTCTCAAAGATATTTATGCAGAGAAGCGGTTTTATTTGATTAAAGAAGTATTATGCTAATCGAGCTTAGCTAAAGTCAAGTTCATTTTAATTACGGTAAGAAGAAGGTTTTACACACAAATGCCGAAAATGCAATTTTATGATAACTAGGAGCGTGATAGCATTCATCACCACTTCAAACTATTTACCTTTCGTCGGTAATCTTTTTTCCTTTTTCTTGTCAATTTTATAGGTAAATGTATTAGGCATAATAAATCCAAGTTAATTATACAAATCCCGTTGTAATTTCAAAAGTGACGCATTTTAATAAAATAATATGAAACAAAAGAGATTAACAACTATCTAAAAGCAAACTAAATTAAAATATTTATAAATATTGGTAGGACTAGGAGCATCAATGAGACCAAATTCGGTGGCCTCACGTCTAACACTGGCTTTGAAGGCAATTGCATCTAACATTATTGCAATAAATCAATATTATTATTGGAGTAGGTCAGAAATTGGGACCCTTTTTTTATTTGCAAATTTGAATTAGATTGTCTTAGTGGCTTAGCAGCAGCAACCTTCATGTCGCCACTAAGTAGTTGTCATATTCGCTTAGAGCCAAATCAATAGAAATCCTTTGTTTCTCTCATATTCATCATATAAATTCCTAAGCAGATAATTGCTAAAATAATTGAAAAGCCAAATTTCAGAAAATTGCAGAAAAATTGACAAATAGACAGATCGATGATGTAATGGGAGAAAATGTGACGTGAACAGCCAAGTTTGTAGTGGAAACTATAGTTTTTCTTTTTTCTTTTTTTTAACCTTGTTGAGAAGAAAAAAAATTAGAAAAATAAAATCAAAACTCGAATTAAAAAAAAAGAAAAAATAATTTTCAAAAAATTTTAAACTAACAAGAATATACATCATTATTTATGTTTTTATTCTTTTCATTTAAACAAACTATATATATTAATTAATCATTTTGTCCTAAAAATTTAGTTTGAACGGTTGATGGTAATTATATTTAAATTTAATATCTGTTTGTAAAGATAACATATAATAATTACAATCTTTTGCTTATTAGGTAGGTTTAAGTGCATCTTAAACAATTTTATATACATTTTTTAAGAATATGGATGGCAGTTTAATTATTATTAAAATACGCATATTATCTCATATCTGCACACGATGTATATTTATTGAATAATTATATTAATTCATAACAAAGTATACATTTTTGTCTTTAAAACATTAGTGTCCAAGTATATGAGTATTATTGTTCATTCTTCGCTTGTATATAATTAATATTTTGTTTGTACTGAACTTATTTATATTTTATTAATTTTTTATTCATCTCTCTCGTTTATTGTTTCTTCATATATAGTAAAATTTAAAATAATTAACATTATTTTAAAATTTTAAATAAAAACTTATTTTAAACATACTCACAGCGCAATTTTTGTTTACATTGTTATTTAAGAATAAATTATCATAATAATAATAATCTTTTTTATAATAATTAATAAACAAACTTGTTAACAAGGCTGAAAGTGTAAAAATAATTATCTCCGTAATATACTAAAATTAAACTATTAAAATAATAAATAAAAATATATAGACATTAACACTGCTAATTGATCTCCTTTGTAGCAATGTCATTAGTGTAACAAATAATTTATTGATCCATATAAACAAATAAATCTAACCTTACTCTGAAATTTACTATACCACGCTAAAAGAAACGTAGATAGTCAATTTTAGTGTGATTATTTAACAACATAAAATTTAAATTGTAATTTGCGCAATTATAGATTCGTATGTTGCTTTTTAAAAAGTGCTTTGATTAAAACGAGGTTTAGTTTGTTGATGAATTCAAATGAAACTGATATATGAAGGCATGAAAGCTTTGAATGAATTAATATAAATGAAGTGTTACAAATAAGTAAAATAAAAAGGTGAAAGTGAAAAAATCAATAAAAATTAAACTTGTTTGATTGATATTAGTCTTATTGTCTATTACATTATTAACCTCACTATTGGGCCATCACGCATCATGTCGAGTCTCTTAGAACGTGACTTAAGCCGAAAATGCTTTTCTTTTGCGCTGTCTCTTAACCAATCTCGTAATTGATTATTGTGTTCATAGAACTTCATATACTTCCATGACATTATGGGGACGTTACTTTATCAAAATACTATCTAATTTAAGCGTCTTTTTTTCTTTTTCAAAAACACTTTCTTTGCTAAACTAGAGGTAACACACGGAATGAGGTAACACACCAGAAATAATAATAAATAATGATAATAATAAATTTTACGCTCCTCAAGCTAAACACGTGAATCGCATTTAAAGGTCTAAATGTAGTCACGTGAACGACCACAAGAAAGCTACGCTCGTATTTCAATTCTTGTTCGTTTTATTTATACTTTTTTATTCGGCAACTTAATTTATTTATTTCTATTTATGCGTATAATACATGACCATCCCAATACATGCCCAGCATCTACTATTCCTTGCCACACTGAATCATTCCCCCTCAACGGTAATGATAGTCGTCGACAAGGCTGATTAATCGTTCATCAGCTAAGCATGACAATAAAATAAAATCTATTTAAATTATATTTACACTGTAAAGCTATTAATATTATCATTTAATTATAAATTATTACATCATTAAAAATTATACTTGTTCTGTATTAAAATTAAACTTGAATAAATATAGGCAAATATTTTTTAAATTCATATCTATTCATATTTTTGTTTTGATAATATTCGTTACATTTATTTATAAATAGTTGGCATAAATTGTATACAGAAATTGGAACATATATCGATATTACTCATATATCAAATATGTTTATTGAAAGTTTTTGGATAGGATCAGATACAAGAATATATAAAATTCTTTAAATAGAATCATGTGTGAATATTTGTTGTATTGTTCGGTTAAGATACAAATATCTAAAATTGTGAGTGCTTTATGGGAACGAAAGCTTCTAAATGATCTCGCACCACTTATTTGTGTATATGTTTTATTGGGCATGCAGAGAATTGTATTATCATTACTACAGAGGTTTAATTTGAGTTAAGATAGTCAAAATTTTGTTCAGCTCAAGTTATTTACATTTCTAACAAAAATATAGAAACAAAAACTCAAGCTCATCACAGAATTATCTATGGAGGATTATAGGGACACTTCTTTTTACATACAAAAAACACAGAGTCTTTCTTTATACAGAAGCTTGAGTTTGACCATGGTCTCCAAGGAGTTGCATGTTCATGCGATTGGCTTCACTAGGCTTATTACTTTTTTCGGTACAAATTCTCTGCGCTGCTTATCTATGCTGATTATAATAAGAAGCTTTACATATTTTCCTTTGAGAGTTTTGCTTCTACCATTCTCCACCAGATAAATGGTTTATATAACTAATAACACTTATATTTTTACATTCACACCATAAATGACATTTTTATTTTGTTTATCTTCTTATCTCTATATTTATTCCATCCAAACTACACCCAAATATGGGTATGAAAGTGTTATTATTCTATCTAATAATGGTAATTTTGTACAAATATTTGTATATTATAAGCTAAGCTTTCCAGGCTTCATCATACTTTCAATTATCTATTAGAGTCTAAAAGACACGAGGCCTAATCCGACCTTGATCGAGTTGTTTCATGAACAAATCACTAAGCATATACACAATAAATTGGTTGACCAAAAAAAAAAAAAAGAAGACATACGATAAATTGATCCCCCCACCCGAAAAAAAATTATCACAGAGTCGAGAACCTTATTGGAAAAAGATCATATATGCTTTAAATGTTTTTGCTTCTTAGCAGAAGACCCTCTCAATTCCATAAGCTAACAAAAATTTTGAACATAACAAGAATCGATGGAACTATAAACAATTAAACATACGGAGAATTTTGCAAAAAGAAAAAAAAATGAAAAAATTCTATCAGTAGTAGGAAAGCAATTCCTGTACTGCCAATTTCGATATTGTTTCAACATTCGTTATTTTTCATCTTTCTTTCCCCTTTATCTTCGGCTAACATGTAGATACTAGTAATTAGTGATTTGAGTGGGTTCGGGCACGAAAATTGAAACGCCAGAGCATGATTTTGGAGCAGTCCTCTGGTGGAATTCCCTTTAACTTAGCCTCATCTTCTAGAACTACTTGCTTCACGAACTTGATTGAATTCTATAAAACCACAAAAAGATAAGAACAATAATAAGGACAAAAATAAAAGGCAACAAAACTCCTTGTTAGAGATTATTTGTAGGTGATAATGATGTATGTATCTTGTAAGTTGTATTTCAAACGTATTACGTTTTCTAATTGTGACAATATTGAAATTTGAAAGTGGGTTCTATCTTGGAGTAAAAGGAAGCATCATGCATTATCAGTGATATTATTGCCGGAGTAGAAAATATTACATTGTTAGCATACTGATTAGTTCAACTAGTCAATCGAGGTGTCATTATATTACCTAATATCTTAATGTTTTTTTCCTTTGATTTTTTCCTTTCTAAAGTAGTTGGAGGTTGGCCAAACGTTAACTAAACGTAAGCAAAGTTCAAGCAGCAAAGATATGATCATGTTCAAAGAGACCCATCTAATTTTATATAGATAGGCTTTACGGTAAGGATGCCAGTAGTGCATGATTTTTATGGATGCAAATGATTAGATATTGATTCTTATTATTATTGACATACTAATTAAAGAAAGAAAAATAATAAAGTATTTATCATGCATAAAATTCATTTAAAAACTTAAGGTAAATTCTTAATTTTAATTATAAGACCCTTTTAACAACTTGACAAAAATTTAAAATATAGTTAATTTCACTGATGACATTAAATTTATCTCTACTATAGATATTTTTATAAAATAATAATGAATGCAAGAAATAATTATAAGAAAAAACTCTATAAAAAAATTATATTTAGGTAATAATATTTACCTGGGAAGTGTCTTGAACGGAGGAAGTGCGACCCCATCTCTCGGGGTCCCAGAGGATGGAGCTATTGAATGCAAAACTTGAAATATGAATGGGAGGAGTGATTGTATCAGTCTCATTGTTCATATTCCTTAGATGCCAACCAATGACTTGTGAGGAATCGCATACAGGTCCTTCGATTTTCACTTTCTTCCTATGTGCAACTAACAATGCGGTTGGCCATGTTCCAAAGACCCTGCTCGGTTGACAAATTAATGCATAATTTAGAAGGATATGTTAGTTAGAAAATAAGCTTGGAGGTGTGAAGTAAAATGCATGATTGTTATTGTCACTCTTGTTCGGTATACCAAAAGATTTTCCACTTTTCTTTCCACCATGGATTAGAAAAATTGTTTATGTTTAATACTTCCACCCACTAGTTAGAAGTACAAATGTAGAATATAATAAGCACCAGACACTAGAACATTTTTTCCCCACTAAAAATTGGCCCAAAAGATATAATATATGTAAACAACATAAAAATAGAAATAAAATAACTATAGTAGTACAAGGAGGTTGAAAAATCATACTCAATATCTCTAAGCTGATGGAAGAATTGGAGATCATAAACATTGGAAAGGCCAGCAAAATGTACAATGCCGTTGAGTCTGTGGTGTTCAATGTGCTTAAGCGCAAGATTTCTCTGATGATTCAATTCACCTTCTAAGTCTGTGAAGTTCTCCTTGAAAACCACATGCCTATACATGATGCCAGTCTTCCTTAGTATTTCTGGAAGTTCTGTGGAATCTGTTTTAGCTTCCACAACAATCCACAACAATGGCTGAGGAACCAGCTTTATAGTATTTGCCAACCTTCTCAAAAACACCGTTTGGTAGGGAAGTTTGGTGCTTGTTGGAGTCACAATGATTATGAGTCTTCTAGGCTTCAGCAGGGGCTGTGCTTTTACATGCAACTTCGGTGTTGTTGTTTTCTTTCCAAGGACTTTAGGCCTCATGGGCATGGTAACTGGCGTTGGAGCTATCCAACTTGTATTGACATTTGTTGTGTGGTGTGACATTTCACTAGGTTGTGGTGCAAATTCTGTCCTATTTGAGGCAGCAACTTTGGTGGGAAAGAGAGAAGATTTACCTGTTGGAGCTAAGCCTGTAAAGAACCCCATCACAAAACACAATGAAAAATGGAGCATGGCCTTTTTCCATAAATGAACCTTCTTCTTTGATCTATCTAGTGAACCCATCTTCTCAAAAAGTAACCACCTGAAGCACAACCTTCAGGGTGGAATGCAATGACCACTTGTGGGCACAAAATCAAGAGGAGGGGCCTTGGACTATAATATAAACTTTGAGGCTTTAAGGGCACCACATAAACGTTGGAGCCATTGTGGTGATGATTGGTACTGCCAAACTGAATGCTTAGCTTTTGTTTGGAGGTATTTCATAGGTAAGGGATTGCTTCACTTGGCTGTCACTTGAAGTAAAAGTAATATAACAAAAATAAAAACAAAAAGTAGCTAGTGTGAGACCATGGGTTGTTTTCTACACCAAATAGCAGTTGAGATGGCACCCATCCATCGATAAAGAATGTGTTGTACCTAGCCATTTAACTAATACTAGTGATCATGCTGATGGTGTTAGGGGTTTGATTTTTAATTTGGTTTTGACCAGTCCAATAAAAGGAATCTGAATACAAAATTAATTTAACAATGACTTTGGAATCTCTTGTCAGAATAATTATGATTTTGGAGAAAATTATTAGGATTATTAAAGTAATTATTATGAGCATAACGACTCTCTTGGCAGTTGCTTATAGAATTATGGTACGAAGGCAGGTGAGAAGTAACCTTTACGGTGAATGGGTTTGAATCTTTCGGAGTTGTGGGCTTTGCCACCCAACGTCCATAACTATGATCTATCGCATCCCGCACCTTGAGGACCATCTTTCAGTAAGGCCCATTATCTGACAAAAAATTCAGGCCCATTAAAAATATAATTTTGTCTTAACAAAAATGAGAAAGGACGTGACCAAAAAGGAGGACAAAGGAAGAGTAGTGGAGAAGCAAATACGAGCATCTTATATCACAACAAATAAAAATTTAATACCCATATTAAAACAATAATAAAAAATAATTATATTACTTCAGCTTCTAACTTAAGTTATAAAATTAATATTAGAGGTTTAAAATTAATTGTCAATTATGCCAAGAGTTAAGAGAAGAAAAAAATTATATCCAAATTAATTTATCCATACCTGAGATTCATTTTTCAAAAATTTTATTATTTTTATCACTATATGTTAATGTGATATACAATTTTTTAATACACACAAAAGCTTAAATAAAAAAAAATTCTGATTTCTCAGAGTACTATTGAAGTTATTTTATTGCAAGCATTGTCTATTTCTACTTTCTAACGTTTGAGTGCACTCTGAAGAGTTGCTCAGTGCAGAGAGAGCAGAGGTTTTCTTTTGAGGTGCGTTATTTTCAGTTATCTTTTTTGGCGGTACCCATTTTTAATTCGAAAACATTCTCGGAGGATTTTCGCTGTCTTAATATGTTTATTTGTTAAACTATTTTTCACATGTGCGTGTACACAGTTTTTCCAACTACTTGTGCTCGAATTTTAGAATGCAATTCTTTTGCATACTTGCTGTTCGATAAATGCCCACCAAGAGCTGCTGGGAAGAGATTTTAGAAGAGTCGGTGACATGGCTCATATTTATCTTTCATGCATTTTACATTTGAGAAGTATCTAAAAGAGTTATCTTAGTTGCATACTTTTAACGAGATATAACAGCTAATTGTCCATTTTAGATTGATGGGTTTCTAATTTTTAAGTAACAATGCTTTTAGTAGAAGAATCTCATGCTTATGTTTGGTTTATGCAGAGAGAATCTCTTCACTTGGTTTTGGTGACGGATCGGATGAAATTCCATATCAATTTGTCTGTCTAATCAAACAATATTGGTAACATCTTTGACTATCAGCATGGCTCAACTCATAGATGATGTTATTGGATTCGTGGATGCCCTTTAGCATTTTTTTTATATTACTATTGTCATAAATGAATTTCTTTTAGGGAACATCAGACTCCAGCGGCTGCTATCAAGATGGAGGCTTTTGCCAAGGCTACTTCATACTCATGCAGTCATTTAATTCATATTTAATACCTGGCTTTACAGAAGTACACCCAATGTGTTCATCCAATTGTGATTTTTTTGTTTCATTAACCAGAAACACTCATTTGTGACCACTTTACTGTCCTGGCACCATCTCACCCAATTAGGTTCTCGACTACTATAGGATTTTTTTTTTTAAATACTTTTTATGATTTTTAAATATCCCTTGTCCATGATCATTCAAAGTCAAATTCGATGTATACATAATTATGTTAGACCTAGTGTCCTGCCATCAATTTTCAACAATCTAAGTACAGGGTTATCAACCGACGGTTACATCAACTTAATGTGTAAGCAACAACAATACAAAGAAGCACTTAATGCATTTGATTTCCATCTGAAGAATTCGAGTATCCAGCTAGAACCAAGCACCTATCTGAATTTAATCTTGGCCTGCACCAACTTTAGATCTCTTAAATATGGCAAGAAAATCCATGATCACATTTTAAAATCCAACTGTCAACATGACCTTGTTCTGCAAAATCATATTCTTAATATGTATGGAAAATGTGGTTCTTTGAAGTATGCTAGAGAAGTTTTTGATGCAATGCAGCTGCAAAATGTGGTCTCTTGGACTATAATGATTTCTGGATACTCACAGAATGGTCAAGAGAATGATGCCATCATCATGTACATTCAAATGCTTCGATCAGGTCATTTCCCAGACCAGTTAACCTTTGGAAGCATAATTAAGGCTTGCTGCATTGCAGGGGATGTATATTTGGGCTGGCAACTGCATGCCCATGTTGTTAAATCAGGGTATGATCATCACTTGGTTGCACAAAATGCTCTTATTTCAATGTATACAAAGTTTGAACAAATTGCACGTGCCTCAGATGTGTTTACTATGATTTCTACGAAGGATTTAATATCTTGGGCTTCCATGATTACAGGGTTTACCAAACTTGGTTATGGGATGGAAGCTTTGTATCTTTTCAGAGATATGCTCAGGCATGGTGTTTATCATCCAAATGAGTTTATATTTGGCAGTGTATTCAGTGCTTGCAGCAGGCTTCTGGAACCTGAATTTGGGAGGCAAATACATGGAGTGTGTGTTAAGTTTGGTTTAGGGGGAAACATTTTTGCTGGATGTTCCCTCTGTGACATGTATGCAAAATCTGGTTTCTTACCTTCAGCAAAAAAGGCTTTTTATCAGATTGAAAGCCCTGATTTAGTGTCATGGAATGCAATTATTGCAGCATTTTCTGACAGTGGTGATGTAAACGAAGCCGTATCTTTTTTCTGTGACATGATACATGCAGGTTTGACGCCGGACAGCATTACTTTTCTCTCATTACTTTGTGCTTGCGGGAGCCCCATTACACTCAACCAAGGCACGCAAATACATTCTTACATTATCAAAATAGGGATGGATAGGGAAGCAACCGTATGTAACTCTTTGCTAACCATGTACACAAAGTGTTCAAATCTATATGATGCATTCAATATTTTCAAAGATATAAGCGAAAATGCCAATTTAGTTTCTTGGAATGCAATTCTTTCAGCATGCTTGCAGCACAAACAAGCAGAAGAGGCTTTCAGATTATTCAAGTTAATGCTTTTCTCTGAAAATAAGCCTGACAACATCACCATAACTACCATATTAGGAACTTGTGCAGAATTGGCATCTCTAGAAGTTGGGAATCAAGTTCATTGCTTTAGTGTTAAAAGTGGGCTTGTGGTTGATGTTTCTGTCAGCAATAGATTGATTGATATGTATGCAAAGTGTGGATCACTTAAACAAGCTCGAGATGTTTTTGATTCAACCCAAAACCCAGATATTGTCTCATGGAGTAGTTTAATTGTTGGTTATGCTCAGTTTGGACTTGGACATGAAGCTCTTAATCTCTTTAAAATGATGAGGAATCTTGGTATTCAGCCTAACGAAGTGACATATCTGGGGGTACTTAGTGCATGCAGTCACATTGGATTGGTGGAGGAAGGCTGGCACTTATATAAAACCATGGAAGTGGAACTAGGGATTCCACCTACGAGAGAGCACATATCTTGTATGGTTGATTTGCTTGCTCGTGCAGGATGCTTGAATGAAGCAGAGAATTTTATTACGGAAACGGGATTTGACCCTGACATTACTACATGGAAAACTCTACTTGCTTCTTGCAAAATTCATGGTAATGTTGACATTGCAGAGCGGGCTGCAGAAAATATACTAAAACAGGATCCTTGCAATTCTGCTGCTCTAGTGCTACTTTCTAATATTTATGCTGCTGCTGGCAACTGGAAAGAAGTTGCCAAACTAAGGAACTTGATGAAACAAATTGGGGTACAAAAGGTTCCTGGTCAAAGTTGGATAGAAGTTAAGGAGAAGATCCATGTGTTCTTCTCAGAAGATAGTTCACATCCACAAAGGGACAAAATCTACACAATGCTTGAAGATTTATGGTTGCAAATGCTGGATGATGGTTATGATCCTTGTCAGAGGTTTGACACTAGCATTTTGTAGGAGTCATCGATGGTGATGATCCTTCCCAAATCTATATTGATTTTGATCTACGTCTAGATAGTTTAGTTGCAGCACAAGAAAATTTTGTGATGACTGATCCCAAGGGACAGTGACACTGTTAATACTAAAATGTAAAATCTTATCATTATTCCCGTTTTGTGTTTTAGTAAGTGGTGGTGTGTTGTGTGTGATTTATTGGCATGTAGGTTTCACTCAACCATGTAGTCTATATTTTTCCACAGTTTACTACTTTAGCTGACCTGAACTGCCGAGTGTTTTTCCGTTATCTGATGCTAATGACTTCCATATTTTTGCCGCAATTGATGGATAAGGATTTGGCATCAATTATAGTGATTATTTGTTTGTTAGTAAGACTGTTGAATATGTCGTAGGAACTTTTTAACACCCATCATTTCATTAGAGATTCATTTGTAAACTAATAAACTACCCTAGTTTATGTATGTGTTCCGCAGGCTAGCTTTTATATAAATTCAGTTCATTTTTTAAAACTTTAATTTGTAAGAATTTTACATGTCTTTTTAAAAGTAAAAATCCATCCAAACTTTTATTTGTAATATTTTTTTAAAATATATTTAACAATTTTTAAGAAGAAACACAAAAGAGAAGTGGAACGTTACCTTCGAAAAAGTAGTGAATTCTGCAGCTATTTAGCCACCTTATTTTCCTTTCTGAAAAATATTATAATTAAAGTATTTTACATAAAATTTAAGAACGAAAAGGTATGGGTTGTGGAATGAAATTTCTTTGGAAACTATTTGATCCTGAAATTAAATTCTATGTAAGTCACTTTGCCTACATTTATCATCTCTTTAGTAACGAAAATTGTAAAATAAATACCTAACGTTAACATATGCTAAAAACTGGGCATATATTGCAACGCATGCCCTGGTATTAGGACAATCGTCATAATACTAAGGAAAAATAGTCACATTTACCAGAGATGGCTGAAGCAGATCGAAATAATGACTTGGAAATAAAATAAAAATTCTTACAAAAGTTTGACTATCAAACTTAAATGATCCCTATCATCCTCAACAATCAAAAAACATTTAATGAAAGGAATTTCTCAGTTTATCAACTCACACACTCTAGGGATCAAAGAAATTCCATGTTCAATACAAGGCTAGGCGCAAAAATTTTGTAAGAGATAATAAAGCTTACGATGGCAGCATTAGGGGCTGAGGAGGGCATGGGGTATTGGTACAGTGCTATCATGTTTTAAACTTGTGCAGGCAACCGTGCCAGCTACCCGATTGCATTAGCTTAAAACGTGATTCTCTCGTGGCCACAATTGCCACCTGACGCCTCCCCCCTTTTCATGTGTTACAAAGCTTTTTTGGGGTGATGGCGAATGAAGAATCTTGAAATTATGTTGCCCGGCCTATTAAGAAATATACACTACAAAATTTTTTAGGGTTAATAACTTGTTCTCATTCCTTGCTGTTGTAGGCTTATAGGTCTGGTTTGGTTGAGATTGAATCTCTCTTGGGCCGGTGCTTTTTCCACTTCTTTTTGCGCAATTCCATGAACCAAGATGGAACGTCACAGCCTGATGTTGCCATAAGATTAGCCACATTCCGTAGGAATGGAATGTCTTCTTCCGTGTAAAAAGTAATCGCTTCTCCAGTCCTCCCCGCTCTACCAGAACGACCTATTTAAAAATCAACATTTTCTATTAGCATTCAGCAAAATAATAATAATATAGCAAACAAAAGGCTCCATGAAAAAATAATACAAACTGTAATCCCTCTAAATATTTCTTCTCAAATTTAAAACATTAATATAACTGCACATACCAATTCTGTGGACATATGCAGCAGCAGAATCTGGAAAATCATAATTGATAACACAGTTTACACCTTTGAAATCCATGCCCCGAGCAACTACATCGGTAGCAATCAAAACCCATGTTTTTCCAGCTCTGAAATTATCAACGGCATTTTCCCGCTGTATATAATGCAAGAGATTAAATTAAAGGGGATCACAAAAACTGCTAAATTATACTTTAGTATTAGAGTACATATTGCAGAAGATAACAGAGATTAAAACAAAATTAATTATTAAAATAGGTTTGTCATGAACTCTGATAATTAGAGTAATATAGCCCAAGTATAAAGAACAGAAAGAGTCAGAATGAATATCATTACGTGGGACAAATAATAAAGACCAGACCTTAATCACATACTTTAGCAGTTTACTTTTTGCTTTGGTGTTGTTTGGAGGAGAGGGGGAATGTTCCCAGTTTTCTTTGTATTTCCCAATAAATAACTTTTATTGTTCAAAGGAATTGAGAACTACCTCTTCTTGAGACAAGTCAGAATGGATGACATCAACCCTAATGTTGTCAAATGCCAGTTCACCATACAGCTCCTTGGCTCGCTCCTTGCTTTGGACAAAGACCAATACTGGAGGATTTAGACTCTACAAGATGTTGCAGTAAAAAAAATTGGTCAACAAAGGCAAGCAACCAAAAAATATCAATAGGAATGAGCTAATAGGAGGTACTGCAATATTGTGTGCCTTCCACAAGTTCCAAAGGTAAGTGATACAAAAATAAGCATTCAAAGTTATTTAACATTATGTACATCATACAACTCCATACCCAGAATAACCAGAAAGTTTAATTACATTTATTCAGCACATAATAAGCAAACAAGATCACCAAATTACAAAGAAGATAAATTAATGATAGGAAACACATATCAATAGTACTGTAGCAACATTTCTAATTTATTTTCAAACAGCCCACTGATGATTAGTTGTGTTGAGACCCACAACCTCTTGATGGGCAAGAAAATCAGAGTGACCAAAGCTATCTGTTCTAAACATTTATATTAGCAATGTACCTCTGCAAAACTTTGACGAATTGCTAGAAGTTTTCCTTCTTCACTTCCAGTAAAAACCAATTTTTGCTTTATTGTTTCCGAAGCCATATTCCTAATTCACATAAGAGCATTAGACATGAACTAATAAATAAGGAGGAAAACTGTACTAAGGTTATGCTCAGGAGTGTCATGTTTTTAAATGCTTGAAATGAACTTACTTTCTACCAACAATTACACGAACTGCATCATGCATGAGCTCTCGAGCTCGATCTTCAACAAAATCAGGTAAAGTAGCACTGAACAGTGAACGTATTATTGAGGGATTTGAGCATGCTTTGATAACAGAATCAATCTGCTTGAACAGTTCAGGCTCAAATAGCTTATCGGATTCATCAAGGACAAGATACTCAACCCTGAGACACCGAAATAATTGGAAGAAAAAGAAATCAACATGTTGAGGTATTGAATAAATCACATTGCATATTTAATAGTGACATTATAGACACAATTGTAATATAAGCTAAAAACATCCAGCCAAACTTTCTAATGATTAAAGCAATATAAGTAGTAGACCTACAAAGTGATGCCACACCAACTGCAGTCGGAACATACTGTTTTTAATCGTTATGTGCAATCAAATTTATCTTTATATTACATAATGTCTATTTAAAGGGCAAAACAACTACAAATTAATTTTATGAAATATTCAGTGGGATATTGAGTTCTATCAACTTGTATGGAAGTATTCTCTTCCACAAATGCTTTATGCCACTAAAATAACACTTATATTAACTATTAAGTTGACTTAATACAATGCAACTGGCCAAATCCTAAAATTCAACTTTGTCTGTCCAGCTCAGGCCTATTGTTTGCAAGTCAACTGAATGATCAAGTGGTTATTTGAGTCTACTTCATTTAGTGCATACTTTAAACTAGTAGTAGATACAAACACTATATAGTTTGCATAAAAAATTAGTAAACAAGTAGGTCTATAGCTTATACTTGGAAACAACTTTCATTGTAGTCATAAATGTTTCTACGTTGAATTTCATCACCATAACAATGAAATGTACATGGACATTATCACTTGTAGCACAGAAAATTACTCATATCAAAGTATAAATGCAATTAAAAAAGCAGTAAAGGGAATGAATACTAACAGGAAAAATGTTCCTAAAAGTTATCATACATGCCATCCCTGGAGACCATTTCATATCAAATATGCAATTGATTGATACAATTGACAAAGCATGGATAGTTCAATCAATTATTTATGATTGGAAAACTGCAGAATGAGAAAGAGAGAAGCTATAAACTATCTCTGCAAACATTATTTCCTATGGTTCAAAGATGCATGTAATCTAATGATTACTTGACTAACATTTCAAGGATTTGAAGTTTAAATCAACAAAACTAAAATTCATCATCACATACCTGCTGAGATCAACCTTCTTCTTTTTGATAGCCAGGCGTAATCGAAGTGGTGTGGATATAAGTATATCACATGGATTTTTGGAAAATTCAGCATTTCTTGCAAGATGTTTGGTCATAAACTTAATACGAAATTTTTTTCCCTTAGCAAGCTTTTTGCACTCTCGATATGTTTGAGCAGATAACTCACGGGTAGGACAAATGATAACAGCTCGAATGCCATCTTTTGAGGCAGCCTGTAAAACATAGTTGATTACCAAGATCATGGGAACTGAAAACAAAGTTGGAGAAAATAATCAGTACCTTCAGCTTCATAAGCATTGGACACACGAATGCAAAGGTTTTCCCAGAGCCAGTTGGTGCACAAGCAAAGCATTCACGACCCTATCCCAAATAATGGAAGCAACATGACAGTAAAAACAAATATTATGTTAATACATAACTCTATGACAACATAAGTGCCTATGAATCATGATCAAACTTCAGTAACGATTTTCTGAAGACCAAAACATTGATGCAAAATAATTATAGCACAAGTAACTTGAAAGAAAATCCATACATGTAAAAGTACTGGAATAGCCTGCCTTTGAATAGGTGTTGGCTCCCTGAATCCAAGTTCTTTCAGATTGCGCAATAAATACGACTGACATTTATATCTGTGAACAATTCATTCAGATTCAAAACCATAGCAATCTTCTAGACATAATGAGCATAATAAAAAGCAAACAGAATACAAGGTGGTTTCCCTTCACAGAAACAGGATAACATAACCTTCTAGCAAAAGATACCTCGATTTCAACTCATCAAAGTTTAGAAGCGGAGACGGCACGTTATAGCCAGAGACATGAATGTTGTGCTTCTTTCTGAAGATAGCATCCCGCTGAAAACAAATCAAAATATGAAATCATTGCACAAACATAAGAACACTGAGAATTAAGTACATTGCACAAAACAGAAACAAAACCTCGAGTTGCCTATTTTGTTCCTTCTTCTTATTCAGCTTAACGGACTCTTCATCAGCTCGAACCTCATCATCGTTCGATTGCGTCACCGATGTCGAATTTCTGAACACACTGAATCCTTCGACTGTTTCTTTTGTGCATTTACAAAAACGAAACAAAAGTGAGACATAGAACGTTGAATACAAGAGATAGCATGGTAAAGCACGAAAATGTGAGTACCGGAAGAAGTTCCCTTGCGTTTCCTCTTCTTCGTCGACGCTGTTATCTCTTCCACGGTTTCCCTTATTTTCTCGCTTTCATCTTCAGCGGCGCTCCAAACATTCACTGAATTATTATCACTATCTTTTTTCTTTTTGGAAATTAACGACAAATAGTAATAGTTATTGATATGTGGCATTGACATTGAAACAGGTGAATAAGCGCATATATGAGGAAGAGAAAGAGATTGGCACCTGGAACCTCGCAATATCGGAGCCGAACTTCTTTCTGTCGAAACGAATACCGGCGAACAAAAACGACGAGTCGTTGGCCATTGGGATTGCAACACAACACAGCAATTAGGGGTTTCTGTAATGAACAGTAGTTCCTCTCTTCTCTCTTTCGCTGCGGCCAGCCCCTTCTACTTTGTGTTCTGAAATTTTTTTAAGACACCATTATATTTGGGCCTTCCGCCACAGCGTCAGAGTGGGCCCAATGGGTAAAGATTACATCATGTTTAATTTTCATTACTTTTGATATAAAATAAAAACATGTTAATAACCTTTTAAATAATATAACATGAGCTCTACCAAATATGACGACAATTATTATAATTTTGAAAAGCTAGTTGATATAAAATTTGAAGTAAGAGAAAAATCATCGTTCATCACTTCTTGACTTACTGTGAGAACTTGGTATGAATCACAACCAATTCATCATGAATTGAAAAAGTATTTGTGGTATATTAAAACATAAAATAAGAATAATTATTTATACTAATACTAAATCATACCTTTAATAAATGGAGAGGTAAATATCAAGTAATAAGAAAATACGAAAACCAATTTTAGAGGATAATAAAAAAAAGTTAAAAACTAATTCCCAGAAATAACCATCAAAAAAATATTTTACAATTAAACAAAGATACTGAATTGTTTTGGTATATTCTAACACAACTTTCACTGCTCGTTATGGTAAGAACGATAACTGTCTGTCTTAAAGTGAAAAATCAAAACTGATATCATTGGGTTCAAAGTAGCGTAGGAGAATCGAAAAGTTCCAAAGCTAAAACGGACAGAAGCGGGAAGAACGCGATACAAACATTCAAACATCACACTCAATCGGTTCTTATAATCTACTACCTGTTTGAATGCGCAGAGTGTCAAAACTTTCAGTTGAATTTGGCACTTTCGCTTTGTTTCAATGTGGCAAATTCTATTGGCTGCTGCTGTAGCCGGATCCACAGCTTTCGTCGCAAAGCGATTCCTTAGCCTCATCAACACCCAACAAACCCAGCAATGCAATGAGGACAAAGCAGTTCAAACGACAGTGAATTCCGTTGACAATGTCAATCTCATGTTCCTAAGCAAGTCCCACGAATCTGTGATAGAAACCTGTTCTAGTAATAGTTCGGAATTGCTGAGACAAGGTGGGTCTAATAAACACGTGATGGGTCGCCGAGGGTCTAAGAACGGAATCAGAATTGCAAAGGTTGAACTGGGATCAGTCGCTGAAGTACGATCGGAGCGTAGGAACGGTGGAAAGAGGTTTCCTTTGTGTTCCAATAGGAGAAAAGCCATGAAGAATATAGCTCGGAAAAATGCATTTTGTTCTTCTAAAGGTTAGCATTTTTTCTGTGTTATTCCATTCAAAATTTTTTCTCTTTCTTTTTCACTTCTGCTGAACTTTAAGAAGATTGTTTGAAAATTTTTAAGTGGCTACTGAGCTTGGTAGCAAGTATATCATATTTGTCACAGTTGATGATGATAGAAAATAAAGGATGAAAATAATGAATTTATGTGTTGTTAGAAATGGAGAGAGACCAGACTCTTCAATATTTGTAGATTGAATTGAATTAATTTTGGGAGGTAAAAATATTGAATCAATATTTTTTATATCATATTTTAATGTAAAATCTGATTCTGTTGAATACAGTTTAAAACGGTTTGGATTGAATTATTTTTTGTTTTTGTTTTATTTTGTTAAATGGCTATCTATGAATCTTAATTTATTTCAAATAAACAGTTTAATTTACATAATTTTACTCAATTATTTTTTAATACAGTACAAACCTTTCAAATAAACAGACACAAGAATAAATTTTAAATAAAATATTGATATAAATTAATTTAGCATGATTAAAAAAACTTAAAGTGTATAAAAACATTCGAATAATAAACACAATTTATAGAATAAGATCTTAAAAAAATAAAATTTTATAATTATATAGTTATATAAGTATAAATAATATTTTAGTTTTATCAATAAAATAATGTATATGTGTATGTATTTAATTTGGACTAGATTAAGTTCTATTTGATAAAATTTGCTTTTTTATATTTTATTCACCAAATAATTTTATTAGCATGTTGAAAAATAAATTATAAATTCTTGAATAAAATATAAACTTGTGCTAAAACACAAACAGTCTAAATCGTTTGTCGAAATTGGACTCCAGCCTAATAAAAATAATTCAGCTTTTAAATTTTTTGTTTTGAAACTGAATTTTCCTAGTTCTTTGCAAAAACTGAGTTTTAACTTTTAATATCATGTTATATTCTTCAGCAAGCACCTTATTTGGTTGGGGAGTTAGCTTTGGTATCATGTGCATGATGCCTGGAAAAGCTGAGATCAATGAACTGACTAAGATCGTGAGTAAGACAACAAAAGTTGTTGAGGAACTAAAATCTGAGCTCAACAGAAGAAAATCATTACTTGCTTTAGATTATGTTGGCAATACTGGTATAGATTCTTGCAAAATGAGTGCCATGGATGATGCAATAATGCTCAAGAAGACAAAGAGTGAACTCGGAGACACTGATATCAAATTTTGGAGTTTCCCGGTAATTAATAATGGCGAATGTGAAAGTAGTTCTCTTACAGACGAGTCAGATCCGCTGATTCTGGAAATGGATCAACTGGAAGCAGAACTCGAATTTGAACTCCAAAAGCTTCCTGGGCATACTATTGACACTAATTGCCAAGAAGAATTATGGCCAAAATTAGATGAGGTGAACTTCTTTATTTTGGATTAGAAAATTTTCAACTTTTTTGTTTCGTCATTCAAATTTGAGAAATTTGAGAAAGGTTGCCTTTTAACACTTTTTTAGAATAAAGTACTTTTTGAAAAGTCAAAGTATTTATTTTATAAATAATCGCGTGAAATATATTATAAAATGTGCTAAAAAAGTGTTAATGACGTTCATCAATTTGAGAAATTTTCATGATCTCAGTTGGTGTATGAGTGTATGACCAAGGAACTCCTTCGCAGGTTAAAGATCCAAATGAAGGTTGTGATGAAACAGATGAGTGGAATTTCAACTCTTCTCAACACCGTGGAATATCACCATACGAACTGAATCAGAAACTATGTCAGTTGCTGATAGAACAGCAAGAAAACCAGATTGCGGATCTGGAATCTGAGCTAAACCTGGCTCAATCTAAACTCTATGAGAAGGAAGCTGAACTACAGGCACTAAAGAACTGTGTCCGACTCCTTACTGATTTTGAACTACCTCTATCAACAGATTCAGGCATGATTGTTTCTACTCTTGATCGCCTCTCTTTAAAGTCAATATTGCTTTGTTTCCTTAAAGGTGCAATTATATTTCATTCGTTTTTCTTTATTAGCCAAATCTGTATCTCTAATATACAACATTGTTCTCAGATGTTGAAATTGAGGCTCACAAGGGAGCCAACGATTGGGACTCTAATACTATGGACACGGAGTCAAAGCAATCAGTTGGTGGAGTGAAAAGATCTGTTGATTCTGAATCATGTTCTTATTACCCAAGAAGTGACTCTGATGAGTCTGATCTATATGGGCATACAGGGTATTAACAACATGATGTATAGTGAATTAGTGATACATAAAAAAAGGTAATACATGACTCAGATATTGATAATTTATAATTCTAAAAATACGAGATCTCAACTCTCAAGTTGTTATATTTTTAATACATGTGAAGTTGCAACTTGCAATCAAGAAGTAATGGTGTACCGTGGAGTATGGACGTGTGAATATAGTACTTGATCTTGAGGATTTTATATTTCAGCGTCTACTTTCAAGGACCGGACTGATCTCAGATGGATTTGCAGTTGTCACAGGGGGGCCATAATGCCTCACCTGTTTGGTTCACAAGCTATATTCACGAGTGGCAGAAGGAATAGAGTGTGCTTGAAACTGAAAACTTTTTTACTTCTATGCTCTCTTGTTGGGAGATTTCTTCTCCCACAGAACTATGATATACACTGAAATCACAGAATTGCATTGAGATTTTGCTTCGTATCTGTACTAAGAAGTTATAAACAGTAAATTTCATTAAAAATGATAATATTTTAAAATACGTAATTTTAATAAAAAATATTAGATGTAATTATTTATCTAGTATAATCTTACATAAATTTTTAAAAAATATTATTAATTTTACAATTTTTGAAATGTTGTCTATTTTCATCCTTGTAAGCCTCTTTTTAAAGTCAGAGGAAACAAATGTTTATAAGCTATCGTTAATCTCGACTGTATTTTAAGTGAGACTTTGAAATATGGAACATAAATGTTACAAACAGAATCTTGAACATAGTGTTGGTTGACTTACTGTGTGCTGAGACAGTACGGAAAGGCGTGAGGCCAGGGTAGTGGGGCTTGCGTTTTACTTTATATTATTATATGAAAAGAATAATTCATAGTAGCCCATAACCAATCACCGCTGTTGGCTCAAGCTATTCTAAACCCTTCACTATTCTTTTCTCTCCTAACCTTAAAAGAATAATAGTTTTGGAAAGAAAAATAATATTTTCGTTGTCATCGCAATCTTGCAAAGCATCTGAGATGCATCATGTTCAAATAAATGTATTTTAATCTGAAGAGGCAATTCCTGAATTAAACTACCACTAAAATGTGCAATATCTATTTTTTTTTAGATAACTATTTCATGAAAAAAAAAAGAGAAAAGTAAAGAGTTGACTATAGAGAAAAGTGAAACAAATAAGCATTAAGTAAGGTAAAAATGTGAAGAAAAAGAGAGGAGTTGGATATAAAATTGAAGAAAAAGAGAATTAGAAAGGAAAGTGAAGAGTTAGGTATAAGAAAAAAAAGAAAATTGAATTTGAAGGTTAAAGGAAGTTGAATGTGGAGTTTGAAGAAGAAATGTTAGGTTTAGAAAGAAGGAGAAGAGAAGATTGAATGAAAATTAAAGCTTTATGTTTATTTTTTTGCTTAAAGTTTTTTTTTCGCTTAAACTATTTGTTTTATGAAAATTGATTCAAATTATTTTGGGTTACATAGTACAACTAACAAAAAATGACAAACAAAAATTAAGATTAATGTCATACAACTAAAAAAAATAATTAAGTCAGACTTTGAAAATAATGAAAAATATTATTACTTAAGTTAAAGTGATATAAATCACTTGTAAATTCAAGTGTTGATATATATTAAAATCAATTTATATTGTACTTATAACTTAAAAAATGATTTAAAAATTTTAAAATTTATATTTGATGGTCAATTCAATGTAAGAATTACTTAGTGATTCTTCCATCTGGTTTGAGAGAAATTTAAGTAGAGATAAATCAGAGACATATTGACACAAATTTTTTGCAAAAATTTTTTCTCTTAACTAATCATTCTCCCTTCTTTTCTCTAATATATTGGAATAATTTTTGTCGGAGTAGTATTTATAAATATAGTTAGTAAAAAAAACTAATCAAAATTAGCTTTGTTTACGGTAAAATTAAATTAAATAATTAAATAATTCGCCGAATAACTCGTGTGTATGCAACTTCATTCAAAATTTTGAGCACTTAACTTTTTTTGGCAATCAAAAGAAATTTATTCAACGTCTTATGAAGGGAGGAGGAGAGTGAATTATTGAAGATTAAATCTGCAGATTCAAAATTTATATTTATCAACTAATTAATTGAGTTATGTTGAAGTATTTTGTTCAACTATTACTATCTTTTCGCTTTTCTCACTCTCTATAATTAGTTTTTTTTAATAATTTAAATATATTAATAGTATATTTTTATATTTAATTATAAATTATTATATTCATGGAAAATATTAACTTTAATTGATAATAATTAATTAAAAAGTTATATTTATGATATATATTTATTAGTGCACTAAAATTAAACCGGTATACTACTACCAAAATTTGGAAGTTAGCCCTTTTCATTTAGTGTAAGAACATTTTCACCTGTCAATAATAACCTAAAATAAAAAGAAGAAGAAAAAACAGTCCAATCATAATTTTCCTTTCAATTGCCCGAGTGGAATGGATTGTCTGAAACACTCGTCTTGCTTCTTTTCTTATTTCTTTCTTCTCATTTTCTTGGTTTTTCCCGGATCCAACTGTCCCCTGTATGAATATAACTCCTCATTACAAAATAACTCATTCATCAATCTACATCTATCAAAGTAAACTGTCTGCCTCAAGTCAAGAATCACTGCATCGTAATATGATATATGAGAAATCATCAGATATAAATTAGTTAATATGTAAAACCATTTGAATAATATTTGGATTAAATCCTTTGAATGTATAAGATATAAAAAAAAAAACTATATTAAGAAAATGGTAACTCCTCAGTTTATCTATTTTAATATCATTCCCTGATTTGAATGTAGTTACTCTACTTATCTGAATTTTCTTCAACATAAAGTTGTGCAGTATTTTTTAAGTATTTCAATCCATAATCTTGGCATAGTTTATATATATATATATATATAACTTGATTGAATTAAAAAATTAAAAAAATGATAGCTAGAAAACTATAACTATAAAACATTAAATTAAAGTGGCATTTTTTTATGATTTAAATCTTAAGATGATGGAATTATATCTTAACTCAATATACAGAAAGCTGAAGACTATAAAAATACTTATAGGAAGTGTTCTTTTAGGAATTAGTTTTAAAGTTTTGAAAATTTTGAGATGAATATACAATATTTTCATATATGTTTAAAGGTTTTAAAAAAAAATTCACACAAAATTTATTCTGATATATATTTTTATCATTGAAACTTTTAAAATGAGAAAATAAGTGCATACCCTTTTAAAAGGTTTTAACCTTGTGAAATATTCAAACGAAAAATTTAGTCATTTATAGTATTTTTATTTGACTCACACTGAATTATTTCTGGTGAAATATACATGTAATAATAAAAATGAGAAATAAGTAACTAGTTAAACGGTAAGAGTAAAAAATTATTTATTTTTAAATATATTTTTATCTTATGATTTAGCCAATTTCATTTGGTGGAATAAGACTATGTTATTACTGGATATTTTTATCTTGTGATTACATATTTTTAACTGTATAAAAATACTAAATTTGAATACAATAATTTTTTTTAAATTATCATTTTATTAAAAATATATAATTTTTTCCACTAAACTAACACCCCAACACAGAAGTAGAAAATTAAAACTAATCTAAACATTTAACAAAGGATAATTGTATGTTAACACTTCTATTTAGGTATAAAAGGATTATAAAAAAGAGAGAAAAGATATAACGAATTAACTATGTATTAATTATTTAAAAAGTTAAAATAGATTAAAAATAAATAAAAATAAAATTTATTTCGCAAAATAATGATCGAAACAGAGATTTGAATCTCCTAGTTTTTCTCAGTTAACAACACCTGAGTTATGATGTGTAACCCCCAACCTGTAGGCTTGTTCTTAACTTTTTGTGGAACAGCAGACAGAGCATGGTTATGAAGATCCGTAAGACGTTTGTATAGCAAAATACTAAGTACATATTATATTAATTCACATATAAGACCACAAATATAACGCACGCTAAGGTAGATCCCTCTAATTGGATTGTTTTTTCTTTTTTATATCCGTATGATTAATTTTGCCAACTGATACAGCCCCAACAATGATGACCCCTCAAAATAAAAATTGTGTTATTTTTATAATAATAGAAAATGTTTTATTTAAAACTTTATAGCTTTTTGTATATAAAAGAAAAGAATACAATACAAGTGACCTCGAGAGCAAGGACAAGGAGAAGCTCACAACCTCGAAATAATAAAAAAAGATCTTCACAGTAAAGTGGATTCACCCATCCGTGCGAAGATGCAATAAAATTTCAAGTCCACAGCAAAACAACAAAAAAAATAAAATGGGAAAAGCATTTTGCAGAAAGCAAGTTCCCCCAGGCACACACCATATCTGGATTGCGTTCCACAAAGCTTGAACATCACACCAAACACACACACACACACACACTAACATGAAGCTATCCACAAAGCCCATTTCAAGCCCGGGCCGAACCGACAAGTTCCCTCCCCCATTGATGAGGTTCCTGAGGACCAATGCAGGGAGCAGGAGCAGGAGGTCAAGGTCAAGCCCTATGTTCGTGCGCAAGAAAAACAACGCCACCATCGAAACCCAAGAACCCTCTTCTCCGAAGGTCACATGCATGGGCCAAGTCCGAGCTCGACGCTCTTCCAAACAACCCGCCACCAAAAGAGAGAGACCCCCCACCCGCTGTGGGTGCCGCTGTTGGTGGATCCGAAAGCCCAAAACCTGCCGCTGCCAGCCCCTTTGGCCCAACTGGCCCTTCTTTCGACGAAAGCCCAACAACCTCAAACAAGATTCAACTAACTCCCACTCCAATTTCCACGCTTCTAACTATGATTCCGACCACGAAGACCAAGATTCCGCTTCGGCGTTGGAAGAGACTGTGAATGTGAATGTGAATGTAAATAATGCTTTTGCTTCCAACTCTTCTACACCGCCCAAAAACGCTTTGCTTTTAACTCGCTGTAGATCCGCGCCGTACAGATCCTCCTCTTTGGCTGGTAGGTTCTGGGGTTCCCCCACGAGAGCCGAAGAAACACACATGCCAAACTCAGAGTCCACGTGCCACGAGACCGAAGAACACGGATACTCCGTTTCGGATCAAGCGCTAAAAACGGAACCAAAATTGGAGTTTCTCGAAGATTCGCTCAGAGAAAGAATCGCTTCTATCGGTAAATCGGAAAATGTCGAGGAATTATCCAAGGGAAGGGAAGTGGAAAGAGACTCTGCTGCATCGTGCCCCGTTGTGCTCACTAGGTGCAAATCGGAACCCGCTAAAACCGGACACAGGCTTCATCCTGAGCTGAATAATTTATGGAAAAAAAGGAGGTTAGAATTTGATTAGTCCATTCTTATCTCAATTTTTTTTTTGTTTCTATTAATGGTTACTGATTTGAATATAGTTATCAAATGAGTTGAATATAGTCTTCAAGGTTAATTTCTTTCTTTTTTACTTCGTGTTGATATAATTGCTTGTTTTGACCTGGAGTTGTACGCGTTAATCGGTATGGTAACATAAAAAGGTAACATGGGTGTGTAGCGAATAGAAAGAAGAAACACGAGAACGTTGAAGTGAGTTCGTGTACTTCTTCTTTTGGTTCTCAAAGGAAATGCCTTACTCTGTCGTTACATAGCCCCCAGTTTCTTTTCAATGCTAATAATGTTCAAAACCTGATTCCTCCAATTTGATTTCACGCGGTGGTTTTTGTTTGAACTTGTTGGAGTTAATTTAAAAAATGAAGGGTTAAGCTGTGTTTGATCGTTATTTTTAACTGATGATTAGCTTAATAATTTAACCTTTATATCTCAATTAATTAATGGGAAAATAAAAAGCATAATGTAAAGGAAAGATAAATATAATGTTTGGAGTGAGATACTGTTTTTATTATAAGTTTGTATGTGTGATGACAGCGCAGCACTCATCCGAACGTCGTCAAATTGAACTAACAAGTATCATTGGATGCTCTGACCAACTTTCCAACTGGGTGGAAAGTGCAAAATGGAAAGATAATTTGGAAGTATCTTTATGACTGAAGCGCAACCTCATCTTGTTTTTAATAATTTTTTAATCAACAAAGAAAACATCAATTTATTTAATAGGAGAGGAGTGCCAGAAGTACTCACTGAGTCATAATGCACACTCTACTTATCCCCGACCATTACTACTCTGATACCGATAGTAGTGTTTCCATATTTTAATTCTGGTGCCACTACCAATTTTCTGTTTCTTCTTCGGCTATAAAAGGATAATTAAATATACATGTGCATTCAGAGCACACCATGGTAAAATAAACAATACCACTCTCTACTCACCTTCATTAATTAATTGGTATGGAGTAGAGTTTTCAACATCTGTCATGTTATATGTATACAGAATATTTTACCATTTATTTTTAGATCTGTGTATTATTATATTAAAGTTCTGTAATAAAAATGTCTTTGTTATAATTTTAAATAACAAATGTCCTAAATGGTTAAGGAATTAATCTTTTTTTATCAAAAAATATAATGAATGCATCTCCTTCTGCAATTTTTAATAAAAGAAATATTTTCAATTCCTTGACTAATGTTCACATATAACTGATTAACAAAAATTCTTATTAAATTATGTAGCCTTTAGTACTCCTAATTGTCTAAACAACTCGGGCAAACATATATATAAAAAGATAATTCTATTTTTTATTTTTATTATAAATCTTTTAAATTATTAGGTAAAAAATATTTTTTTTAATTTAGTATTTATTAAATAAAAATGTGTAGGAAGATTACGAGGAGTATGAGTAAGAGGATACAACAAAACTCAATAAAATTGTACAAGAATAAAGGTTAGGGGGAAGTATGACTCGAATATGGTTGTTCCAATCAGTTTTGAACAGCCATGGTAGGCGTGACGGCTCACGTAAACTACTAGAACGGTTATCCCAAGTGTGTTTTATATTTTTAATGGTGGCAGCCTCGAAGTGATTTAAGTATTTGATAGCACGAAAAGAAAATCGAAATGGATGTGCAAGGACATTGTGAACCTAGGATTCATGTCACAAACTCTAATGCACCAGTGGTTAACTTTCTGCTAAAGCCATGTATATATTCCATGGTCCATAGGAGTAAAATGCATGTGCGACAGTGATCAGTTGCATTGAATTGTTGAATTTTGCGTTTGTTAATGGCATGTGACACTGTGGAATAGCATTTATAATAGGATGAAGTGACAGCGGAGTTGATAATTACTAGTAGACAATGGGTGGTCCATTTCTGTCCGTGCTTCTGTAGTTACTGCATTAAATCTCGTTCATTTCTATTATGATGGCCCATTGAATGGAATATTTCAACTAAACCAAGCCATGTTGTAATTTGTTCTTCTTTTACTTTTCCCCTTAGATTCAGGTATTGCACCTCAGGGGAAAGTTTAATCTTTAAAAGCAAACAAAGGAAAAGTTAGAGAAGGATTTTGATTAACCAATTATGTGCATTAGTTTAAAATTCTCATACCTTCTAAAGTAACTTTAGTTATTCTTATTTTTAACCAAACTGTTTTTTTTTGTGTGTGTGTGTGTGTGTTAGCTTTTTAAGGTTTCAGTCTAATTTGACTCTTGAATTTATGGTTGAAGTTTAACGTATTTACTTTAAATGAATCATACTTTGAGGCTTGATTTGACTTTTCTCAAAGTCTGGCTTAATCTGATCTAGCCTGTCAGTTTATTTAAAATATTTCTTTATAATAAAATTTTGCTTTTAAATCTTACCTTATATATGAATTACCATATTTAAACATTAAATAAAATAAATATATAATATTAAATTATTATTATTATTATTATTATCGTTATTATCATCATCATTTATATAGGCTAACATGTTAAGTTTAAAGGACTTTTTAAATAGCCAAAGATCTGATTTGATAGTAAATAAGTTTGACTAAATCTATTTTCATTCTTAGTTTTGAATATAGAAAAATAAAAAAATATAAAAGATTAAATATATATTAAGATCGTTAATAACTTGATTTGATACGATGCATCACGTTGGACCATACAAAATAATTCTGAAAAATAATGTGAAATATTTTTAATTATTCTAAATATAATAAAGATATTATTCAACACTTCATATATATATGTTGTAGAAAATATACTTCAACTTGAGGTGGGATTTAAGTATCTAAGAATTTTGTAAGAACATTACAATTGCAAAACTAATTGTAATAACTAAATATAATGATTTACAAAATAATAACCTTTCAATTGTACCTTATCATACCCGAATATTTAAAACTATAAAATCATTTTTTTTTATAATATCTAGCCCAAACAATCGGTGCTCTTTCTAACCTCGACCACTTGTTTTCGTTGAAGCTCGTCCATGACGTGTTTCTGTGGCCTTTACCCACATTCACGATGTTGCGTTTCTTAAAAATGAATGGTTGAGCTATGAAATATCACCACCATTCATGTTCCCTTCAGAGATGTGGACATTTATTTATTATTATTTTTCATTCCTCGCGTAATTATTTTACCCTCTGCATACAAAATGTCATTTTCTCCAGTCGATCCACAAGAGTAGGGTAATCTTCTTATTGGACGTTGAGAAATATAATATGCAAATATCATGATAGGCAGAGTGAATTTTCAATTGTAAAATAAATAACCATTTACTGATAATGCACACGAGCACACAAGGATAAAGAAACTAGAATAAAGGGTAAAATTAACTTTTTGAGAGCTCCTCAGGTAAACTAGAAATGGCTATTGACTATCCTATTCCCACGACGGATGACCCCACCTAGGAACGACCTTCACCTGACTTAAGAAATTGTGAATATACGAGGATTCTCAAACTATTACTACTTGCTTTAAAGTGCAATTTGTATTAATTCTCTTCGACTCCCTTATTTTATTCTTAGCATTTGAGTTTATATATATTCTTCTTGAAACGATATTAATTACATAACTTTCAAATGTTCAGTAAGATGGTACCATGGTTATATGCGTAATGTGTACAGTGACTTGCAACCAGACAAAATTTGGAAAGGTTTTGGGAGGATGTATCAAAATGAAGTGTCATTGATTAGGGGATTGGTCCATGTAGCGGTTTTGTACCAATCTTGTTTTGGGACCACTTAACATATATCCAAACCTTTCAGCACTTGCGATCAGTTAATCGAAGTGCCAAAAGTAAAAATACGAAGAAAATGCCAATGTGAGTTACTGTGAATAAATGAGAATTTTATTTGATGACAGTGTGTCTTGATCCGATTTCTATTTTATTTGTGGTCTTTGATATAAGTAAGGATGACATAAAAGAAGCAAATACATACATAAATATATACACAGTCCAACTGAAGTTGAGAATGTGATTTGAAGGTTTAAATTGCAGTGGTAGATCTCGGTTACATATATCTTCAAAATTGTAATACCATGGATAATTGTGCATAAATATTACAACGTGGTTGTGAAGACCTTTACAACCTTTATATTGCAATCACAATTGTACTCATAAATTTACAATTTACAATTTGAATTTAGGTTGAGTGGAAGGGCTAATTCCCCATGGTGATCTTAAATTATGATTTAAAATTTTTGTTGAGAGATGCACTTATATAATATTTAGTACTTATTATTCGTGTTTCTTTAATAGGATTGTTTGTAATATAAGATATTTGGAAAAAAAAATAACTCACTTAAAATAAATTTTTATATTCCACTTATGTTATTTAATTGAACAAAAAAATCACTTCTTAGATTAAGTAGTTACTTTATGTTATTATGTGTTAATTAAATCTTTCAAGACACTAATTAATACTTAATAGTATTATTTTTTTTCTAAAAAGTAATGAGTATATTTAGATAAATAATTTAATTAAATATTTATTTAATAAATTCTTATTCAATGCATGAGAGCTTATAACATAAATTTAATCATAAAAATTATTTTAATAAGATTAAAAAACTTATTAAAGTACAATAAAAATAATTTATAAAAGAATAACCTGTTTTCATAAACTCTTTTAACCACCTTCAATATCAAGACAAGTGTTTTCTTAATAGAAGTCCCATGTTGCTCTTCTATATATATATCATAAATATGAGTTGACTTAGATTAACGGTTTAGTTTAGTTTAAATAACAATATATCCAATGTAATTGGTTTAGGTCTCGAATCTTAAGAAACAAGTTTAATATCCAATGACCCGATCCAACTTATGTATTATTTAGTGTTTTATTTTCTAGTACTTACTTACGCATACTAACAATATTTAAGTAACTTAACAACACATAAAATTATATAAATAGGGCACATATTTTTTTAGATAAATAATAGACCAGATCACCCAAGCCAAGCCAACTCTACCATGATCCAATTGGATTGGATCAGATAGTTTATTAAAATCACCAAAATTCAACCAAACTAAACCAAAAGCTTTTGATCTTCAGACATTTTTTTTTATACTTGCTTCTCTCTCACCACTCTTGTTCTCTTTTATAATTTTTTAAAAATTTTAAAATTCTAACATGGTGGAAAAATTCAATTACTAAATTGTGCTAATCTTAAAGAGTAATTTCAAAGATAATACATATGAATGTGAAAGTGGCACAGCGTAAATTGTACAGAGGACACGCTTTAGTATTTTAATTTTAAGTATTTATAATAAAACTGAATGATTGAGACATGTTTCTCGTATTTTTATATATAAAAAAAAATTTCATTTATAATATTATACGTATTTAATAATGTCCAAGAAAGGTTCTTAACTTATCATATTTATTTATTAAAAACGGCCAAAAATCATTTTCTTTTCTTAGTTATTGTTCAAGACTAAGCAACGAAGTTAGAAGTTATATGGTAAGCGTTATAATATGTCCCAACCTCCCAAACCAACACATCCACGTCGGTGCCTCGTAACATATTGCTGTGTTGATTGTGGTGTTTCAATATTGCCAAAAGGATGAAAATTAAAAAGACAAAAATATGTAACTTTATACTCAGCCTCCGTTGGCCATGTTTCTTCCGTGAACCTGCTTAGCCCCCACTCTTAATCACACCTTAAAACCTTTCTATGCAACACTCAACCTTGGCCTTCTTACTTCTACTCGTTTTAACCAAAACCTCAAGAATTTTGTGCATGTTATACATGAAACGACCCACCTTCACAGCTTGCTTCTTTCTCTTTCTCATCCTCATTCTCCCTTATTTCTCAAGAGGTTTCTGCCTATTTTACACCCCCTGTATATGTATTTATAATTTATATACATGCATAATGTTTATACAAGTTTTAATTGTTGCAGTGGAACCGCGATCGGAAGCATTGATATATGAGATTGATTATAGAGGTCCTGAGACCCATTCGTCTATGCCTCCACCTCATCATTCCCATGCCAAGTCTCATTCAGCTCATTGGAAAAGCTATGCCGCTGCACCTAAAGATACAGCCTTAACGGGTAGAAGTGCTACCATGGAGGAAAAGGCAAGTATTTGTGCTTTCTATAAGATCGTTAATTGAGCTTCTCTCATTCATCACCATCTTGGATGTTATTACACAAACATTTTTTTAACCTGTAAAATGTGTGTAAAAAATGAACGGTGTGGTTGAGAATTGCACCTCGCAAGTTTCTTCTTGAACTGCAGGAAAACCGGATCTTGCCGTGGTGTATATTTAAAAAGGGTTTAAATATAAGATTTTGTTAAACTCTACGATTAAATTTGTGTTTAAGTATCTACAAATAAAAAAAATTTATAAGAAAAATACAATTATTATATTAAAGTTATTAAAATACAATAAATACTTTTTTTTAATAAATTTTTATTATTATTAATTATTTATCTTTAGTCCTTAACAAAATTCTTAAATATACTGTAAATTATTATATTTTGGTGAACTTTTAGTTTTATAATTTTTATGTTTTAGTTTTAGTTTTTATATTTTTTTGTAATTAGGATATAATTATTTTATATTTTAGTTTTCTTATGTCCACTACTAGATACTTTTATTATTATTATTATCGTTAATGCTTCTTTACTGCAGGTTAAGAAAGTTCATGGGTGAAGAAGCTTTTCATGGGAGCTAGGAGTTTCAGTGTTCTCGTATTTTCCCTGAGAGAAACGTACTGGCAGAGAAGTTGGGCCTTTAATCATGCTCTGCTCTGTGCTCATATACGTGATATAGAAAAAACAAAGTGTATATTGAAAATTGCGTTTTGATGGCAAAGAAAGAATATTTGCGAGTTTTTTAACATTTGAGTCTAGTTTATATTTAGAATAAACCTGCAAAATACTTGTCAAAATTGTTGGAATTGTATAGTATAGTTTCTGAGATTTCAATTTTTTTCACTAATATTCTCACATTATCTTTCGTCTTGCAGTTTAGTTCCCAGTGCGACATGTCGATAGTTTTCAACGTTTACATAATGCTGAGTCACTTTAAATCACAATAAGCATCAAAATGATGTTGGATTTTAATAAGATACAAGTTATATGATTGATGGACTCAAGGTTGTAAGAGCTACAACAAGGTTGAACACAAATCACTCATTAACAACACTTTTAATATAAAAAAATGTAAATTAAACTAAAAAAAAATTCAAGAATCTATCGTTAAGGTTTAGTTTGAATAAATTTTTAAAAAATTATATATAAAAAAACTAATATAAAAAATAATAACATTTTTTATAAATTAAAAATAACATACATTTTTTTTATTTTTTAAAAATTCTTTTGTTTAATTTCTCCAAAATTTTTAAAAGATTATTTATTTTTTAACTTTTTTTTTTAATATAAAAATTTGTATAGATGTTTACCAAACTGGGCCTAGCAAACATTCATTGCAACCATGTCAATACAAAAGTCAATTGGACCACATAAAATAAAAGACATTGGGCAATTCGGATTATACACAAACTGAATGCAAAGTATGAAACATATCCGTAAACCCTTAAAAGCAAGAGTATTAAAGCATTGCACAACAAAGGGGTTAGAGTCTTGTACCCTTTTCTTCGTAGTGAAAGAACGTCCAACCTTCTTGTACCTAAAAGTAGAGGGACTAATTATCAATGGTCGTGCTTCAAACGAAAATTGAACACAGATAAAAGTGGTGTAATGGTTGTCTTTTGAGACTACACTGACTGTTATATTAACTTTGTCAAATATGATATCGTTTTGAAGTTTACTTGTCTTAAGCATTTCATAATCATCAACAAACAATATATTACAATGGAAATTAAGTTGCAAAACAAAAGACAGCCCTAAACAATTAACGATATATTTTTGAGATCTTAATATTAAAATGAAGTCTGAACGAAGAAGTTACATATTTAATAAAAATTAAAAAAAAAAGTTAAACAAGGAATAAAATTTGGAGACTAAGAGCATGTTTAATTACTTTTTTAAAATAATTTTCTTTTAAAAATAAATTTTAGTATAAATTTATATTAAAATTTATTTTTAAAAATAAAAAATTATTTTTAAAGCAAACATACCTTAAATTACATGAATATATCTTTTGCAACTTTACTCTTTATACTTGTAACTTTCATTTGATTTGTTCTTCTATAATTTAAATACAAGAGATTTATATGTGATTTTATTAGTTGTAAAATGTGTCAATAATATACTACGAGACTATTCCATCAAGATAATTGCTTTATATATATATATATATATATATATATATATATATTCACCAAATGCCATTTTTTCAATTGTGTATGTACTATACAATAAGACATGAGTTGTATATAATTTTTTTCAACTATAAAAAAAGATAAAAAGAAAATAAATTAATGATTTTTAACGACTTGTTAATTTTTAATTAAATGATTATGTAAATTTTTTTCAATATATTTGAATTAAAATCATGATATTATCCTATCTAAATATTGGTACTTTGCATAATTTACATAAGATCATAATACTAATAAACATAGATTTGGATCTTAAAAATTGTAGAAAATGATTGTTTGGAAGAGTAGCGGAATTTGAATTGGGGCAAGGGAACGGTGCGTGGTGGTTTGTGGCAGAAGTTAAGAATAAGAAGGAAGAAGTGAAAGAAATTGTGTGGTTGGGTGGCGATGACGTGGTCGAAAGAGTAGAAAAAGAAAGGCAATAAATAATAAATAACGACAACGAAAAAAAACAAGTGTTGAACAGATAGATAGATCGAGAACAGGGAGAAGACGACGCGGGGAATCTCTTCTCCGCTTTGCAGCGACACATCAATGGCCGATAAGCAATCCAATCAGAATGGGAATGAAGAGGAGGCAAGTCCTCTTCTCCAACCCAAAGCCCAACCCACGCCCACGCCCTCCCCAACTCCCGAGTTTCTTCTCGGCTGGACCGCCGATGGGCACCCCCTAGCACAAGCCAGCGTCGTGGGCCAGCCCATGGGCCGGGCTCCCTGGAACTCCTCCATCTGCGCTTGCCTCGGCCAAAACGATCACTTTTGCAGTAGCGATCTTGAAGTTTGTAAGCCCTTCCCTCTCCCTTTCTCTCTCATTTTTATTTCGTTTGGGGATTTTATGTGCCCTAACTAGTTTTCATACCTCTACGACTCAATTTTGGTTTCCCGTGAAATTGGAATTTATGGATGATTTTTTCGTACAAGACAAATTCCTCGTTTTTTGAATCCCGCATGTGTTTTCCTCCGAGCTGGCTATGTTATTTGTTGCTTTTATGTTTAATTCGAAGGTCAAAAAATCGAAATCAAAATAAGTGCTATGCTATTGTTATGAACCAAAAATGCTTCTGGATCTCCAGTCTTTCGCTGCATTTGATGTGTTTTCGATGTTCATCCATAAACGATTTATGCACTTTGCTTATGCCTGAAATTGTGTGGTGGGATAGGTCTTCTTGGGAGCGTGGCTCCTTGTGTGCTGTATGGAAGCAATGTTGAGAGACTTGGATCTGCTCCTGGGACATTTGCCAACCATTGCTTGCCTTATTCTGGTTTGTATATAATTGGGAATTCTTGCTTTGGTTGGAATTGTCTTGCACCATGGTTTTCCTATCCGATCCGTACTGCGATCCGTCGGAGGTTCAATTTAGAGGTAAGTTACTCTTTTTATTCTTTAATGTGTTAAGAAATCTCTTATTTGTTAGGGTATATGTGAGGCTGGGTTGTTGGTGCAATGGAATTGGCATGACTAATTGGAGGAAATTTGGTAATTAGTTACAGGTGAGATAAAACGACAGAAGAGTACAGGGAAGGTGAGGAAGTAGTGACCAAGTAATGGATAGGTTAGATCAGGGAATTGGCATGCTGCTGTATCTCTTTTCCTTCAGTTCAGTCTTGTCAATTGTAATCTACTGATATTGCACTGACACTGGTGATTATAGTGAAATATTACAGTGTATACCCTTTTTGTGTGTAATCTGTGCCAGTTCATATCACACACACTGTTTTATATCTGTTAATATGACAAACCTAGCCCCAAATGTTGTTATGTGGACGTGGTTATTAATTCATCAACCTGTAAACTTCAAACCTCTATATATTAGCTATAAAGAATTGTCACTAGATTGAGACGCGGTGCACCACAACCACAACAAAACAAGATTCAACATGAAAATTAGGTTTTCTACTCTGTCAAGCTGGAACATGGGCTCCCCATCTTTATATAATATAATAAGATAATCTATCCATATAACAAGATTCAACTTGTGTACTGTTTAAGAAATGGTTCCAAACTCCTAATTCTATTGTGGATTTGAGAATTTTGATTATGTTGACCATTTTTAACGTGTTCAGTCATATATTGTATTTTTTGTCCAAATATTTTTGGTACAATGGGATATGTATCAAGGGTGGTGAACCTGTATTTAGTTGTTGTTTGTGTCCTGTATTAAGAAAGTAATTTTAATCTGTAGCCTTTTTTATGAAGTTGATATTGTTGGTGTCATTTGTGGATTATGAAGAAAATAGTCCTATTATTAAATGGTAAATTGGATTAATTTGTTTTTGGTATGTCGATTTTGTAGGGAGGTGATAGGTCAGTCAGTGGTGTGCTTGTAGTTTAGTTCAGCTTAACTTCAACTGTATTTGATATCAACTTTGTATTGCTTAAAACTACTCTCTGTCTTCATATGTAATTCCATGTTTTCGTAGATGAAAAGCCTATATATATGAGATTTTCCTTTGCATTCCTATTATAACTGTCTGCCAATCTCCCTCAAATGCAGAAATTACATTCCTTTGTTATTATGTTATAATAAAAAAGTTTTTGCATAAATTATTTATTGTCCTTTGGAATCAGGGAAGTTGCGAAGCACTTAATAGATCATGTGGGTGCTGCGGAAGCTTTTTGGAAGATGATGTGCAGCGTGAACAGTGTGAGTCAGCATGTGACTTGGCAACTCATGTCTTCTGTCATGTGTGTGCTCTCTGTCAAGAAGGTCGTGAGCTCCGTCGTAGGTTACCTCATCCTGGCTTTAATGCTCAACCAGTACTGGTTATGATTCCCCCAGCAGAGCAGACCATGGGACGTGAGGGTTGAACATATTCTTGCCCATCTTGGAAGTGCTATTCTTGTGTATGTTACTGTTACTTCTATATAATTTGATATTGAATCGTGTTGACTTTCTCGAATGAGGATCCTGGCTTTTTATTTTTTTATAAATAAAAACATGAAACTTCGTAATTTCTGTTCGCTTCCCTACTGTTTTGTATATACATACATATATATATATATATATATAAATTGGAATGATATGGGAGAAAATTTTCTCCTAGTATCTATGCATAATTATTGGTTCATGAGCTGAATGAAAGAGTATGTTATATTAAGGGCATGGTTCCTAGTGACTAGCTCTGGCCTCCAGTTTACGTATGGCTTTTCTTACTGAAATACATAGCCCAAGTTATTGCATCTGCATTCTGGAAAACCCACCAGTGTTCCAATAATACGAGAGCCAGGAACATTAAGCATATAACATATTTATAACTCACAAAGCTACAAAATTTTATTACGGTTTCATAATCACTCGCTAAGCAATTCTTATGCGATCAAAGTGCTTATAAAATTTCATAATAATAAAATAACTTAACATGGATTTCAGAATATATTTTATTATTGTAAAACCTACTCTCCTTCACTGCCCCCACCCCTTATTTTACTATTAAGAAAAAGCAGAAAAATTATGTTCTTTCATGAACACTGATTTAGCGCCATTAAGGCGGTGAATAATTCAATTGAACACGCCGTCATCGTAACAGTAAAAATCCCTTCTTGGAAATGCAAAAATTTTATTATGATACTTTCAATTGAATGATCCAACCCACGTAGGCGTATCTATCCAAAAGAAAGAAAACCGGTGATCAAACCATTCCATTTTTTGCCTTATTTAATCTATATCAGGCTTTCTTCACTTGGCTTTGTTTTGCCAGGTTCATAAAACACTACTCGTCTTGTGTTTTCTCTTCAGAATAGACGGTCATATCATATAGATAAGAACATGCTTGATTGGTTTGTAGTAAAATTATGTGACAAAGCTGACAACGTTGGGATTCGAGATTGCAAATGCAGCTGAAGATACCCGGCAAAACAATCTTTCGTTGAACCTGTCATCTGTCGGCTTGACATAATTTTGCTTACCAGGGGCAATGAATTAGAACAAAGGGGAGTAGATTCTCACGGCGATTATTACCTAATGAAAGGTTGGGGGGGGGGGGGGGGGGGGAGTTTTTGGTAGTTTAGTAAGAGGAACGGATGTTATTTTTTCTAGTTCTATCACCACCTCAATCCTTACAATTTTGAGACAACAAAAATTGAACCTGGGGGGAAACATTGGGCAATTTTTTTATTTTAGTTTTTTGTGCCCTGTAACCCACTAATGTATTTTTAAACTGTCAAATCAGGAAATGAACTTCCCTTTCCTTCATTTCCTTTCCCTTCCCTAATTGCTAGTTATCCAAAATAATGATGCAACAATAATCAGTGGGGAAGCAAAATGATGATTTAATCATAAATATTAGCCTGTCCCAAATTGTTAAAGCACTAATTTATGTGGTTAAACTTTCTATCAGTAATACTCAGGATAGAAAGATGAAAATTAACGTAATTCAAGACACCACAGAAAGGGAAAGTATTTTTTCTGGAGTACAATTTAAACCAGAGTACAAATTATCTACTCTCCAGGTGCAGAGATGCCTTGCTTCAGTCTCTCCTTCTTCATCTTCTTCTTTGAGACCGGCTTCTTTTTCCTGGGAGGGAGGGTCTTCTGTGCATACGTGTAGAGCACAAAATTTCCAATAAGGAATGCCAATAGCAACCCAACTACAACCAGAAGAACTATTAAGCCTGGGTTGAACCCTTGGGATCCAGAATCCTTAATCACGTTTCCCTGAGTAAAACATAAAAAGGCGCTTAAAGAAGGCCATATAGAGAGCACTAAGGAAAAAAGAAATTGTAAAATGCAATAAAAATGCACTTATTTTGAAATATCAATTGCAAACTGCCATACATTGATTTACTTGGAAGGACAACGACACTACCTTTTCTTTGGACTTGACACTCATTATTATTATTATTGAAGAAGCTTTGTTGAATGTTTCAACTAAGTAGTCATACACGACACCCATTTAAGTCATCTAGACAAGTTAAATAATCCAGAAAGGGTTCAGAAAAAAACTTTTGTATTTACTTTTGAAAAGTCAATGCTATATTCAAACGATTGTTTATATTATGGTATTATATGACCTTTATAATTAGACTATATACGATATTTCATCGCATAGGTTGTAGACAATAGATGACTTACTATTATAATTTAAATCTACATTTATTCCTCAACTATGTGCGCTAATGATTAAAAACACCGCATCAACAGTAAATTTCACAATTTTTTCTCTGATTCTGAAAGCAAAATCTTGGATTTTCTACTTAAAATATGATTAAAAAAATACTAAATAAGAATTAATTTGTTAATGTTGCTTTCTTAATAATTCTGTTACATGCATATTACTAATTTGATAACTTTTTTAATCAGATGCTAAGCATCCACGAAGAAATAACATCAAAATATGATAAAAAAATATATACTTATCTCACTACCATACATTCATGTGCTTAAACCAATCGCCAAAGACACCATCTTATATTAATGTATTTGAACAAAATGCAAATCATTCATAATTCAATAAAGAAATCCACTTATTTTTTTACTAGGTTATTTCATTCATTCATTCAACATGAATAATAACCATTGATTATTTATAAATAAAAAAAAAAACAATTAAGGGATAATTATGACTACAATATTGAGGAACAACTCATTCTAAGAAAATAAACAATTAGAGAAGAAGTAAATAATATTATTTTTTGTTTTTATTCATGCAACAAATCATTTGGCTTAAAATTGTGTAGATATGTAATTGAAAGAAGAATGTGTTTCATTTGTTGAGCATGAAAAGAATTCATTACTTTGAAGTGTATATGCTGATTATACAGATGCCACCATCCAGAATCCTAAGTTAGGCTTCTGTATACCTATCATGTACACACCAATTACAGATCATATTCACACCAAGCACATAGCAAGTAAATGAGTTCTTGCACAATCAACGTGTCCGCAACAGCTAATACTACACACACCACCATCTCAACTCCTAAGTTAAATTTATGGATACTTATTACACAATAATTCTAGGCCGTGTACACAATATGCACACAACAAATTATGAGTTCTTAACTTCCTACACTATCAATGTGTACATAAAATTTATGAGGTATGTACATGCAAATGTGCATAGCAATCTTCTTCTGGTTGAGAAATTAATCAAACAACAGATGTGCTCACAAAAGTTGTTTCTCACTCCATCTTTCAATACTATAGACATAAACTCAGGATTCATGATATTTCAGCCTTCAGTTTGCAAAAAGGGTGTAAATAGTTAGTTATCAATAGTTGTAAACCTTTCATCAAAGTGATGATCTTGAACCTCTATGTAAGAGTCCCTATATGTAATCAATGATAGAGTGAAAAATACTCATCACAGCTCTGATTTTATTGTTTGACAACCCACTTCTTATTAGTGACATAGATGGGGAATTATTCAAATCGTCAAATGCAACCCAAATCTTAATTATCCAAACACAATAGCCACTGTGTTAACGCAATAAAAATACCAATCCAAAATAGGTAAAAGAAATAAGAATGACGAGCAAAGGATTTGAATTTAGGTTTAGTTTTTTTGGGAGGAGAATTATTCAGGGGGGGCACTGATGCAGTATCAAAATGCTTGCAAGCTGAATATCAAGGAGAAGCGTGCTCACCAAAGGGGGCTTTAAATCCAAATTGTCAAGGATGTCTTCGGAATGAATTTCGAGATTGAAGAAGAATGTATTTACAAATTATCAATTTCCAAATAGTTTTCAAATAATGAAAAAATCAGAGGAGAGAAAGGAGGAGAATATGAAAAAAGTAAATGCAAAGTTATTCTGTAATATCGCTATCATCTAAAATCTATGCATGGATTGGCATTTATATAAAATACAATGCATGGAATTAAAAAAGAAAACCAACCTACACAACAAGATTTGACACTACGAACCGTTGCTCCATCACATTACAATAGCAACGCAACAAACCTCAAAAGCGCCTAATATAATAGGCATACATATAAACAATCAGATTTAAATCTAAATTTGAACATTTACCTTAATCGAAACCCTTGCTGAAAATCTGAAAAACAAATTTTAAAAAGAAAAAGATTCCTAACTTAATTGTCACTGAATCCACAACATTAGAATCAGCACGAGTTTCAAAATCATCGAATCCCGAGAGACGGATCTTCATCCCGGGGTTAAAAAATTAAGCAAATATTTGAATGATTCAAAAGCTACGAGAGTGAAACAAACACAAACGGAACGACCACATGCAAGGCTTGATCCATGATTTTAAGATCTAACTAATCGCTCAAAAGTAAAAAGCGTGGAAAGAGGAGCATTGCGCAAAATTAATTGAGATAATTCAGATTCAGATCTAAGTAATAAGATAATAAACGACGGTGATTAGTAACAGTAATTGTACCACACGGTCGAAGGAAGGAGGGACTTGGTCCGCGAAATCGAAGTCATCGGCCATGGTTGACGCTGTCTGCGATGCTTGTGGCAAAACAAATGGAGATTTGAATGCAGAGTTTGCGGCACGCCTTCAAGAAGGTTCCAGAAACCAGCTTCAGCCTCAGATTTCACCCTACGAATTCGATGACTGTTGCCTTTTTTTCAGATCAAAATTATATTGCTGCCACACATTTACTGCTCGTGAACCCAAACAAATATAAAACGTTACTTTTAGGGTCAATACTTTAAAAGGATATTAAATTAATGTTTTAGTAAATTTTCTAACCTGCATATATTAAATCCCCTATTTATTACTTTTTTTATTTTTTAAATCTAAAATATTAAAATTTTAAAATAGTATTAATGATTATTTTATTGCATTGTATATTATAAAAAAGGAGATAGAAATAATAGTGAATCAAATGTCAAAGTAAAAAGCGAGAGAAATAAAAATATCTTAAAAAATTATTAATATGTGAAAAATTATTTTTTAAAATCTGGATATTATAATTTAAATTATAAATATAAAAATCTGAGAGAACATTAAATTAAATTAATGTCATTTTTATTAATAATGAAAGTTTTAATTTTTCTTCACTGAGTACGGATTGTTATTAAATGAAGTTACATGTCATAAAAAATGGTAGAAAATATATATATATATATATATTTAATATTATTAAAAATACTTGTTGTTCGGATAGATTAAACGGAAGAAAGAGAAGGAAAACAAAAGTAAGAAAGACAGAAACATGATAATGCAACAAACTTATTGTATCCATGACTCTTTGATAATTTCTATTAGAAAAATCCCTTGATAAAAATCTTAACCTTAAAAAAAAAACTTGGAAGATATTGGCTTGTAACTAAATGATATAATAAAATATCTACATATTTTCTTGAGAGTGAAAAAAAAATCAATTGCAAAATATCTGCATAAAAATGGATTTTTTTATTTATTTAATACAAATTTTAAAAAAATCTTAAATTAAAATAATAAAAAAATAAATTTTCTGTCTAAAGTTTTTTTCTGTCACATCAGTAATAGTTTTGTATTTATTTTATATGAAATTATTTTTTTTTTCTTTCCTTTTTTATTGTTAATTTTATTTATTATATTATTATTCTCTTTCTTCTCATCACCAACCTCATTTGATTTTGCCACATGTTACTTAAGGTTTATGTCTAGACAAAACTACACGTGTCATGTTATGAGAATTTTGTCATTTTTAGATGATATTAGCTAATTAAAAATAAAAAAATAATTTTATCCAGAATAAATATGAAAACGTGATAAAAAAAATCTTAGACAGAAAAATTATTTTTTATTTTAATTTAGGAATTTTTTTAAAATTTATATTAAATAAATAAAAAGCCCATAACAATATGGAAAAATTGTAGAGCTGATATTTTAATTTTTTGAAAGATACTAATACCTAAGATGAACATATATACACATAAACCCTAAACACATTAAATCAGGGTAGACCCACCGGGTTCTTAATTAAGATAAAACATTCATTTATTTACTATATTCATTGAGTTCACCCGTGATTTGTATTTTATGAAATCACAAACTGCTAGCATATTTCCTGCTGTCTAGTTCTGTTTTTACTTTATTTAAAAAAGGAAATAGGATAATTTAAAAGAATTTATGAATAATTTATAAAAATATTTTATGATTTTTATAAGTTTTTTAAATTATTTTAATAATTTTTTTATCATAATTTATTAAAAAATTATTTTTAATTTATATTAAAAAAAGTATAACAAAATTTATTGCATAAATCATTATTATATCTATTATGCTCAGAAAGTCTGACTTATCTTGTTGAGATATTTTGCATTTGTAATACAAATAAGTACAGTGGTCATAATAAGATTCTAATATATAACTTTATGTAAAGCACTCGAGTCCCTGGGCAGTAACGTGGTTGAGTGTTCACAAATCAATTCAATATAAACTATAAAAATCATATTTAAAATTAATTATCCAAAAACATCAAATATTATAGAAATAAAAAGATTAATCAGAATCAATTAAATTTTGTATTTAATTTTAAAAGCTGATCAAATATGATCTGATTATATATATGAAATTATAATGTTTATTTTTTTTATGATTTTGTCTTCAAGATTTGATTTTATTATTATTATTTTGATATATTTATATGTTTATCTGTTTTAGATTAATTTAAAGTTATTCTTGTGTATCATATTTTTTATATAAATTTTATTTTTATAAAAAATAAGTTTTAATTAAAATTAGTGTAGAAGAGAAAATAAAATAATTTATTTATGATTTTCTAACAACTAAAATATAATTATAAAAATCGAAACATACAATTTAATCTGAACTACTTTTCATTGAATTGAATTATATTTAATTTAAAATTTTATTCAAATCAATCTAAATCGAACTATAATATATTTTTATAATTATAATTAAATCAGATATTTTTTGCTTAAAAATCAATTTAATTCAATCTGCGAGCACAGCTGCAAGTTCTTGGAGTAGTAAACTAGTAATCGTTGATGGCAGATGCTGTGAATGTGCTGCCATACTGGGCTCTTCAATTTCCATGGTCAGCATGTGGAAAATCTCAGAGGCATTCGTTTATGTTATTCTCATTCCAATTCTTAGAAAGAGAACTCTTTTAAAGATGCGTTATGAATATGCAGTAATGCAGAAGTTAGATAATTAATTTCTACGTAATTCATTTTAAAGTGCTAAATGTAATTGAAATGTGCATGGAATTAATTTTAACCATAAATTTTGTATAGAATTTGATTTAGGTGCACTATTGTTTATTTTAAAGGACCAAAATTTACATATAAGAAGCGTGTTGGGTAACAATTTTTTGTTGGTATGATAAACTCTTAACTTTTCTTATAAACAGAATGATTACTAATATCTCTAAAGCAATACATTTGAACTTGGACGTAAAAGATAAGAAGTAGCATTCGGTTGAGGCAGAGTGTAGACAAACAAAACATAGATGGGAGATGATTGAAGTAGCTGCAAAATCATTGTTCCATTGATATAATGAGAACAAAGAAGCCAAGACATGAATAACGATTTCTCTGGTCATATATGTGAACAAAAAACAATGGAGCAGTATCTCCATTTCTTATGCATAGTTGAAACCCCACTTGAAAGGCAACACATCATAGTAGGTCCCTCTTTAGTCCTTTGTGTTTATCTTCTTCCTGCCTTATCTACCTAACTTGTATTCCTTACGACAACATACTCATTAACTAAGCCCCCGCATTTCATTCCAATAAGAACCTTCCTAACCCTTCCCTTTTATTGCCTACAAGACAAAAAGAGTGATAAGCGATTGGTGAAACCATAAATCACATTTGCTGATTTGCACCATCTCTCTTATAATATGCTTAAAAGCTTCTTTATTTTTTATATCATACAATTATTTAGCTATGACTAACTATATCATATGTTGAATTGAAACCATTCTTGCTCTATGTTTGAGTATTGGCCATAACTCATTCTTGGTGGATTTCTGAGGCAACAATTTTAGCCCAGAACCGAAGATGTTTCTTCATATTGGCAGATGAACAATGTTTGGGAAATTTTAAATTTAGTAGAGGTGAATCGGGTCTCCTTATAAGCCATGCTTCTGATAAATATGGTCTCATGATGTCTCTCTTTTCTTCCTTTGCCTCAATATGATTCGTTTCTGTGGCATCCATTTGTTGTTTATTATGGTGTAAACCAAGTCTCTGCAAGCCAGGGACAACGCTCATCATTCTTGGGTTTAGATTTTCTCTGTTGAATATGAAACCAAGATCCATAAAACCCTTTACTTCATCAAGTTCTAGTTCCCCAAGTGTTTTGCAGCTCATGGACTTCTGCAGTTTCCATGCACACGTAGCTGGTTTCCTAAATTTTCTGCGATGGTTTTGAGTTGATGGTGAGGATGAATGTGAACGAATTTTGTTACCAAAATGGTTCATTCTAGCGAATCTTTCCTTGGTTTCTTCTTCATTTTTGATTGAACCATCCTTTGTGACAGTACAAATAAAATGATCAAAAGAAGAAGAAAGAATGGTCATGACATGACTCATGGTTCACTGTCAAATTGCACATAGTATAGAATATAGATAGAATATTGATATAAGTACTAATTCTAACTACTTTTTTATTATACCTGAAGAGGTACAGAGATTGACTCTGATGAGAGTTGTTTCTCTGAAGAAGGTGATTCATCATTTGAAGTTTCTTCATCTGGTGGAGGTGGTGAAGAAAGAATGGATGAAGAACGAGACACAGATTCTGATAAGAGAACAGTTTTTTCTTCATCTGGTGGAGTTGGTAAGGAAAAAACTGATGCTTGTGGTTCTGAGAAAAGAATGACTTGGTGAAACCAAAGTCTATCCATTTCCCCTATAATGCATACACAGATTTTGTCTTCCATTGCTTGTGTTTGTGTGTATGTGTGAGAGAGATTTTGGGTATGAAAAAGCTTAACACTTGGTGATTCAATGGAGGTGGTGGCTTGTCGGCAGGTGTGTTGGTGATGAAAGGAAAGAGTAGAGAAGCAAGTGATGGCAAATGAACGTGAAGTGTGTGGGACAACCTTAGACAACTAAGGATGTGGTCACCATGGACATGGGACATGGATTCTAAAACTCCACAACTTCTATACTCCTAAAATGACTGTTCTGCCCATGCTTCAAAAGCAAGAATACGATGCTCTATGCATGTCAAATCATATGCTAGAACAAGTTAGATCTACCAAGTTGAGTGGATATTCATGATTCATCACTAGTAAGAAAAGTAAGGCAAGGACCAAAATAAATCGTTTCTAATGTTTAAGTAAATCCAAAAATTTCTTAAAGTTTGTAAAAAGAGAAAATATGTGGAGATATCTGCCTTAGGTGAATCGTTCCAAATATGGATTCTGGCATCTTTTGACATTACAGTTGTCATACCAATAAAATCCGATTTGCAAGCTGGTTAAGTTCAATCAGGGTCAAGATGGGGTATACCGATATGGACAAAGGTACTGTTTAATTGCATGATTGGCTTCACCCCAGAGACACCACTTATGGGTTAAGGCCTTAGTCAAGCAATAATGACAAAAATGAAAATTGTTCTATTATCATTTGCAATCTTCTCATTCTGGATGTGCTCAGGTGGTTGCTTATTGACCTTTGGAAGCTATTAAGTAAATTCATCCATCCATTTGATTACTCCATGTCCTCACCATATACAACTAGTAAATTAATTTTACAAGAGGACTTTTTTGTTTATAGCTTTTAAATCTACTTCAACAACAACAAAAAAAAACGTTTAGGGAATAAGGATTGGTTATTGTTTTAATTTTTAAATAAAGTTAATTTGTTTTCTTGTACAGTATTACCAATATTAGATTTTACTAAGTGGTATTTATTCAATTCATAGAACCAACAGATTGAAAAATTAACGCAATTTACACTACTAAAATAAGAATTTATTAATTAAGTCTCCAAAATGAATCTGACAATCGATACTATTTCAAGGTCTAATTCATGTACTACTCAAATTTGGCATTTCCACTGGGACAACACTATGGTGGATCACCTGATGAGCTTGCTTTTATTTTCACCGTATGTTCCAGTTCTTCTACAATTTCTCCTTCTTCAGAGGAATGAATGCTATCACATGGTGTGGAAGATAACTCAGGATCAGAGGCACTCTTCTTTACTTCACTCCATTCTGAGGACAGATTTATGTGACTAAAACTAGGAGACTTCGCTAGTTGTTCTTGCTTCTTCCTTCTCTCCCTAACCTCAACATGCCACTGCCTCAGAATTTTAGCCAAAGTTTTGCTCTTAACTTGTGAACCCATCTGTAACAATACGATGTCAAAACATTAAACCATTTAACCGTGCATAGTGGAATGGGCTAAAAGTGGAAAACTTGAATTTCAGAATAGAGTTCACCTGTGCCACTAGTGCATAGAGGGGGAGAGTAACGTAGCTGCAGAGAATTTGAACTGCCACCCTGAGCAAAATAATAAATCTCAATGTCATCAATGATTGAAAATGTTCACCACAGCAGGATCAGCATACCAAAAAAAAATAAAAATTGAACTTCATTTAAATTGTAGGGTGTCATTACGCAATCATCACTCTTATGATTGTAAATGATTTGTGTTCGTGGTAGCAAGAATTTATTCCAAACTGTGTCTGCCAACAATATAGAAATAAGAGAATTGTGTTAAGTTCAACCCATGATGGATCAAGTTTCTGAAGTTACATTTTTAATAAAGGAAGAACATAGAAAGACACTTACTGATACCCATATAAAGAAGGCAAGCTCAAATGCATTCTGTCATGGTCAACAAGTTAAAATCTGTTAGTTTAGGCTCTATTCGAGGTAGCTGTTAGATTCAATTTTGAATTTTTTTCAAAAAACAAAAGCTGTTTTTAATTTTTAGTTTTCATTTTGGGTTTTAATGGATTTCAGTTTTAAAGATCTGTTGCCAACTCAATAACTTCAGTTAGAATAGAACTACTAGTTAATAATAAGTGATTATGTCGCGGATATCACTATCATTAGAAGGTTTACCACGAATAAAGTGTAATGTAGGAGTGTTAGCACAAATCCTGGATGGCCAAACCAGAAGAAATTGTCACTTGGACTAACTAGAGGGGTTCCTTTGGTTACATTATTGATATCCTTCATTTGAAGAGCCATCTTGTCAACTATGACTTCAAGTTTAGCTCCCAAAACTAGAACCATCTATGAATAAAAATGCAGGAAAGTTGAATTATAAGCCTTGTAGATTCATTAATGAAACAAGAAGCTGAAGCATACTTTTACTCACCAAGAGGGGAACATAGGATAACCAGAGATATGCATGCCAACCTAATAATATAGTTCACACAGAGAAAGAATAAATATTAATTCAAATGTAGAAAAACATTGGAAAAAAATGGAAACGAAAGAAGGAAACATTTTCTAACCATGTACATCCACGAGCAAAAAAATAACAACTGTGAACCACATCACTGGGCTGCCAGGGAATACACGAAAGAAGTGATTAGATGTGCACAACTCTAGCTTTTGACCATAGTGTCTGAAGTTTCAGGTAGGACTAGTGACTAGAGTGTCTTAATTGATAAAACATGCAATTTAGTAGGCAAGTAACAACCTAATGCTCACTATAATTCTGAAATCTTCCTCAAGTGACTGTTCTATGTAATTTTGGAAATCAAAGTTTCTGTTCCTGGCTGAAAAGTGAGCCTGAGAGATGCATCAAACATGTTAATGAAATGCTTAACGAAGATAATAATAACAGTAATAATCATAGACTTTTAGTCCTGTTTGTTTTAAAGTATGAAAAACAATTTCACACTTTCCAAAGAAAATATGTAGTTTAGATTAATTTAGGCACACACTCAATCAATTTCATATAAGTAAATTCTACTTAACTTTAAATTAAACTAATTCTTTGATTGGGTACTGAAATAGGAAGATGTGTACTCAACTGATATGAAGCCATGCCTCAGGGTGAGATAATCAACCTTTGCTACTGAATGGAAGAACTGTCTAAAAAAGCATTTCTGTCCAAATTTTACAGATTCATGAATAACGTTAGCCGTAAAAAACTGCCTCATTTCCATGATTTTATCAATCTTTAATGTCTCTCAAAATACGTGGCATTTTGATTTCAGTTCCCATAAAATTATTAATTTTTATTTTAGTCCTCGTATTTTTAAAAACCATTAATTTTATCTTTAGTCATTATTAAATGATAACATGACTAATCTTATCAATCTTTGTGTCGGATGTTACTTTTTTTTTTATTGTACAATTACATTAATAAGAAAGACAAAAAAAAAATAAAATTGAATATATAAAAGCTAAAATAAAAAATTAATTTTGTAAGGACAAAATTATAATGCGATATATTTTGAGATACTTAAAAATATATTTAACACTTCTATCAATCATTCATTGGAAACCAAAACAAACAACTTAATATCATGTTCTCGTTTACATTTTAGGTATCACTAATATAAAAGGAGAATTATAGAAATGGTGCAAATGAGACGAATTAAAAGTTTGTTTTAGGCAGTATTATAGAAAAAGAAAGCCTTACTATCCAAACATATAGTGGTGAACCCGTAAAAGTAGATATGTGCCGTCTTCCAAATGTTGTTTGTCTTGTGTATCTGAATCTATTAGGGTCTGATTGATAACCAGAAAAGTTAAAGGGGTCAATTTGCCAACGCAAAAGTCATAACACATACTCTATTTTGTTATTATTATCTGTAAAGAAACATGAAATCATGCCTTGCATGTCATTCACATATACATGAAATGGATCATTAATAAAAACGAAGAAAAAGACATTAATAACCAATTGATCTGATTAAATCATGAAAGACGAAACACAATACTATAATAGAAACAAATTACACAGTATTGAAGACGTCAATGAAAGTTAACATTTGTTAATTGATTGATTTGTCTTTTAAAAGTGAAATGTTATTGTAGAATTTATTTATTTTTTTATCTGATTTAATCTGGATTTTACTCAGGTATCATTTTAAAAATGCTACCAGCATTTTTAGTATTTGTTTTTTATTAATGGGTAGGATCCCATGACAGAAATTTTAAATAACTTAGGTTTATTCTTTGGATCAATATGAGATTCTATAAACAATAGTATTAAAAATATATACTGCTAACATTTTTTATGACCAATATTCAATTATGCTGTTGGAATGACTGGATCAATCAGTATCGTTATCATCACTAATTTAAGGTCAAGCCTTCACAACATCATAATAGTGGGGCTGTTTTGAAAAGCAGCGTCTCAATGGGTCAGCGCAATTATAATTTTTGGTCCATAGTTGGACTTCATTTCTGAAGTAGTTTTAACGCATCTATTACGCCACTTCATGGACATAAAATCATGAGAGAGAGAGGGAAAAAAAATCAGAAAAGGATTAAATATGAACAAATAAATAAATAAAGGAATGTTTGATAGTAAATCCATTCAACAACATATATTTGTGGTTTGTATGGAAGGGAAACTTTAGGAGGAAAGACAAATTAAGTAAAATCAGACCCCCTTTAACTCGTTTTTTTTATATATTTATGATTAGTTCAAAATATTAACATTTTTACACCGATTTATGCTAATGATGGGTGTACAATGATCATCTTCATAGTAAAATGAGATAAAAAGAATTTCAAAACTTATCTAACAAATTTTCTAGTTATAATATTTTAAAAAATTATCATTCCTAAAATACAATTATACTCTGCATATATACCTGTGAACAAATTCAAATTTGTAAAAGCCAGAGAGTTAAATCCAAGAAAGCTCAAAGATGTTATAATTTATAACAGCTTGATTATTTAAACTTTAAAAGAAATTAATACTGCTTTTGTTAACATTCAATTCACAATTCCACCAAAGCAAATTCGTGAAAACGATGTACAATTAAAACGACAAGAAACAAATACCCGCGCTCTGTTTCATTAAATGTGAGTTTCTTTTGATAAAAAGAAACTTTATTACATTAAAAACACAATATATATTCTAATAACATTCGTACATAGATTGAAGGGAAACCATTTTTAAAGAATAGCACCGCTCAAGCAGAAGTCAACTTTTTTTTTTCTTCTTTTGATATAAAAATCAATATTTATTAATCTTTTAAATCAACAATGAAGGAATTTTAATGAGTTTTATAAATTTTTTTTTCTGTTTCCCAATACACTTTCATTTGAGCAATGATAATATAATTGTACCAAAAAGTGCTTGTTGAATCTCGACAAGAAAATTATTTGTCACCTAAGTTCTAAAATAATCTGAACAGTAGAAGATTGTTCATTCACACTACAGAGTAACAATTGATTTGTCAATGAAAAATTAAACAAATCAATAAATAATTTCGGTAGGCTCATGATAAGGTAAAAAAATAAAGTATTTTGTTAACTTCAGTACTTCGAGATGAGTTTAAATATTTATAAATAAATTCTTTTTTAAAAAAAGTATATAATTATTGTATTAAAATTATAAAAATACAATAAATATTTTTCTTTCTATTTTTTTATTATTAGTTATTTATTTTCAACTTTAAAAGTTGATATTAACAAAATTCAAAAATAAATGCTAAAAAATGATTGATTAATCATTTTTGAAAATTCAGAAATTGTATGATTAACAACATAAGGAATACTAAATGTAGAATATGACAAGCAAGTTAAATTTATGCAAATGGCTTATGGTATTTTTTATATTTTTTTTTAACATACAAAAAAAATTATGATAAAGTTTTATCAATATAAACTATAAACTTTTATATAATTATAGGATCTCTTTAATTAAATAAATATTTAATTGAATCAAAAAACAAATTTACCATTGGCAACTTGATATTCAATTGTTTTAGTCTCTTCATCCCAACTTTTCCAGCGCCTCATCTGCACATTTATGATTCAAATGATGCTGGAGAATCATAGATGAATTGACTGACAAAAAATAATGGAAATACATAGATAGATATAAAAACGTAAAGATTCATGAGATATAATTTATGTTTTTATTTTAATATTTTTTTTATCAATCAGCTATCTAAAAAACTAAAGTCACAGAGTGAAAGCAACGCAGATATTTTATATTGAATTATAAAATAGTTAATATTTAGCCCCATCATTCATTTATTATAAGGGAAAAATATACATTGATTCTCTAGTACATACTACAAAAAATTATCATTTGATAACAATTCAACGTTAAATTAGCTTTCATTAGTATATATTTTTTCTGATAAAAATTTAATTTTCAATAAATATATATTAAATTTCTATTAACAATATGATATATTATACAAATAAAATATTTTATTAATATAAAATATTAATATATCCTATCAATAGACGAATATGAGTATATCATATTATTTATTTATAAAGATTTTTAAAGTCCTTGTTAATAATTTAATTTTTTATTAGATAAAACGAACTTTATGTTAGACAAAATACTTATATATTAACATTTTAGTACTAAATTATATATCATCACATTTGATCATTTTATTGATGTCTTAAATATCAAATAAATAATACACTAATGGACATTTGGATTTGTTTAACTTTTAGAGACAAATAATTTTCTTTAGTTTTATTAATAAAATTTAAAATTTTAACTATAATGTATTTTAAATATAAAATAAGTTTAATGCAAACACATGTTTTGGATAAAATATTAGTGTTGAGAATTAGAATTGACAGTTGACATAATTTTATAAACCTAAATTTTGGTTATAAATATTTTAAAATTTTTAAAATCTTACAATTTTCTCTTTAATAATTTAATGAAATATAATTAATACTATTTTTAGCACATAAAATATGTCTATTTTAACAAAATTCATGGTTTTGTAATATATTATCTAATTGAATTCGAATAATTGATGTTTTAAGAAGTTGTGATAAAATGTTTTACGTATATAAATGTTTAAAATCGAAAATTAACGGGAAGATAATTTCTTAGAAAGCCTCTTTTTTTGACATCGTAAGTCATATATAATTGTCTGGACACAGTATTTATTATTTTCTTTTTAATCTAGCTTGTGTTGACTTCACAACTTTTCTCTTATTTTTTTCAATTTAATTTTTATAGCACCCAAAAAAATTATTTATAATAACTTTCTATTAAAATTAGATATAAAAAAATTTTATATAAAAATTATAATTTTTAATAAAAGCTATTATTTATTAACTTTTTAGTATGTATCTTAAAAATATATTTAAATTTTATTAGTTGAAAGCTATTAACGTAAGACTTAAGATGAAATTCACGTTCTGTTACAAAAAAAGATTATGATTGTATATTTACCATGCAGAATTGAAGTCAAAGAACAAGCGAAAGAATGATGAGTTGTAAGAAATATAAGGGTATTTTTGTTTACTATCTATTAATATTTAACAATTTTATAATAATGGAAGGTTTGTTTTCCACAGTTTATAGATATTATAAATTAATTTATACATTTTTAAGCTTTAAGATTAATTCACACATAACTGAAACATTCTTAATCAATGTTAGTGTGTAATTGCGTATATTTTTTCCTTAATTTAAATATAAATGCAAAAATAATTTACTATATTTATATTTTAAGTAAATGGCCAGGAAATATGGGCATTAATTAGTTACTAATTGCTGAATGAGTGTGAAAACCTCCATAAAACAAACGAGACACACTCTTACCTTAGCCCTTGCCAGAGACATGGTGAGAAAACTGTACACAATTTGCATGACAGCTAGAACAAAAATGAACATGTGAAGCTGATGAATCCCCTGCTTTGATACTAAAGCAACCTTACTAGCCTGCATGCAAATCCAGGGTTACACTCCATCCTACTCAAAGTATGCAGTTTGTTTTTATAATTCTCACTATATATATATAAATTAATTGATTAAGTCCGTATAGAAGTAATAATATAAAATATGCATACATTTTTGGCACTGCAAGAATCAGAAACTGCAGTATCATTGGTAGTACTTTTACGACATGGAAGCATAGTGTCTGCAGCTTTTACTGGTACGCAGATTTCGGTAATAGCATCTTGAGTTACTGTCAACAAAAGCGACATGAATCCCAAGATCATCAACTCTGCAGCAAACTCAGAAAATGTTAATTATGCCTCTCTTTAATTAAAAATAAATGATAAACTATTAAAAAAATCTCTATTAGCTACACAACCATCTATATATATATATGTAAAATTTATAATTAACCTGATCTAAGCTTCTCAATTGCTTCAACCAAATCGCTCTTCTGATGTTTCCTCAACCACTGCAGCCACATATATATAGATAGATGGATAGGTAGGTATCAGCTAATTAACAAAGAAATCAGATTAATGTAAAGAAGCAAAGGTAAGCATAAAAAACATTAGGGTTCTGACTTTGACTATAAGATGAACGAGATGATCCAAGATGATTGAGATGGTGATAAGAACGAAACAAACAATGGCAATTGCCCATGTTGGAGTGTGTTGTAGAGAATAATAACCGGAAGTGTACCCTGCTGCCATGTTCACCTTCAAGTTATCGTTTTTGTTGTTTTGTACAGTTGAATCTATATATAGTAAAATATACGAGGGACCATGATTCTGTCTCACTCGTATATATCATTTTCCTTAGCTCCCAAGGTTGGACAAATTTTCAATGTATTCACATGCATGTACTTAATATTCATCTCTCAAGTCTTTTCATGAATATTGTCCATCTAAAATCATTCAGTGATGTATAAACATTACTCTTTTTGCCTTTTTTTCTTTTTCCTATTAGCTTTCTGAATAAGAGTTTTACACGGATGCACCTTAGGGAGACCACAACCTAAAACGTAGGTTCAAGCTCCAGTCAACAATGGAAACTAAAAGGGAACTTTCTTGTAAAGACAGAAGTCAAGAGTAAATCTTTCAAATAGCGAGGACTAATCACAATTATAGTCCAAGATGTTAATGTCATAATAATTGTTAAGAACTACCAAAAAGGCAACACCAATTACATAAGAACAAAGTTTTCCTATCGAAATATATGATAGAAATTTCCTGTGTCAAAACAATCACAATCAATAATTATGTATTTTTTTTTTCTCTCCAAATTCACTCAATTTTGAGGGCTCCTCTTTTCCTCCACGTAAAGAAAAGATTTATAAATGCCTCCAACTAAATAATTTGATAAATTTGAATTAAGATGGATAGACATATTTACGAGAATAAATTCTACCTTCTCACTGAAAAAAATGTTATGAATAGCATTTTTTATAGTCGTTTGTATAAATTTATGCTTAGCAAATTTACTGAATATTTATATTTTTTACCTTGAACATTTTTTAAGTATGGAGGTTTTTACTCTTGTAATTAAGCTAGAATCATAAACTCTGAAAATAGCACTTTATGCATGATTTCCGGCCTTAACTTCAAATCCTTTTCACCATAATTTGAAAAAGTTTTTAACAAAAGAGCAATGCTTATTTGTATTACATTAGAGACAGTCATTAAGTTAAAGAATAAAAAAAAATTGAAGAAACTTGGTGAAAATCATGCCACCTCTTTGGTTTGAAATTATTGTGCAACAGTGACGTATACATTAAAAAAGGAAAAAGTGTTCGGGGCAGTCTTAAATGATCTAATATAAAATACCGGTTCTCGTTCAGAAGTAAATAAACAAACACTCAGTTAATTATTATTATATTCAGAATGGTAAGAATATATTTTTTTAACATAATCTTCGTGAATAGATAAACTTATCTATTAAATAACGCGACTCTTTCTTTTTAATTTAATAAGTCACGTTTCCTATTGAATAAAATTCACATAAATTTATTCAGTGTATATTAAAGAAAGTATTAATGACAATCTTATTATTATTATGTTAAGTTTTATGTACCTCAGATTTGCAAGCGTCCATCCATAGGTTGTCTTGCTGATATTCCTTTAAAAGGTTAAGACAGTATCTTCCTCGGCATATCCGATTTCAAGGTCATAAGAGAGACATATGCATCATACACACAAACTTACCTTGTTCTTTCCTTCTGTAATTGCACCTTGTCTTGTACTCTTGTTATTCAGTCCTTGAGTTTTACTACTGTCATAACTCACATATAAGACCAACCAAAGTCTTGATTTTAAGTGCCCTAGTATGGATAGAGTTGTAAAAAATATTTTTCAACCTAGAATACTTTATTTATGTTGGAGATAGAAAGAGATTTTGTAATATCTTTGAGTGAAAGAAATATTATGTACCCTACTTTGAACAAAAGAGGAGAATAGTTTGTTCAAATCCTTTTTAAGTTATAAACCAAAATTTGACATATTGTAAAAAAAATCTCAATTAATTTTTTAGAAACTAAATATAAGTCAAGAGTGTGGCTGAAGTAAGATAAATATATTTATTCAATTCTCTCATTTTTATTTTTATTTTTTGCATTAGTTGTATTTCAATTAATTGCTTTATAATTCGCTACCATTGAATTCAAAGAATCGATTTACTCTCTTTCAGCTCTGTCAATTATGGCTAAAAATATCGTTCCTAAATAAAATTTAATATAATAATAATTGGTTTTAAATAAATTTTCATATAAGTAAAAAAGTATGAGTGAAAACAAAAGTTAATAATTTATTTCATAAGTCTTTTGCTTATTTCATAGAAGATAAACATGTCCAACTCTCATAAAAGTATAAAACATAGCTATGTCACTTTTCTAAAAATATACACTATCAAATAATTTATAAACTTACACCAAACTTGAAAGTGTCGTCATGTCTTTGAGTTTTTTTTTTCTTTAATAATTTTTCAAATCTTATAAAATAAGCTATCATTATTAATTCAGAAGAACATTATCACAAGACATGTCTCTCTTATTTGCAAAATCAAAACAATAAAAACTTATGCATGCTTTGTAGTTTTATTTTAGCTGATGCAGTGAAGAAAAAAATCAGATCGATCAAGAAGCAATAAATATGTTATACAAGTTTCTTCGTAGAACCAAGGGCATTTGGTCTAGTGGTATGATTCTCGCTTAGGGTGCGAGAGGTCCCGAGTTCAATTCTCGGAATGCCCCAAAACTTTTGGTACTTTCTCGACGAAGCAAACGACAGAGGTTCACATGACGTAAGCATTCTGCTTTTTACAGAATAATACATAGATGGAATAAATTAAAGATGTAATTTCCATCGTCCATGCGCATAATTAAAAAAAATATATATATATATATATATATCAGCACTTTGATTGCAGTAAGAATAAAAATGTCAACGAGAAGAATAAGAAAAACACCAACATCCATATAATACTTATCTCATCCAACTACAATTATTCAAGATTATACAACTGAAGATTTTTCTGGTAATTGTTCTTGGCGTTAGGATCGAACTGAGCACGAACATAACGTCTAACTATAATATCCATTACACACACCTCAACATTAGAACATATCTGAGGAATAGTGTATTGACTACAGTATCAGTCAGAATCATAGGTGCGACCTATATACAATTTAGGGTGGAAAAATGCATTCTTTCACTCGCAAAAAACTGTACGAGATAAAACTAATAAAATTTTGTCTCCACTTTTATGATGTTGAATCTCCTCATTTGAGGCTAAAAATGTCTCCCTGACTTGAGGGACAATGAGCTGATTATTTAATGATTTTAAAACATAAGGTGAGATAATAAAATAAGAACAAATCATTCAATTCAATTAAAATTATTTTTAATTGGATCAAATTAGTGCATGTTTAGATAAGCTTATTTAAAAATAATAATAACTTATTTATTGTGACTTTGAGAAAGAAAAAAAAACAATCATTTTATTAAAATAATCTATCTAAACGTGTATTTAGATTGAATTTAATATTATATTTAAATCAAACCATACCAAAATGTAATTTATTTTTATGATTAAATTGAATAAATCTTTTTTTTTTTTATAAAACTGTCATTATTTTAATCTGGTCTCCTTCCAAAGATTTTAACAAATTTGTGAAAACAAGACGAAGACAAGTTAGCATTTTTACAAATAAATAAACATTTTCCCATATCAAACACGAGTAGTTCAGATCCATTGAAAGGCTTCGCAGAATTGAGATCGAAGCCGAAAACAAATACATTGACATAAAGTAGTAGCATTCCTGTTACAACATCTCCGAAAGCAAGTTTGTTTCCTCCACCGTGAGGGATGTCCAAATATATATACAAAATGAGAATAATCATACTACAATAGAAGTTATTTATCCTTCGTATCCTCGGGCAAAACCGAGGATTTGCAGATTGGACATAGTTTCTTCATAGATAACCACTTTTTAATGCAGCTCACATGGTAGTCATGTCCACAAGTTTTAAGTGTCCCAACATCGTCCATGTTCTTGTACTCTTCCTGTAATTTTCAACAAAAAACGTAAGCACCTGATTAATGATATCCAAAGACATCTAAAATGTTTACTATGAAATTATGAATATAAAAATTAAAACATACCAGACAGATTACACAGCTTCCTTCGTCTTGACTTTGCTCAGATGAACAATATATTGTTTCAGTCAAACACTTGGAAAGCAAGTCCTCAGACAATCCTGTGTTTACAAAGCCAATCCTCTCTCCAAGTGCTAGTAGTTCCTGGTCAAACAAATCATAAAAAATAATTAAATTAGTACATGGTACTAATTGTAACACAAGAAACAGTAATAAATTAATAATCACCTCATAACTCATGTTATCTATGTCCATCCTCATGTCTCGGTGCTGATCAAGCATATTCCTGGAACCATACAGTGATGCGCGCTCAACAACCATGAAACCCTGAAAGTTGACAAAAAGTACAAACCAAAAAAATTAAACCAGTCTGCCAGTGGTAGTAACAACAGAAAGAACAATTTTGCTGCCCTATGAACACCAACTAGTTCAAGGGAATATATGAAGTAATTTGCTTCAAGTTTGCAAATAAGCCATCCCTGTTTAAGGTTTACTATGGTGCACAGGAAAAAAACATGAAAAAAAGTGTTCCAAATTCCAAACATACACATCCTTCCATTAATACTGATATTCAAAAATAGAGTTCCCCGAGATAATGACAGATACCTCAGAGGAAAATCGATCATGGAGACCACCCTCCTCAGCCAAAGAACGATATCTTTCACTGGAAATTCTTGACCTCCCATTTCTATCACCATTACGCCAGCCAATGGTGCTCAATGGCCTTGGATGTCTAGAAGAGTAGCTTTCAGCTACCATAGGCAATCCATCATCCAAAGATGTCACATGTCCCAAGCGCAAGCTTGAAGAAGCTCTAAAAGCTGGAGTAGATCTCTGAGAATAGTTGCTTCGAATTCCTCTAGTAGTCTGAGTCTGATTATTATGAAAACATTGAGGAGCTGTAGGATTTCTGCTTGTACCAAATTCATGATGGAAACCCCCAACATCTACAGAAGCATTACTAGCAGCAGCACCACTTCCGACAAGGAAATGATTTGTCTCAAGACCAAAAGCATTTGTATCTGCATTTTAAGTCAGATGTTTTAGATATAAATGCCAGGAGTGTATGTTTTGATACTAACATTTATTAACTGAAAACTAACCTGACAATAACACCCGTCCATTAGCAGGAGATATGTTCATTTGGTTCCAATCCCTTGTCAAAGTGGCAGAAGTCTGACCTGAAAGGTCCACCATGCTAGAATGGTCAACTGGTGGTGGGACAGAAGGGTAGTTGTGTGAATGATTGCCTGATAAATGGGTTCTAGCCAGGTTGGATTCCAAATCAAGTGAAGAACGGCTCCTCACATTCCTGAGTGAACCCTCACCCTTTATTGAAAGGCCAGAACCTCTGAATGTGGGGGTCATAGTAAAATGATCCCAGGGCATATATTGAGAATCAATGTTTGGCTTCTCCTGCCTTAATTCTGAAGGCATAGGATGATCAGTTGAACTCCCAGCATTAAAGTATCTACTTGTACTACCTCTCTCAAAGACTGAAGGAATTCCAGGGCTCTTGCGCTTTTGAGGCCCTCGTCCGCTTCCCATTGTAAGATCAATAAAACCACCATCAACATGAAATGTTTGTCTGTCATAATTGGAAGGAGGAGGCTGGTTTACATGATTTTCAGACACTGCAAAGAAGGCTCCAGCACTAGATGAATGCATAAAATGATCACTGGAAGTGCCTGATGCATCTGGTTGATGAGGGGCTACATCAATGTTGAGACTTGAGGATGCATATCCATTTGATCTTGTGGAAGAGTTCCAATGTGAGGGGAACGAATTGCTATCTATAGACATATTTTCTGCAGGATAAATAAAAGAACCATTCTCAGAAGTGCTAGTCCTACCTGCAATAGAAATCCGTCTAATATAAGTAACATGGTGCTGCTGCAATCTTTGAAGTTACTTACATGTTTTTTGAAGGGAAAAAAAAGCCTAAAGCACCAAAATACAAATGGAAGTGAGGCATGTATATTTAAGATTACCAAGGTGCACATAATGTTGATCGGTATGCATATGATTCCAATTCTGGTCAGGCTCACCCTCAAATAATGGAGATGCGTTATATAAGTGCCTATGCCCCATAAATGTCACTTGCAATCTATGGGTTTCAAAATAGATAGAATAGTTGAGTCAGATCGGCAAATAACTTACAACCTGCAAAGTGAAAGAGCATCTTTAGAAATTCAATATTAAGATTAATAATTAACAACCAAGGAAAGCTGCTTCCAAGCCACAACAATGATTGTAAGAGACCAAAGGTCAACTGTGATTGCAGCATATGCAATAACATTAAAACAAAAATAAACATGCATATTGCTCATACAAATCTCTTCAAAATAAATATGTAAAAGAAAATCACAACGCATAACCTAAACACTGGCATAGATGCTAAATTCAAACCAAACACTTCCACAACAACACAAATATTGCATGTAGGATCTTGAGCAAGTAGCAAATATTTAGAGTCAACCACATTTGACAAAGAATCTAATTATTAGTGTTTGGATAAGAATTTGCAAATTTGATTTTGGTCAGAATTGAGTTGAGTAACATGATTAACATTTAGATACTTTTATCTATAAGTGATTTTGACAAAATGAATGTTATTAGGATTATATAAATCAAAATTCAGAATTGAGTTTTCTTTAATGCCAAAGCAACAAAATGTTGCTTAAGCATTTAAGGATTCAATACCACAATCAAAACCCAAATTCATTTTGTATGATGTGCCAAGCATTATTGCACCGTGATTGAGGCCATTTTTTTTAATGCAAATCAAGTTTAGGGTGTTTGTGTGTGTGTGGGGGGGGGGAAGGGATAGGAATATTAGAGATATGCATACAGAAATGTGAAAGTGTGTGGGGTCAGAAGTCACAAATCCCGTAGGATATTTTTTACGTAAAATTTAATAGTTCTCATTATCATGAATTCCAGGTAGGATGTCAAGGGCAACACAACATGGGTAGGAAGAGAAACTACTGACCAGCACAGCAGGGGGTCAATGCCTAGAAAATAGAGATGATGTAAGATGTGTGCGATCAGAATAAGTCTTTCCAGGACACCCCTTGTATTAGAAAAAGAGACTACTACAATTGCATCTAGCCAGACTTTTCTTTTTCACTTACAGCATATGCAATAATACAGCCACGAGCCACCATTGCTACTTCCACATCATTAAAACAAATTCCATAGATTTCTCAGATATTATTCATCAGATTTCACCATTTTCCATTCAATACCATCTAGGCCTAAACAATGATCCCCAGCTGGACTATTTAATTTCATTGAGTAGTACGTAAATAACTAGCTTATATAAGCTTATTCAATATCAAGATTCAAGATGATGTTTTTAATCAGCAAAGAGGACAAAGCTCTATGCTCCCAATCCAACGATACTGCCAAAAATTGCATGAAAGATTATGGTTATAAGCTTGACGAGTTAAAATGCCATCAATAGGCATGCATGAAAATTGAAGCATAAATAATGGCCACATACAACAATTTGACCAATGAGGATAATCACCACTAGCAATTATTTCAGGAGGGAAGGAATTCACAATCTAAGGAACTAGCCCATGAACACTAAATACTTGCCACTCATGGTATCCTTAACCATAATAAATTACCAATAGCCCCAAATAAGTCCACTCACTTGAAGCCATTTACTCACGCCTCTATCCACTGATACAGAAAGAGCACCTTCTAGTCTGAGGCAAGAAAACAAAGAGGACTCAAAAAGTGAACACATGGAAGAAAAAAATGACATCGATGAGATTTAAAGTAGATAATGGATCCTCACTCTAGCTTATCATGAATGGTAGCAAGAGTTAGGATTGATTTAATAAAAAGAGGAAGGATTGGAAAATAGGATGACTAACGCATCAGATATTACCTGGCCAAGGTTTAGCAAGTATTAGAAGGGGTTAGCATTTTCTAATCTTTTCCTGCACTTAAAAATCATAATCAACTATGCACAGGCATCAAGTATATAGGGGGTTAAACAGCTCTCCTATCTGTGCCCTCTAATCAGCAATCAGTAATCATGACAAGACCAAAGAAACATAAAATTTTTTTAAGTAAATCCTATGAACCAGCAATAGTGAAACAAACACAAAAAATTTCCCCCCACAACTTTTGGAGGGAAAAAAAATACAAAGCACTGATATAGTGAAATTTGCTTCAAGAACAAAACCAAAATGTTTTACTTTGAGAGGGAGAGAGAGAAAAGGAGAGAGAGAGAGATGTGTGTACCTATTACCTTAGGTAAAAAAGGTAGAGGAATGGATTGATGAAAGCTGATAGAACAGAGTCTGAAAAAAACTGTTTACTACTACTAGACAGAATTTTTACAAGAAAAATAATAGAAGAGAATATTATATTGTATATTGAATATTACATTAGATAGAAAAATATAAAATCATTATCGTATAAGCAGAAATTCAAAAAACCTAGCTTCTGCAGGCAAAGGAAAGAAGGCTTCACACAATTCGTTACCTTTAATATACCATGATAAATTGAATAAACTTGTTTAAAAAGTGCTTGGGCTACTGAATATCAGCTTGCATATTTTAAAATTTATAATTTTGATTATATGCCAGTGTCCATCATCTTTAGTTATGCTTAATTTTAACCCAAAAATAGCTTTTCAGCTAAAAGCTCTGTCTGGGGCATTTTGATTATAAGCAATTTTTAATGCAAAATAAGCTGATCCAAACACACTAACAAAAATGATAAAAACTCAACAGTGAAGTATTATTAAACCATTGATAATTAAAAACAGTAAATGAAATCCGAATTAAACTTTTAACTTTAGTTTTAGATTTCTCTACAATCCAAATATAAAATGAAATCCGAACAGCTAAACAGACAATCAATAACTACGCTTTCAAAGGGTTTGGTGTTCAATAATTTTGTATATAATATTTTATTTCTATCAAACACATTCCTATCTACGTTCATCTTTCAAGCTATAATCAAGTGGTATATTGGCTTTACATAAAAAGATGGAAATTTCCAAATAAGTACAATTGTTTGTCCTGTTAAGACTGTCCATTGGCACCAGTAAGGCAAGACAAATAAAGATTATGATTGTGGGCTTGAACATGGAAGTAATATATTTTCTATCCCCCATAAATGGTAAAGCAAAAGGAAGAGTTTCCCTGCAATCTGGTTAGACAATCAACACCATGACACTAGTTTCATTTCATTCCTCAACATTCAAGTGAAGATTATGTAACCAACTCAGGCTTATCAAACACCTTCAGAGTCAACGAACAATGATCCAGCACTACACCGATCCCAACCATGAATTGTTGCAATATTGAAGAAACCAACAGTTTGCAGAACCAGAAGCTGTACCAACATAAAGGGCAGCTGATGTCATTTAAGAGTGGATGCATGACATTATAGCAGACTCCTCCATCTATGGTATGCACTAATGGTTCAAAATTGCAGTCTGCATAGTGCATATTAATGTGTTGTGAATGCTCTTTGAAAAGTGTGCTTCTAAACTCATTATACCAGCCCCCCCTAAACAGCATAAACTCCATAGCAGATTCCATACTAAGAGAACAAGCATTTGACAAGCTATGGGACAGATTGTACTGAGGTTTACCAACATCCAAATCATAGCACCTCAAAACAGCAATTAGAACAATAACAATGGTATTTTAAAAGTTCCATGACCCCCCCCCTCCCCCTATGCTTCCTGTAACAGCCCACTCCAATATCTTGCATCACTAAACATCGGATGTGACAAATCTATTGCCACAACATCCTCAAAACAAATGCTAGGCCATTTCACATCAAACAACCATCCAATTCCAGAAGATGGATGACCATGATCTAAAAGACACATTCCAGCTGAACAAGGCTCATACAACTCTTCAAGTTAACCAAGATTTTTGGTACAATATACTCTCTTCTTCCTACATGAATATTGGCTTATAACACTCCATAACTGCAGCATATCATGCTAATAAATACCGAGGAAACTGAACATGCCAAAGTCATGACTCATCGGTTCTATAGTCACCCCATTAATTCAAGATTGAGAAGGACCTACGATACCATCTGCAATTCAGACAATGTAATGGAATAGACCAAGTGAAGAAGAATTCACCCACTTCCATAACCTGCACAATGCAAATGCGAAGGCAAAACCAGTTTTTGCCAATAATAATAATAACAAATTTTTAAAGTATAAACCCACAGGTATAGAGGGTAATAAACCTTTCTGAAAAGATCTGTGAAGAGTAAGTTATTACTAAGAAAAGGTGAGGAAGAGAGGGAACGAAGGAGAATTTCCAATGAAAGCACATCTCACCAGCACATGTAGAGGTAATCATGTACAATACATCAACAGCAGCAAGAAACCTGCATAATAAAAACCCATCTAAACCTAATTGATTCTAATAAAAACCAGACCAACATATCAGTCAAAGCTTCCAATATTCAAAACTATAATTCTTGATAGACAATTAGTACTCAGCACATGTTAGTTTAGCTGCAAAAGGAAAATACCACAATTTAAATAATAAACTATAAAGATAAAACCAATATGCTGGAAGAGAGGAACTGCACCCCATATGACATACATATAAAGACAACCAAATATGAGAGGAACACAGTGAAAAAGATTTTCCCTTTCTTACATAAGAAAAGGGAAGAAATGCTCACTAAGAGACAGGATATGAACTGCATACTGTAGTATGAACAAATAGCAGTAATCCATTGTTTTTTCCCTTCTTCTACAAAGAGATATTAAGTGAGAAAGCTTTCTGCCATTTATATCCATCATGCAACATAAGCAGATGAAAATGGGTTATTTAGTACTTCGAATCGGACCTAAATAATTGAATGCAGTTGCACACGAAGGCATCAACGATGAAAGAATATACTACCAGATAAGATTCCTTTAGGAAAAAGCACAAAACAAACCAAAAAAAGACGACTACGAGAAACAGTCAAACAGAACTAAGGGCTTATGAAGGGTTAAGACTTACGACTTTCTAAAGCAAAGAACCATGAATTGATACACTTACAAAACAACAATTATGCCAGCAAAATCAGCCGATAAACAATTTTATTTCATTTTATTTTCATATATAATAAGTGGAAATATCAATGCTAAGATGAAACATAAATGGATTAACACTGTTTTCTACCATTCTCACCAGACACTTGATATGTTTCTATCACACAAGCCGAGGAACACGAAACACAAGCAAATCCAGAAAAAAAAAAAAAACTAATCAAAATTTAGAAAGAAAAAAAATAAAAAATCTAAGCTAACAAACTATATAATTTCCGAAAGGAAATCCAAAACTCACAACCAAACAATCAGAGGATCAGCGACATCGTCAGAGACAAGCGCGTGGAAAGGACAACACGCGCTCTTCTCCGACCCAAAAAAAAAAACTAAAAAACCAGCGTGAAGATCCCGATGACGCATCAGAAACAAATCAACAACAAAAAGGAAAAAAGATCAGAAGAAAAGGCGAAACTGACGAAGCGAGCTCATACCAAAAAAACAGAGAGAGAAAGCGTGTGATCGTGGACGAATTATTATGCTGATAGAAGCAGGAAAATTAAAAAACGATAGAATAAAGAATAGATAGAAGGGAATCAAGCAGATAAACGTGCCTTAGGAATCGGTGAGAACCCAACGCCGGTTGAGTAACGATCTCAAATACGCAAGATGAGAGAGATAGAGAGAGTTGCAGAAGAGAAAAGAGAGAGAAGAAGAAGAAGGAGACAATGAAATAAAGCAGTTGTTCGATGTAATAAGAAACAAGAGGAGGAGAAATTCCCCTTCCTCTCCACTGCCACATTCTTACCGGTTACCGATACAATCCGTATACCCTTATTAATTCCTTTTTATTGATGCTAAAAATTAGTTTAGTGTTTTAATTAATTGTCAATTGTGATAATCATAATTAATGCTTCGAAAGGATTTAATTATATTTTGTATATTTTATTTTAACGACGATGGAATATGGATACGGTTTTTTGGTGGTCGCTACGTTGCGCCAAAATGCATAACATATGCTTCGCGCCCCGGCCGCGACAGTTTTAGAGGTTCATAGACGCGTGTTGACTAACACCCCAACTTTAAACACACTTTATACTCGTAATTCGTATAACTCATCGCTACGTGTAGCACGAGGCCACGTGTTATTTGGATAGTTAAGAATTTAAATAAAATTTTAAAATAGCATTACTAAATAATTATAAAGTCGGTTATTTTCTAAAAAAAATATAAAAATGCTTTTTTTTCTATTAAAAATGATTTTTTTATATAATAAATTATAAAATTTACTTTTATGAAATAAAAAATTAAGAAATAAGATCCGATGACAATTAAGTTTAAAAATTATTTTATAGTGACGTAAAAATATGGAATAATAAATTTTATTTTCAATAATTTAAATTGATCATAATAAAATTTTAAAAAATAATTTTTTTTTAAGGAGGAAGTTTGAGTTAATCAAATCATTCTCTGAGAAAAAAATATCAATTACTACTGAATATATAAATTAAAAAACTGCAAAAAAAAAAATTAAAGATTGAGTTTAGATGTGAAATAATATTTAAGTAATTGTGAAGTTTCTTACTTCATGTTTTTAATTGTCAAGAAAGTATAAAATATTAACCCCAGTCAAAGTCTTAACATTACCTTAATTATTATCAGATGAATTAGTATAACTATTTTTTATTTACTTTTTTCTATTTATCTCTAATTTTTCAAAATAGAAATATGATTTCTTTGTTTTAAAGAGTTCTCGTTATTTTTATCCAAGTATTTATCAAAGTTGCGTTTGGTTTTTCCATAAATTAATGAAAATTTATAGTTTTGAAATAGAATTGTTTAATTAAATTAACTAAAATATATTAAATGACGTAAAAATTATGTAATATTATACTAATACAATATTATAATTAAAAAAAGAGAGATTTATAATTTATACTTAACCGGTATAAGCTATAAATTAAATGTTTATTCAACAAATTTTAAAAGTATAATTTGTTTTTATTATGATGACTCCAATAATTTATTTTTACATTTAACAAATATAGACTGGCTATAAATTTATGTTACCAATTACAGTCAAAATTTTGGTAAAGTTAATTCAACAAATATGTATTAATAATTTAAGAATTTTTTAAAAATCAAACTCATATGAAAAGTAATTATCCAATACACACTAATAGATTGTTTTTTTAAGGACTGTATATATGCATCAAATTGTTTATTTATGGGAACCCTGTGTCTCTTAACTTGAATATAAACTTCATTTTGCAATCACATAATTTTATTTTTATACTAAATATTTTCAATATTCAACATATTTATCACAAACTATTAATTAGAAAAGACCCATGAATGATTCAACTTTATCAATATCGATTGTTTCCACGTAAGATGACTTCTTGATAATTTTTATTCACATTTATTAGTGTAATTAGTAGCTAGGATTATTTGTTAAAAAGACTATATAGTATAAATTTTGTATAAAGTTTGAGTAACTTTTTTCTATAAGTTAATTTTAAGAACAAATTGTATTAATGAGTTAACTTTTAAAAAAAAACTGTTGCATAATTGAATTATATCAACATAGACTATGTCCTTATAAAATGACTTGTTGAAAAATCTCATGTGCATTTATTAGTGTTAGTAGCTAGGATAATTTTAAAAATTTATATAATCATGATATTTTTTATAAGGTTTGAGTAATATTTTTATGAATGAGTTGAATTGAATTTTGT